CATGGAAAGAAAACCAGAATGGCTACAAAAACATATATTTGGAAACGAGCATATTCCATATGGACAGGCACTGTTTGAAGAGCTTGAACCGGAAACTCAGGAAAGAGTCATGCAAACAATACGCGAAGACTCAAATACAGACTATGACAAACTCTTTCTAGGATATAGGTTACCTGAGATGGGCGACCAGAGCCAAAAGGCAAAAAGGACATGGGAAATTTGCAACATACTAGATGAACATAATGCAAAGATGCAACAACTTCAAGCAGAGGGCAATGAAGGAAAAAGAAGAGTTAAAAACTCAGTCAGGAAGAAAGTAAAGCTTGGTCCAGTGGGTTCTATTATGACATATAAATCCAACTATTCTATATTTTTACTCATATGAAATGTACGCCGCTCAGAATATAACGCCAACAGTTTTGGATGCTATGAATGGAAATGTTTCCGAATGGTATAACGAATGCGACAATGCCATTAGAAGGTCAGAAATAGTTCCTGGAACTTACGAATATACAACTGCTGTTTCTTATGGAAACGTAGGTGAGTTTGGAGAAGGTTCTTCAACAACAGTAGATATTGCTTGCGACAGGTTTCATATAATTTCTATTGACAACTCTTTCTTATACGTGGAACAAGACATTGAAATAAAACCTTCTGCCAAGTTGTCTGACAAGAAAGGTTGCAATGGAATTTTCTATGTCGGATACCAATATGCTCCAGAAGTTTTCATGGGATATAAGATATATTCTAACTCTGACTTAGTTCAAACAGTAACATGGGCAAACTATGAATGGTTCGCTTTGAGAAACTCAGTACAACCACAAGCTAGAGAACAAACAGACCAGTATGCAACTATTGAGAAAATAAGAAGACTTGACCCTAACGTTCCAGGAGTTTATGTTAACCTTTCTGGACAAACTGCAGCAGCAGTAACCAAAGTAAAACTGAAACTTAGAGTTCCTTTGTCATCTTTCCTCATCTTCAGGTTTTTAAGATACTTGCCAAACTGGGCAGGAAAAATTTCTATCGAACTTACTCCAAGCAAAAATAACTTAGTCATTGCACCAACACAAGACCCATTCACTCTTACAGACGTAGGGCAAATCAAACGTCATTCGCCGACTTTTGCAAACAAAGTTGACTTAGACTTTGGTTTCTCAAACCTCAACACTGAAGTAAACTATTATTTCAATGCTGCTGGAACTGCTTGGGACCCAGTTAAGTTCACATGCGAAAAGTTTGAATGCAAGAGAATAGAAAGCAGACTTGCAGTCTATATGTTGGACCCAGATATTTCAAATGCTTTAGCTGCCAAATATATTGCAGTTCCACTTATGTTCCCTATACACCAAATATCTGTCAAAGACTTTGCAGGTGAAGTTGGAAACCAAAGTGCTGACCCAGGTGCAAGAACAGATATTGCTTAACAACTGCAATGAAACATGCAGATACTATGTTTGTACTGTTCAGACGAACTATAAATGACTATTCTTGTTCTACAACCCTGGTATTAAATACCATATAAACATAGATGGCAAATACTATCCAAGAGAAGAATATTCTACAGTTGAGGATATGAGGTCATACAACTTGACATTAGATGCTATGAACTTTAACAACAACTTCACAACAACCATTAACCCTGAAATGCAAAGTTCTATTATGCCATATGTGAAAGTATGGACTCATACAGGAGGTCAAAAAACTCAATATACAAATGGAGACCGTTCAAACTTTTGGCTTGGCATTCCATTTGCTGACTCAGAAGACTTTATGGGTGGTATTTCAACTGTTGGTACAGTTCAAATACAATATACTGGTGACAGAGACGGTCCAGATGAATTGAGAGCAAAGAAGTTTACAAAACCAATAGCACTTTTCACGGAAGATGCTCTTTTGAAGATTCGTTCGATGAAACCTGCTGGGGCTCCTCAGATTGGTAAACGAGCTTCCATCGAGCAGATTTTGGCAGCAGGTCAGTAAGTTGTTCTTGAACTGACTTCTCTCCGTCAAATATTGACAGTACGCCAGTTTTGACATAATATTGTATTAAAACTTACCTTTAGAAATATCGGTCAGTTTTGTTGTTATATTTTTGTCTGCTTCAAGAACTTTCACCATTTCAGTTATACCAACTTTCTTTGCTTTATGAAAATATTTTGGTTCAGCAAAGACTGCTATTCTATAACATTTTCCATTGTTTGTGTAAAGAACTATTCTGTCAATGATTGTATTGTTTGTGTGTATAAACTTTGTTTTGCTTCAATTCGAAGAGATACTCAAATACGTCCATCTTTTTATTCTAAGTAAAATGTCATTTCCGAAAAATAGAAGCGTAAGTGTTTCAAAAGGTTTAATGGCGGTGGCAGATGTGAAGTTAAATTCACCAACTCAAACAAACAGTCAAAGTGTTGTTGTCAATGTCAAAGAAAGAGATGTTGAAGTGGGGAAACCATACGAAGACGAAGATGGTATAACAATAGTTCCTGTAAAAGAACAACCAACATACCCTGAAGTTAGCAGAGACTTAAGTTCTGTTGCAGATATTCGAAACGACTACCAACAACTTAAAGACAAACTTAAAACTCAGGAGAAGATTTGTCAAGCTTTGGGTATAATGTTAAACTTGGTCGAGCACAACCCTGTAAAAGTGAACTCATATGTCATCGCACCTCATGAAATTTTGAAAGAACTATTGAAACTTTTGACAGAGGCAGACGATATAAACATCAAAGAAATAGAACCCGACATTGCTTGCTGTGGTGTTTCATATAATGTCATTGACAAGATATACGTTATGAAAGGAGGTGAAACGTTGAACTTAAAATATAGTTTCCCAGACGTCATAAAAATATTTGACGACCACAACATTTCATTAAAATTTAGTTGCTAAGTAAATGGCAGAAGACATAGTGGTTTATACTATTACGACTAAAAACCCTGAGTCATATAATTCTATAACAACAAACTTACAAAGTCCTCAAGGACGATATTGTAAACTGACCTTAAACACGATGACGACTAAAGCCTGTTTTGCTCTTTTGACACCAGAAGACTTTGTTGTTGTGAATGGTAAAAAATACTTCTTTGAAGATACTTACTCAGATATACCACCAACAGGTTTTGTTGACTTATTTAATACTTTAAGGACGGATGTAACATGTGCTGCAACTAGAGCAGGTTTCATTATGTTTGGATGTCCGACTGAGTTTAGTATAAACGATATGAGCTATAATACAAAACTTATATCTGGTTTTTACTACCAACAGTTTCCTATAACAGGAAAAGGTGTCATACAAGGAATGTCTGTTCCATTGACTTTAAGTACACCTATTTTATATATTGTTTCAAACTTAGGTTCAAAGTGCTATTCGAATGTCGACAGAAACTACTATGACCAAAAGATACTCATGCGTATAAACAACACTTTCTCTGCTGGTTTGCCTATTGTTCATTCGAATGCAGAGTTTTCAGCTTTAGTAAACTCAAACACTTTAGCAAACATAAACTTAACCTTAGTTGACGCAAACTTTGTTCCTGTAAAACTTTTATGTCCTATGTATTTGTCAATGACGGCAGAAAGTTTCGAATTGGAAGATGCAACTGGTGAAAGTATTGTATTACAAGAACAACTTCAACAACAAATAGCTCAAGAACAACAAATGCAACAAATGCTCAAGAACAACAAAGTCAAGAATAAAAAAAATATTTTTTTTTATTTTTATAAAAATGTACAGAATAGATGTTTCAGATTTTTATGACTTCCAAGCGTTCAGAAATATGTGTCCATTTCGAGACTATAACAAAGCAGTCGAGAATTTGAAACGTTTAGTCATTTATGTCGACTCTGCCCCAGAATGTTATGTCATGAAAGAATGGGATGTTGTCTTTAACAAACCAAGAGCGACAATAGTTTCAGAACAAGAATGTAGACAGAAACTTAAGAAAATAAAAGTCGTACAAGTTGGCATGAAGATGTTAGATGCTTGGGATATCTTATTGTCAAAGTTAGAAGATTTTTCAGTTCGTGGTATAAAGTTCTATACACCTTCTCCAAACTTCTATTCTATCTTCACTGGATATAAATACGAACAAGTAGAATGGAAAGAAAATATTATAGAAGCTTGGTTAGACCATGTCAAAGAAATTATATGCAATGGAAACGAAAGAGTCTATGAGTATATCTTATGTTGGTTTGCAAACATCTTACAACATCCAAGTGCTAAAAATGAAACTGCTCTCATTATAATTGGAAAACAAGGAACTGGTAAGAATACTTTCTTTACAGATATTTTGTGCAAACTGTTAGAGGGCTATTCGAATCCGAATATGACAAACTTAGAAAACATCTGCGGTAAATTTAACTCTTCAATAGAGAATATGAAACTTATAGTATGTAACGAACTTCAAAGTATAGATACAACAAAAGTTTTGAACTCAGATGCTTTGAAGAGTCTTATAACAGACAAAGTTGGAGTTGTTGAAAGAAAATATAAAGACCAAAGAGTTTGTGAAAATGTTGCAAATTTCATCATGGTTTCAAACAATGCCGTTCCGATGAAGTTAGAAAGTTCTGACAGAAGATATGTAGTTGTCAGAACGTCAGAAGCTCATATGCAAGATACAGAATATTTTGACGACTTAGCAGAAACTTTGACACCTAACTTTTACAACCACTTGTTCTCATATTTCATGACATTAGATATTTCTAAGTTCAATCCAAGACAAATTCCACATACCGAAGAAAGACAAACATTGTTAGAAGCAAACAAGAGTATTTATGAACTGTTTATAGATGAGACTAACTTTGAGTGTTTAGATGAAAGGTCATTGTACGATGAATATAAACAGTATTGTCAAGAATATGGTTATATGGCAGCTTCTAAACGAACATTCTTGGCAAATGTCAAAAATCTTTTAGATGTTCAGAATGGCGTATATACAAAGAAAAATTTTTCTGAGTAAATTTAAAAAAAACATTTTTTTATCCGATAGAAAAGATGACGAAATATATTTCAGTCAACAAGTACATGACAGGACTTAAAGAAGAACTAGACCCATTCGCTTATTTGAATGTTTACTTCTACCATTTTGAAAAGTCTTCATTCAGCAAAGTTTGGAACATCGAACCAGTTAAGTTTGCTATTGTGACTAAAAATGGTGCGAAATTTGAAGACTTAGACATAGAAGGTTTGTTAGCAGTCAAAGAAAATTTTGACAGAAGGTTTTCAAACCTTAAAGAAGGCAAAGCATACAAACTTGTTATACCTTATGAACCAAAGAAAGCAGACGACTATGAATATTATGAGTCTAAGATAGTTGAAGTTCAAGGTAAATTGGGTAAAAAGATTTTAGAGTCTAAACCAGTGTTTGCTCCTAAAGAGGAAGAGAACATTGACATTGACCCAGAAATGTTCTAAAAATAAAATTTTATTTTTACATGTCAAATTTCTTTTTCTCTGGAACTGGTTCAGGTTCTTTCTTCTCTTCTACTTTCTTTTCTTTCTTTTCTTTCTTTTCTCTCTTCTTCTTCTTTTCTGGTGGAGTTATGTCAAATTTCTCAGAACCATATTTATGTAAAAGTTCTTTGTCCTTTAATAGCTCTTCTATTCTGTTTTCTATTTCATCTTCAAGAACAGCGCATGTGCCTTCTTTGCATTCTAAGAACTTTTGTTGGACTTCATCTTTCCAATCGGCGTCATCTCTGTCAACAAGTCTGTCATTGACAAATTTTAAGACTGCTCTTTGTAATGTTTTATGGTTCTTGTCATATTCCCAGAAACAGAACTTTAGAACAAATTCACCTTTCTTGTTTACACTATGTAGATTTTATGGTCGACAGATGTTTTGCTGTCGAAAAGTTTGTCTCGAATATAGATAGCGAAATCGCTAGACATTTTCAAAAAGATAAAAATTTTAATTTTTCTAAAAATATGTTAGAAAAAAAGTTTGCTGACATTGACAAAAAATTTGAGAATGTTTTAAACAAGAACAAGAGGAAGTTGGAAAATGCTCAGATAAAACCCATACATGACAAGTTCTTATTTGCTCAGAATGGTATAACAGGTCTAATCGCACCACCTGGGTCGGGTAAGACTTTCACTTATCTTAAAATGGCTGCACAACAACAAGAACTAGATGAGAAGAACCCATTCTATGAGTTAGTTGTTATTTGTAGTACTTCTGGTCAATTTGACCAAACCGTCAATTCGTTCAAAGATATTATAAAAAAGTCTAAGTTAGTATCTATAAAAGACTCTGAGTTGTTAGATTGGATAAAGAAGTACCAAAGAAGAGTTTTGAAGTACAATGCTATAAATGAGTATATAAATTCGAAGTTTAAAGACCCAAATGAGGAAATGCAGAGAATATTAGAGAAGAAACACTTCAGAAACAAACAGAAAGAGATAGAATACATTTCGAAGAAATTGCAATCTTACGATTGGAAGACTTACCCTCATAGATGTCTTCTTATTTAGATGACTTTGCTTCTCATCCTTTGTTAAAGAACAGAGAACAAGATATGTGTCGAATTCTTAAGAAGCTCAGACACTTTAACATCTCAGTTGTCATTTGTGTACAGACAGCAAAGAGTTTAAGTAAGGATGTAAAGAGAATACTTACTGACATTGTACTTTTCCCTGGATTGTCCGAAGACGATTTCATGGAACTTATGAAAGAGTCCATGGCAGGTAAGTTTGACAGACATGAACTATGGGAGAAGTACAAAGTCATACAAGACCCTCATACTTCTTTCAGAATTCATATCTACGCAAACAAAGTTCAAATTGTAAAAAGTCAAGCTTGAAAAATAAAGAGTGCATCTACCCTACTTGTTTGAAGTTGTCAAAATACTCTCTTATTTTTTACGATTTTCATGAGTTTTGGCTACCCCTGTAAAAGTCGGTCTAGAGAAATTTCATGAAATTTGGTCATTTTTTTCAGCAAAAATATATTTTAGGGTAGAAGGTTAGATCTAACCTGTTTTCTAACCTCTTTTCTACCCCATATGTCCTTACTGAAAAAGTACGTGTTCCATATGTCATTTTACTCAGAATTTTACTCAGAATTCAATAAAAATATATTTTAGGGTAGATGGTTAGATCTAACCTGTTTTCTAACCTCTTTTCTACCCCAGTTATTTTATAAGCGTTTTACATGGTAAACATTGTGAATTCGTGAAATTCTAAACAATTTCGTAGCTTCTATTTCTTCTGTCAGTATGTCAAAAGTTTTCACAATGCCGAATGTTTCTTTATATTTCTTCTTGACATCAGATAGAAGGAAATCGTCAGCTGTTGGATAGTTTTTGTTTAGAAATGTCAACATGTCCATTTTATCTTCTGCTGGTTTCTCTGCTTCTTCCTTTAAATCAGCATAGTCGTTTCGCATTCTTTCTATCTCTTTGACGGAGTAGTTATATTTCCTCATTGCTGCTTTACATTTTGAACATTGTGGGTTCATTTTAGCATTGTACATTGAAATTTGACCTGCTAAAACAACTAAGGCGTCAATGGTTTTCTTTAACTCAAAAGTTGCTGGTTTTATCTGTTCGTTCCATACTTTACCTCTTTTATCTTTATCTCTTATCTGCCATACACATTTTGCAACTAACGAAACAAAGTTGTCGTAGGTCTTAAATTCTTCAGATTTGTATATGTCAGAGATGTTCTTATATAACATATCGCAATCTTTGTCCATGACTTTGTGGTTGCAATGAAATCCAAGAAACTCATAGTTAACCTTACGTATGAACTTCTTTATTTCTACTGAGTCAGTTGCTTTGACTTCTATTTCATCGAATTCTGGAATAGTAAGCTTTTGTTGTTGTATTTCAGGAAGTTTAGGTAGATGGTCAATAATATCCTGCATTTCATAAAGATATTCTTCATCTGTTTCATCTTTTGCACTACAGTTTAGATCTCCTTGGAGAAGTTCCTGCTTTATCTTCTGGATTTCTTTTCGAAAGTATATGAAGAAGGAATGAAGCTTTTCATCTCTACTAACATTGAAGTTGGGTTCATGACTAACGAGTTTGGTGCTGTTGTTGCTAACATGTTCTTACAATAAAAATAAAAAAATATTTTTTTAAAAAAACCAACTTTATTTTTTATTTCGGGAAAACTCATGACAAATTCAAGAGGGTAGAAAAGAGGTTAGAAAACAGGTTATATCTAACCTTCTACCCTAAACATTATTTTTGCCGAATTCTGTATAAAATTCATGACAAATTCAAGAGGGTAGAAAAGAGGTTAGAAAACAGGTTAGATCTAACCTTCTACCCTAAAATATATTTTTGGGTGTAAAATTCAAATTGTAAAAAGTCAAGCTTGAAAAATCTAAGTGTTTAGTCTTAGTAAGATGGTAGCTTCTTAAAGCATATGCCGTCCTTGAGTTTTATGTACGTGAAGAGAAGTACAATGAATTCAATTACGAGTACAATTGCAATGACAACTAAGGCAACTATTTTTGTCTTTTGCCAGCAAGGTACTTCTTCTCTTCCAATGGTTCGGCAGAACTATACTCACTCATGAGAAATGCCAAAACGGTTTAATAGAAAAAGTGTTATTTTTTCATGTCCGAAGACTCGAAGGTGCAACACTTCCAAAATACCGACGAACTCAGAAGAGCAGCATGGCAGTATGTTCTTGACAACTTCTTTGAGTTCTCCAGGCACACCTTGGAAAATGCTGAAGAACTCCGACACAGAGAATTTGGAGAAATTGCACTCCAATACTACCTTGACAAACAAAGGGTAAACAAAGGGTAAAATAAGACTAAAAACTTAACGTTTAAAAAGTGACATTTTTAATGAGCTCCGAGTCACCGAGAAAACTTGGTCAGATGTTAGCAGCTTACTTCCCTGAGGAAGATGGAAGCGTTACATACGTAAGGTTCAAAAACAACGAACCTGGAATTGCGTACCAAATTCGCAATTACATGACCATGGAAGAGTACGAAAGGTTTCTACAAGAGAAACCAGCTCTAAACAACTCAGAAAAGAAAGAGTAAAAAGTTTAACTCGTAATTGTTTATTTTTTTACTTGTATGGGCAAGCTGCAAGAATGAAGTCGACTATCTCAGTCTTTGTCTTGACCAGTTGGACTGCTCTTGCGAGTACGTCTGTTTTGCGGTCTCCAGCTGGTGTCTGACCTTCGTAATTGCGCATGTTCTTGAGAGCTCCAACTGTAAATGGTTGTAGGATGAAGAGTCTCTCAGACTGCTTGAGGTAGTCTTCACGGTCACGAACCGAATCTGTGGTACGAGTCGAATCGGTCGATTAGGGAAGAGACTGAAAGCCTGTCATCTTCCATAGGGGCTGTGGCATAATCTTTGCGTAAACGGTTCAGACCTTCCGAACTCTTGGTCTCTCTTGATTGAGATTGGAATTGGAATTGCTGGGGTGGAGCTTGCTGGAACATCCAAGGGTTGGGGAAGTAAGGCATAGGCTGAGGAGGGTAGTTCGGGAAGCCTTGTAGTGGAAATTGGTAGTAACCTTGAGGTGGAAATTGGTAGTAAATCGGAGGTACTTGCTGGAACTGAGGTTGCTGAGGAGACTGTTGTGGTTCTTTAGGTTCCTCTGGCTTGGGAATGGGCTCGGTTGGTGGGACGTCGGACATTCGTTTGTGGCTTAACCGTCGGACCACAACGATAAAAATCTCTGCTCCTAGCAGTACTGCTACTGACAGTAGCAGTACTTTTACTGACAGTAGCAGTACTTTTTCTGACAGTAGCAGTACTTTTTCTGACAGTAGCAGTACTTTTACTGACAGTAGCAGTACTTTATCGTCGAAAACCCTCTCAAATTTTCCTTTTTACTGCTCCTAGCAGTACTTTTACTGCTCCTAGCAGTACTTACTGACAGTAGCAGTACTTTTTCTGACAGTAGCAGTACTTTTACTGACAGTAGCAGTACTTTTACTGACAGTAGCAGTACTTTTTCTGACAGTAGCAATGGTCGAGGTCGAACCGACCGACGAGGCAATTTACCTAATTGAAATTAACGAGCTTGTTAAAGACTTCCTCAGGCAGAATGTAAAAGGCAAGCTTGTTAACTGTTGGATAACGGGAAGGGCTGCCTTGAATCTCGAGACTTCGACTGGAATTCCAATTCAAATACCAGACGGGACAGCCTACGACGACATAAAGCAAGCAAAGAAAGAAGCTCTTCTCAAGTTCTTTGCCAAGCGTCCTTGGATACAACTTCCAACCAGAGAGAACCCTTTCCCAAGAATGAGCCAAATTCTCAAGGGTCTCCTTCACTTCTCGGGTCAGCCGTTCTACATAACCTGTGAAGGCGACATCCAACCAGTTCAGTAAACATCTCATTTTCACTTCACTTTTTTTATGTTTTTACTCACACTCGTACTCAACAGGTTTGTGTACAACTATTTCAACTGTGAACCTTGTATTGACCGGTCTTCCTGTAAATGCAAGTTTGGTCAATACACAGTTTATGGTGGCAAGAAGGACAGTGGGGAATGTTATTCTGACATCTGTTGTTGCGCTCGAGAGAGAATTGAAATTTCAGAGCCACCTCCCCCAAGAACTCCAACACCAACACTCAAGTTGCCAAAGACTCATGTGAAGAAGAAGCCTTCTGGTAAGTTTCTTATAGCCATATACATGGCACGCTTTGAGTAAAAACATTTTTTTCATTTTTGAATGAAGCAAGTTAAATTCGTCCCACACCAATCTCAATGGACCGATGAAGAGTTTCAAGCTATGGTTGAAGGTGTTGAGAACGACATAGACGGCGAACTTGAAGGAGCTCAAATCACAATTGCAACCAAAATTGCAGAAGTCAAGGAACAGATAGCTCCACTTAAAGCTACCAAAGCTACTCTTGACCTCATGGATAGTTACCGTTTAGAAGTAAAGAGTGGAATAAGACAATTAAAATTAAAACTTCTAAACTACGAAGCTATACTCCAAAAGTTAGCAGAAATGAGAAGACTTTACCAGAGCTACTTACATGTAAGGGACTTACCTTCAAGCAGTCCGACCAAAGATGAATTTTCTGACATTGTCCCAATTTTGTCCGAAAGTCAGCTCAGATGTTTCGAACTGCTCCCAACATATCCAGAATATGAAAATTTGCCTGAACTCTTCCGCAATCTCAAAAAACGTTTTTTGGTTCTCATGTTCGAAACTTTTATCGGAAGAGACAACAAACGTTCAGAAGAAGAACAAGATATTATTTTAAACTTGTTGTATGACTTAACCGTCATAACAAGCTTTTTGAAGTAAAACCGTCATTCTCAAACCACTTCATTTTTTCGATGTCCGAACAAGCACCGAAGCCGAACACAATGGCAGATGTCCTTTCAATGTTGCCAGACAAGCGCCCAGTTCAAATTCAAATTTTGAATTTGAAAGCTCATCTGACAAACACCGTTAAGACTCTCCAAAGTAGTCTTATGGAAGAGATGACCAAGCTCAAAGCCGATGTCCTCATGAACCAAGCTTCCAATGAGAAATGCCTGAATGATTTGACGGAAACCTTGCGCATTTACGCGAGAGAGAACCGAGACCTTGCCAGACTCATCTACCGTTTCTTCGAAGAGATAGACGCCATCTGGAAGGTACTCGGAAAGGACAGAACATGCAACACCGTACTTCGTGAACACAGAATTGAAGAAGGAATTGTCGAGGAAGAAGAGAAACACGAAGAAGAGGAAGAGGAAGAAGAGGAAGAAGAGAAACACGAAGAAGAGGAAGTTTGGGCAACCCTTGTTGCCGATGACACTTACGAAATTTCCCAACCCTACCCATACCAAATCCGCAACAGGGAGACCGGCAAGGTTCTTACCCCAGTCCTCAACAACTTGGGACACTTGAACCTTACCCTTCGGAATTACGGTAATTTCCATGGGAAGCTTGTCGCAATTCAATGGGTTCCAAATCCAACAAGAAGACGAAGGTCAGACACATTGACGGTGACAAGCTCAACAACCGTAAGGAGAACCTCGAGTGGTTCTAAGAGTAAAAAAATTTTATTTTAGGGGGAAACCCCAAGTAAATTTAGGTGTTTATTTGGATAAGTATGTGAAATTAAGGTCAATTTGCAAAATTAGTTCCCGACCTTGAATTGGACTCTTTCGTCATCCCAGTTGCGTAGGAGGTCGTCCCAGAGGAGTTGGTAGATTGCCAATCCAAGGACGATTTGTCCTCCCAGGCATTGAGGATGTACTGCTCGTAGAGTCTCATGACCTCTCCTTGCACCAGACACCCTCTCCCTTGGAACGTAAGGCTTCTTCGAAGTGCTCGAATGCGATTGGCTGCGTGACCATCCGAAATGACACTTTTTGTCCGTTTGGTCAATGTTCGTGTCTCGTGCCATAGTCGACGAAAATACAGACAAACAGGTTATATATGAGTTTGAGACCAAGAATGGTGTAACTCGACCTGTCCGATTCAAATTCGAATAAAAATTTTTTATTTCATGCAATGTTTTATTTCACCTCTTCTTTAACACCCCAGTACTTACGCTTGAGATTACATGAACTTCGGTGAAAATTTTGTCCAATTTGAATTGACCCATCTTTTCACCGACCATGCCCATTTCAATGAGTTTGTTGTACCTTCTTCGTTCGTCATGAGTGCGTCAATGTTCTCATAGTAAACCTTCACTTTGGATTTGACTTCGGAGAAGAATTTGTTGTAGTTGTCAAGGACTGCCTTTGCGAACTGAGGGTAAGACCAATGTTCGACAATAGGTTTTAATGTGGTTACTAAGCCACTTTGACCTTGAGTGAATTCGTACTTCAAAACAAAAGGAGAAAACCTTTCAACAAAGTTGTCGACCTTCTCATAATGTTTACTCTTCATCTCTTGAGGTTTTTAATGGAATATCCCCATGTCGAATTCATAAGCAATTTGAGTGTCATTGCAAGTTTGGGGTTTGAAGCTTTCCTAATATCATACAGTTGTTGTATGACTTTTCCAACTGTATAGTTCCTTCCTGGGAACTCACCATCTTCGTTTGGAATTCCAGTCGGGATATATTGGACGAACCTCATGTACGCAGCGTTAAGGTCGACATAGTATATCTTTTCATTGAGTCGAACTTGTCGCAACCAATGGGTCCAGTTTGGAAATTCAAGTGAGTCTCTTATCTTCTGAGAAACTTCTCCTGTTATCTCATAAACATCGTCGAAGCAACCTGTTTCATATAAAACCTTCTGACCTAACTCAGATGCTCTCCAATACAATTTGACGTCAATTGGATGTCTCAATGGAAGTTTGTTTATAGCATCTTGAAGTTCTTGCAACCTCATTGGAAGTTCTTCTGGTTCAGGTTGGTATCCGAACAATCCAACTCCTTTTGGAATTGTGTACTTCTTTTGTGCTAGAACTTTGTCTGGAACAACTTTTGGTCTTGCTAACAATGAAAAGTTTGTTTCGTCTTTTGGTACAAAAGTTTCTGTCAGCTTGTCATCTGGAATTGGTTCCAACAAACCTTTCTCGAAAAGAATGTTAACAGCTCTGACAATGTTGCACTTGCCTTTTCCGAACAATGGGTTTGTAAGACTTTCGTTCAACATGAAGTGGTTGTGGACAATTACAATCTTCAACCATGGTAAGTCTTTGTCAACAACATAGTCGTCATGTGAAGAACCTTTCTCAGTCGGTATGTTGACTCGGATATTGACATTTGCCAACGGTGCAATTTTTGCCAATTGACCTCTGAGAATGTACCTTGTCTTCACACATGACTCAAGATACTTCATCTTCTCATCTGTAACAAGACCAGAGTTCCTGAGACATGTAAGAATACAAGGTTCATTGACAATTGTTTCAATTGAATTGTAAATTCCATACCTTGTCAAGTCAATGTCAGACTTATTTATGAACGGGAAGTATCCAGCATGTTGTCTGACTGCTTGAGGGTTAGGTTGGTACCATTCGAACTTGACACTTGCAATTCCTTCAATTGCATTCAAAATGTCTGAGTCGGAGTCAACCATTTGTTCTCTCTTTGTAGTCTTGAAAGCGTCAAGAAGTTGCAGCTGTTGTGACATTGCCATGTGCATAGTAAATGTGACCATCCAAATCTGTTATGGTCAATCTGAGATTGTATCCTTTCTTATTTCCGTCTTGAATTGCAGCAAGTACTCCCATGAAGCCTTCTTTGTTCTTTCCTTCGTCAAAGTTTACTGTAAAGGTTCGACCAGATGTAATTTGACTTCTAACTTCACGATACTTTTCATATGCATATCTTGTTCTTTCCATGGGAGCATGTGCGTCTTCACCTTTTCCTTTTTTCCTTCTCAAAGGATGCAATTGTTCGTCATGTTTCCAGTAGAATCTGGCAAAGCCGTCGTGTCCTTCAACTTGAGGTCACTAACATCGAAAGGCATGTCCATAAGACGTTCTTCTTCTAACCTCTCTAGTCTGTTTGGATAATTTGGCACGTGCTGTTTCCAAATCCATTTCGTAGCGAAGACCAGACAGTTTGTCATAGACTTTTATGGGTCTTCCCTTCCTATATTTAAACTTCTTCGAAACTCTCCAACCATATCTTTCAACTCTGCTTTTATTCTAGCAGATTTTCTATCCATTCTATATGGGGGCATTTTTATAAAAATAAAAAAATGTTTTTTTCTTTACTTTACATAACCGCCTGCTGCCATAAGTCTTTGACGCCAACCCATACCAGCTAATGAAGGTTGACTTGGTTTAGTTTGGAAACTAAACTTTGGTTTTGGTTTATCTTCAGTTTTTGGTTTTTTTCTTCTATCGGTTTTTCGTCACTTTTCGGTTCCTCTGACTTTACCTCACTTGCAGGAACAGTTGTGTCGTCAACATCTTCATAAATATCATATGCCATTTGTTTTTGTTTTCCTTTCAACTTTTTGTGTTTGTTGTAAAGTTTAGAATATTTCGACTCTAAGTCAATGAGATGTTCTATAATGAACTGTTGGTCAGTGAAGTAAACTTTTCCATCTGTTGTCTCGAAAGCTCCTTCAGACTTCAATATTTTATTTGTGAGAGTCTGTTTCTTTTTTGAGATACTAGCCGTTCCATTTCTATGAAAAGTGACTTTATAGTTAGGGTTTGTATTTCCAGACCTGGCACTTTCTATTATTGAATTTTTCTCTTCATCTGTAAGTTCTTTGACAGGTTTTGACAATGGTTCTGAACTTTTTGTTTGTGGTGTCAAATCTACCGTTTCAACTTCTTCGGTCATTTCATCTCAGTAAAAAATTTTAGTTTGGTTTGTTTTCAACTGGTTGTTTAGGTTTTTTAAGTCGGTCTAAAACTTCCTGAGGTATAGGAAGAACTTGACAAACACGTGGTTGTGTAACTGCTGGAAGCGACAAATCCATCTTGAACCCATTTGTCTCAATGCTGTATTGTTCATTTCATCTCAGTAAAAAATTTACATTCCCCACGTTTGAGGCGGTTGCGGTTGGTTATTGTTTACCCATGTTGTGCATGGTTATATCCTCTGTTAAAGAATCTTTCACCTTGGTCCATATAGTGTCCTGCTTGGTTATAGTAGTCATTTGCTTTGTTATAATAGTTTCCTGCTTGTCTTCCTACATTGTCCATCCATCCTTGAACTTTTCCTCTTGTTTCAGGATTTGGAATAAGATTTGCTGCATCTCGTGCTACATCCCAACCTTTCTGTACAGTTTGTATAATAGGTTGTGCTTTCTCTTTCAGTATACCTAATGTACTCAAAATCTTCCTTCCAATCCAAATCACCTCTGGCTATTGTTCCCACTGCGGGCAAAAATCTGGATGCAACTCCTGCTAATGCGCCAAATAAACCCATTTCTTATGGGTAAAAAATGACGAATCCAAACAAGGACCCCTATGTTTCTAAGGCAACAAAGAAAGCACTCATGATAAAAATCTTTAGTTCAACACCAAATGCTTGGTTTATGGATATCTTGGAAAACATTCCGAGGTATAGAGAAGATGGACCACCATACTGGCTAATATTTGTCGGTCAAAACACAAGATACTGTGAAGCCATACCATTATGTCCAAAAATATTTTAGATATCTGCAGCTTTGACAATATTCGTTGACAAATACCATCCAACAAAACTGACATCTGACTGTGAAAGTTCTTTCAAATCAGACGATATTAAAAACTATCTGCGTTCAAAAAATGTAAACCAATATTTCATTGTCGACCAAAACCATTCTGCTCTTGGTGTCATTGACAGTTGTATAAAAATCTTAAGAGACTTAAACCAACCACAAGGTGGTGAGGTAGATGAAATGTCATATGACGACAAATATAGACACTTCTCCATGGCAAAGATGAGACAAGTTTTAAATATTTACAATAGCCGTAAACAAAAAGGTTTGGGAAACCACTCCCCCGAAGAAATGAAAAACAACCCTGACTTAGAGAAAGACTATATATTTAATAGTTTAGTCAAAAGAGACAAACAAGAAAGAATGCCAGGCTTCAAACTTAAGAAAGGTGACAAAGTAAAAATAGAAATACCTAAACGCGACCCATATGAAAATACTATTGACTATGACAACAATGGGAACTCGACAGGTACTCGCATTCGTGTTCGTAAAAATAGAAGAAAGTATACAAGAGAATATTATGAAGTTTTAGGCAAACATGGCAAAATGTACAGACTGCAAGCAGAAGATAAAACTACTATTGTCAGACCTCGTTTCAAACTTGTTAAAGTTCAAGGTGGTATACTTTCAAAGACAGTTCCTAACAAATATAAGACAACTCCTGACGAATATGCTAAAGAAGTTGAAAATGACGACTAAGCAATTCTATACCATGCACAAACTGTCATGTAAGGTGGCATGTATTTTTTACCTAGTCCTGTAGATGTTGTTGTAAAAGTATGTTGGTGGTTTCCAGTTGTATCTGTCCACATTCCATTCCAGTCTACTGGGTCGTTTGGAAAATGAGATCTTGACATAACTTGAATTTGCATTGAAGTCTGAGAAACAGTGTTATATCCTTGTTTGCAAACCCTATGACTATGGTTTCCATTAGAACTTGTTGTACCAGAATGACTATGTGGTGGCAAGTTGTCGACAGATATCGTTTTACTTCCACCTGTTTTCTTTGGAGTGTGTGCACAATACAAAAAACTTTCGAGTATTTGAGTCCAAGTTCCAAAACCAAGTACTACTTCTGGTCTGGTAGAGTTCATTGACGTATAAATAGAACCAACTGGGTAAATGGTTTGAAGTATTTCTGTCTTTAATGTTTGAAGCTCTGTTTTGTCTGCTTTCTTGTCATATAAATCTTGAGCAGTGAATTTAATATTATGTTCATCCTCCATGACATAAACATCTCTACATCTAATGTTTCTCATCGTTGTTATGTCGTCATCCGATGTTAAACCTTGTGGAAAGTTAGGAGGTTTACAATATATTGCATCCCCACCAGTTTCTTCAACCGTTCCTTCAATATTTTCTATACCAACAGTTGCGAAGAAGCTATGTGTATGTCCAACGTCACTTTTCCTGTTTAAGGTTTCTTGTAAGTTTGTAATATTTGCAATGGTATGTGTATGTCCAACGTCACTTTTCCTGTTTAAGGTTTCTTGTAAGTTTGTAATATTTGCAATGGTATGTGTATGGTTCTTATCCGCTTTAAGGTCTAAACATTCTGAAACCCACCCTGTATTGGCTTTACCTTCTAAAATCTTCGATGTCCGTTCATGGTACCATTCAACCCTTTCTATAATTTTTTCATCTTTTTCATTCACATATTCCTTATCTGCCTTCTTCACTAACGCACTAGCCACATATGCTATTGCATCGTCTACATACTCTTTGTCAGCTTTGTTGTCAATATCTGCTTTCAAAAGAAGTTCATCTATAGGTTTCTCGTTTAAAGTTCTTTTTGTTGGATTTATACAAACAGTATGGTTCTTACTGTCTTGAAACAGAAACTCATCTGTCATTGGGTTTATCGTCAGTTTTAAGTTTCCTTCTTTCAATGACTCAGATATCTTAGAATAGTTTGAAAAGTTTGTTGTGTTCTTATTTAGAGCTTGTACAATGAGTTGTCGGTTGTGTTGTATTTCTCTCATAGACGCTGTTTCTTTCGACATTTTTATTCTAGATAAAATATGCTTTCAATAGAAAAAGAAAATTCAAGAGTTGCTACAACTAAACCATTAGATGAACTTTTTACGAATGTCGGTCAAAAGTTTGAGACAGAGACCGTAAAGCATGAAGGCTATCGTTTTGACTACCCATTGAGATGGCTAAGAGACCCATCCGTCACAAAAGCTATTGGCTTTCGTAGAATGAAGTTCATTTCAGAAGCCATACATGGTTTCCCATTTACGGTCGGTTTTGAAGTTCGATACTATAACAAAGAAAAACGTACGTATGAGAAATTTGAACAGGGAAAACTTTTACAAGTGAATTTGCTTGTAAACTTAGAAACAACTCTTCAAGCTTTTCAAGAAAAAATAAACGATATCTATCTCGAATATGCAAACCAGTATAACATTGACGAAGGAGAGTACCATCTCGATATTATATATGACAGGAAAAATGCAACTGTTAAAATCAATAAAATAGAAGACCTTGGAGAAAACGTTTATATTTCTACAAAATATAACAACTTGGCATGGTATAGATTTTTGAGGATGTTAAATCAGCCTGCAGAATATCCAGTACACCCGGACTTTTATGAAGTCGAAAACCCTAATGGAACATATGAAAATGTTTTCGACCAAGATGCTATTATCGTTCATGCTTCATTTTCTGGTGCACAAAACTCTTTTTTATGCTTGGCAAATGACTTTTACGAAAAACCTACAAAGCTATATGAACCACCAAGTGGAAGTATTTCAGACTTTCAAGTATGGTTTACTACAGATGGAAGAAAGAGAATAATTCCATTATACCACGCGTTTTACTTAGAACTTAGTTTCATATACAACTACTATCGAACGGTAAAAATATGATTTTTTAATACGGTTGAGGTGTTGGATTTGGTTGCCAACTAGACTGTGGTGCAGGTTCAGGCTGTTGTATAACAGGAGCTTGTTCTTCTGGTTCAGGGTCTTTAGGTATAATACCAACGAACTGACCTACTCTTTTACCAATATTTTTGACACCGTTCCATACTCCTCTTCCGACAGATTTTATTCCATTCCATATACCTCTTCCAACATTTCGAAAGAAGTTTCCTATTCTTCCAAAGAAACCCATTTTACTATATGTAAAAATCTAATGTCCGCCTAGTCTCTTACGTTTCCTGTTGAGTTCCATAGCATTCTTTAACTGGAGCTCATACATTCTGTTTCTCCTCTGGTAGAAAACATACTCTGGGTCAACTCCTGTGTTCGCGTCATCTGCATAGAGTTGTTTATATCCCACTTCAGGGTTTGTATAAAACTCTTTCCATCTCATATTTGCATACCATGGTGGCAAACCTAACGCAGCGTCATTTGACATGGCAGTTTGCATTTGTACATCTGTTGGCACTTGACCATAGTTTGCCATTGCAGTTTGTATTCTAACTTCATTTGGAATATTCTCTGGGTTTGGTTGTCCAGGTTGCTGTGCATTCGCTAAGTTCTGTGCGTCCATTTAATATTAGATAAAAATATCTCTTACGAGTACATATACTGAACATTTGCAGGCATTGGTTCATCTTCATATTCTCTATATCTTTCTGCCACGTCAAATAAGTAAATGACACAATGGAAAAAACCTAAAACAAGTAGTCCTATTTCAAACCACATTTACTTACTAGTAAAATTTCTTTGTTATGACACTTTCTCCAGTTTATAGGACCTCTCTCATATTCTATCTTATCGTATCTAAACTCATAGTCATGTATGTCCTCTAACCATCTCATGACACTTTCCAAACCACTTTTATCGGATGTAAAGTAAAAGCATGGATGGTTATGTAAAACGTCTAAAGTTTCTAAAGAGTCTCTCAAAGTCCAGTCTACTTGGTATTGAAAATCCCATGTGTTATAGAACGGCGGGTCCACTATAAAGAAAACATTTTCCTTGTCTTTATATTTTTCATACAACTCTGTCCAATGACATCTCACAAACTCTATACCCTCAATATATTTTTCTATGTTCTCTTTGAAAACATTTGTATAGTTAAGATATAAAACTTTTGACATAAGTGTTTCAATGTCATGAACTCTTATAGCACCACTATATAATAGTCTAGCAGATATACTATCCCAGTCAATATACTCTGCTTTTTTCAAAACCTCTCTTACAATATTTTTCTTATCTAATGGTATACGTTCCATCTTACCTATAGGTATCTTTTCTTTTAACGCTTTCAATATTTTGTTTGTGTCTGGTATATGTTTGAGACGGTTCATATAGTTGTCGAAGTCATTGCATATAATCTTTGAGTCTGGGAATACGGTATGGCACAGATGGGATATATAGAAACTTCCACCGAACAAATCTACAAATGTTAGACCATTCGGTAGTTTCTTAAGTTCTCTCAATAGAATATCTTTACATCTACTCTTATTTCCAAAGAAGGGTAACGGTGGTTTTGTAAAATTCATTTTATATATATAATAAAAATGTTTTTACCTGAAAAGTGACAGAAAAGCGGCTTTTGACAGATGTTTATATGACACTTTCTCAGTAAGGACATATGGGTAGAAATGAGGTTAGAAAAGAGGTTAGATCTAACCATCTACCCTAAAATATATTTTTATTGAATTCTGTATAAAATTCTGAGTAAAATGACAGATGGAACACATACTTTTTCAGTAAGGACATATGGGTAGAAATGAGGTTAGAAAAGAGGTTAGATCTAACCATCTACCCTAAAATATATTTTTATTGAATTCTGTATAAAATTCTGAGTAAAATGACAGATGTTTATATGACCCTTACTTGTCCGGTTTATAGGACCTCTCTCATATTCTATCTTGTCGTAAATAAAACTCACAGTCATGTATGTCCTCTAAACTTCATTTATACTAAACATCTTCGGGGCTAGAAGGCACGAAGTGCCTGGAAGCCCCACTACCTTTTTTTTTTTTTTTTTTTTTTGGAAAGATTTACGATTTTTTAATACTGCGAATGTTGTAAACAGAAATTCATCAAAAGTGACACCTCAGAAAAGCTAAAATATTGAATTTTTGGAACTTTTGATAGAGCACGTTTTTAAATATTAATTAAAGTAAATGTATATTTTGTAAAAATTCTTTTTAATAAAAAAATAAAATTTTGAAGAAGAACACAAAATCTTCTGAAAAATAATATCACATAAACTCATATTATTTTCTAATATATAACTATTTTATATAAAAATCAAATTCAATGATCTTAAAAGGGCGTGTGGGCAATTTTAACGACATTTTTTAACGCGATACGAGCGTAAGTCCATAGAATGTGTTTTGAGGGAAACTATAAAAATCCAAAATAGAGGTAAGTGCGCCATTATTACCTGCGAAGTTACATGGAATAAATCGAAGAGTAAGTACAAGATGATCTTGCATCTTTCCAAGTAAATGAAATTTATTAAAATTAAGATGATAATATTCATTTATAGTATGTGTATGATGTTTTTTCAAAATTTCTTCAAATAAAATGCAGAGAGAGGGTCAAAGTTGCTATTTGTCACTTTTCCACAAGAATATAATGGGGAAAAAGTTATCATATAGTTGATCTCATTCACTGAGGTGAGAGATGCATGTAGTGTAATTTGATAAACAATGGGATTGCTGCTCTAAGTCCTAGGTTCGAGACACATTGGCTTCATTTTTCTCTTTTTTATTGACGTAAACTATTCAATTTTTGTGTTCTCCATTCAAATTTCAGAATTTTTTTTGCAGATTTCACGCTACATTCGAAGTTACCTTTTGTAACAACCACCACTGCCTACGAAAGACGAAAGTGTGTCACGATTTCACCCGGAAATCCGACGGTTGTTTAAGAGTAAGCACTTTTGGTCGTATATTAATTTAACTAATATGAATTTGGATTGTGCTTTCCTTATTGATGTAATGATATTTTCACTAATAAAAAATGAAATATACACAAGAAAAAAATTATTCAAAAATTATCATTGCATTTTATTTGAAGAAATTTTGAAAAAACATCATACACATACTATAAATGAATATTATCATCTTAATTTTAATAAATTTCATTTACTTGGAAAGATGCAAGATCATCTTGTACTTACTCTTCGATTTATTCCATGTAACTTCGCAGGTAATAATGGCGCACTTACCTCTATTTTGGATTTTTATAGTTTCCCTCAAAACACATTCTATGGACTTACGCTCGTATCGCGTTAAAAAATGTCGTTAAAATTGAACCGCGCCGAAAAATAAAATTGACTTTGATTAAATGTTTTTATTTATCATGCAATTCTTCTTGCGACCAAAGATTTGAATAAAAGTTCAAAAAATAAGATAGCTTAAAAAATAATATACGGTAGTGTTTACTAATAGATGAATAGTATATAAATTCTATTAAAATGGATTTGATCCAAAAAAATATAAAACCAAAAATAATTGTTATAATTTAAATGAAGAAGTAATTTAAAACGATTTGATTTATGATCAAATTTTATATATTTTTTTGGATCAAATCCATTTTAATAGAATTTATATACTATTCATCTATTAGTAAACACTACCGTATATTATTTTTTAAGCTATCTTTTTTTTTGAAATTTTATTCAAATCTTTGGTCGCAAGAAGAATTGCATGATAAATAAAAACATTTAATCAAAGTCAATTTTATTTTTCATATTCAAATGGACTGAGTGTTAACATTTAACAATTTTTGCTAATTGTCGTCAAAAATTAGGCGTAAAGCAAAAATTGATATTTCATATGGTTTTATGATAGATAAGCATTATATTCCCACTCATTATATTCGTAAATTTTGAGGTTTATCCTTCGCTTTTAAGATCATTGAATTTGATTTTTATATAAAATAGTTATATATTAGAAAATAATATGAGTTTATGTGATATTATTTTTCAGAAGATTTTGTGTTCTTCTTCAAAATTTTATTTTTTTATTAAAAAGAATCTTTACAAAATATACATTATATCTACACACAGTTTTTTTCAATCAGACAATTGAAATCATCATGATGCATTTTCTTAAAAGGTGACTTATATAAAAATTGTTTTGCACTTTTTCAATTAACGCCACAATTTTTGAATACTATTCAAAATAAAAATCCATAATTTTATTGAAAAAGTGCATAAACAATGACATTATATTTGCACTTTTTCTGATTTCTTGATAATTTAATCGTCATCAAAATTGGACACATCTAAAACAATCTAAATATCAATAATTCAAATTATCCTAATAATTGTTCAATAGTCTCTTTATTTAAATTATTCGATAGTTTAAATAACGATATGTAAACTCTAATACCATAATTTGTAGATAGATTCTAATAGTATATATTAATGCAATTTTGATGTCCAATTTAATTAGTATTCAATTATATAAATTTTCTCTGACTTTTCTGAGAATTGAGCTGCAATAGTCAGAGTAAATTTGTCGTATACTCTATGCTTTCAATAATTAGCTTGATTTTAAGGGAACCTTAAAATCGAGAATTGAAAAGTCAGAGGATACTTATCAATATTTTTTAAATTCATAACGTCGGAAAAATAGACCAGCATCAAAACATTTTGAGCGGATAAAAGTTCGTGAAACCAAGTTAATGAATTTTTTTTGAATTTGTATTCAATTTAGTAATAATTCACGACGTGAGGATGTTTTATTGTCGTCTGGAAAAGTGACAAAATTATTATTGTCGTCTAAAAAGGTGACAAATTATTATTGTCGTCTGGAAAAGTGACAAAATTATCATTGTCGTCTAAAAAATAGATTTTTCAAGCATGTTTCGGTACCTAAATAAAGGAAGAACATCAATTCCATCTATGTATATAGTATGCAAACACGCATGATATATGGAGTAGCTCTTTATCTGGCTAAAAATCCTATTATTTGAAAATTCGCATTGTCGTCTAAAACCGCCAGACGACAATAATAATACCCCTCACGACGTTATAGATTTTACAATTTTTCTGAAAAATTGAGCTGATCGTTGAAAAATATGATATGCTTTAAATATATCTTTCATGTTTGATCAATTCTTTGAAAAGCGAAGATAAAAATGAAAGACAAATTTAATACAATAATATCTCCATTGTCTAAATCGTATCACTTTTAACCGAAACTTTTGAATATAACGTTATATTTTCGAATAAAAAAAAAAAAAAAAAAAAAAAAGGTAGTGGGGCTTCCAGGCACTTCGTGCCCTCTAGCCCTGAAGATGTTTAGTATAAATGAAGTTTTTATTCGGAGGGCTTCCAGGAGCTTTTCACAAATTATATATGTTTTCATGCTTTGTCACTTTTCTGTCACTTTTCGGGTAAAAACATTTTTATTATTATATATAAATGAATTTTACAAAACCACCGTTACCGTTCTTTGGAAATAAGAGTAAATGTAAAGATATTATATTGAGAGAACTTAAGAAACTACCGAATGGTCTAACATTTGTAGATTTGTTCGGTGGAAGTTTCTATATATCCCATTTGTGCCATACAATATTCCCAGACTCAAAGATTATATGCAATGACTTCGACAACTATATGGACCGTCTCAAACATATACCAGATACAAACAATATATTGAAAGAGTTAAAAGAAAAGATACCTATAGGTAAGATGGAACGTATACCATTAGATAAGAAAAATATTGTGAGAGAGGTTTTGAAAAAAGCAGAATATATAGACTGGGATAGTATATCTGCTAGACTATTATATAGTGGTGCTATAAGAGTTCATGACATTGAAACACTTATGTCAAAAGTTTTATATCTTAACTATACAAATGTTTTCAAAGAGGACATAGAAAAATATATTGAGGGTATAGAGTTTGTGAGATGTCATTGGACAGAGTTGTATGAAAAATATAAAGACAAGGAAAATGTTTTCTTTATAGTGGACCCGCCGTTCTATAACACATGGGATTTTCAATACCAAGTAGACTGGACTTTGAGAGACTCTTTAGAAACTTTAGACGTTTTACATAACCATCCATGCTTTTACTTTACATCCGATAAAAGTGGTTTGGAAAGTGTCATGAGATGGTTAGAGGACATACATGACTATGAGTTTAGATACGATAAGATAGAATATGAGAGAGGTCCTATAAACTGGAGAAAGTGTCATAACAAAGAAATTTTACTAGTAAGTAAATGTGGTTTGAAATAGGACTACTTGTTTTAGGTTTTTTCCATTGTGTCATTTACTTATTTGACGTGGCAGAAAGATATAGAGAATATGAAGATGAACCAATGCCTGCAAATGTCCAGTATATGTACTCGTAAGAGATATTTTTATCTAATATTAAATGGACGCACAGAACTTAGCGAATGCACAGCAACCTGGACAACCAAACCCAGAGAATATTCCAAATGAAGTTAGAATACAAACTGCAATGGCAAACTATGGTCAAGTGCCAACAGATGTACAAATGCAAACTGCCATGTCAAATGACGCTGCGTTAGGTTTGCCACCATGGTATGCAAATATGAGATGGAAAGAGTTTTATACAAACCCTGAAGTGGGATATAAACAACTCTATGCAGATGACGCGAACACAGGAGTTGACCCAGAGTATGTTTTCTACCAGAGGAGAAATAGAATGTATGAGCTCCAGTTAAAGAATGCAATGGAACTCAACAGGAAACGTAAGAGACTAGGCGGGCATTAGATTTTTACATATAGTAAAATGGGTTTCTTTGGAAGAATAGGAAACTTCTTTCGAAATGTTGGAAGAGGTATATGGAATGGAATAAAAACCGTAGGAAGAGGAATTTGGAACGGAGTCAAAAATATTGGTAAAAGAGTAGGTCAGTTCGTTGGTATTATACCTAAAGACCCTGAACCAGAAGAACAAGCTCCTGTTATACAACAGCCTGAACCTGCACCACAGTCTAGTTGGCAACCAAATCCAACACCTCAACCGTATTAAAAAATTATATTTTTACCGTTCGATAGTAGTTGTATATGAAACTAAGTTCTAAGTAAAACGCGTGGTATAATGGAATTATTCTCTTTCTTCCATCTGTTGTAAACCATACTTGAAAGTCTGAAATACTTCCACTTGGTGGTTCGTATAACTTTGTAGGTTTTTCGTAAAAGTCATTTGCCAAGCATAAGAAAGAGTTTTGGGCGCCAGAAAATGAAGCATGAACAATAATAGCAGCTGGGTCGAAAACATCTTTAAATAAATATGGTTCATCTCTTGCATATCGACTGTAAATATTTGCTAAAGGAAGTTCGACTTTCTGATTTAACATTCTTTGCAAATAATACCATGACATTGCAGTGAATTCTGTATATATTTGTTCGTCTTTCTTTGGATTGTCTTCGTAGATTTGAAATGACACTTGTGAATTTTGTTTGTCATATACAATTCTCACATAAAGTGTGCTCTCGGTATTTGCATATTCATCAGCATATTTTGCATAACATGAATTTATTTTATCTTCTATATTTTTTAACGCAGTCTGTAGAGAAGATGAAAGGTCAACTTGTATTAGCTCAATTTCTTCCCACATTTTTCGTTTCCCTTCAGATATATAATCTATATGAAACCTTACAATAAATGGAAAACTTTTATCTTCTACAGACACAAACTTCATTCTACGAAAGCCAACAGCTTTTGTGACGGATGGGTCTCTTAACCATCTCAATGGGTAGTCAAAACGATAGCCTTCATGCTTTACGGTCTCTGTCTCAAACTTTTGACCGACATTAGTAAAAAGTTCATCTAATGGTTTAGTTGTAGCAACTCTTGAATTTTCTTTTTCTATTGGAAGCATATTTTATCTAGAATAAAAATGTCAAATGAAACAGCGTCTATGAGAGAAATACAACACAACCGACAACTCATTATACAAGCTCTAAATAAGAACACAACAAACTTTTCAAACTATTCTAAGATATCTGAGTCATTGAAAGAAGGAAACTTAAAACTGACGATAAACCCATTGACAGACGAGTTTCTGTTTCAAGACAGTAAGAACCATACTGTTTGTATAAATCCAACAAAAAGAACTTTAAACGAGAAACCTATAGATGAACTTCTTTTGAAGGCAGATATTGACAACAAAGCTGACAAAGAGTATGTAGATGCAACAAGAGACTATATTCTCGCATGGACAGATAGAACATACCCACAAAAACATCATACACATAACATCTATGACGTAGATGAACTACCAGCAATGTTAGATGACAAAGCGGATAAAACATATGTTGACAATAAAATGTCAAGTGAAGTGACAAGAGCTGACAAAGAATATTCTAAAAAGACTCATACACATACCATTGCAAATATTACAAACTTACAAGAAACCTTAAACAGGAAAAGTGACGTTGGACATACACACGATTTCTTCGCAACTGTTGGTATAGAAAATATTGAAGGAACGGTTGAAGAAACTGGTGGGGATGTATTAAATTGGAAACCTCCTAACTTTCCACAAGGTTTAACATCGGATGAAGACATAACAACGATGAGATACATTAGATGTAGAAATGTCTATGTCATGGAGGATGAAAACAAAGTTAAATTCACTGCTCAAGATTTATATGATAAAAAAGCTGACAAAACAGAGCTTCAAACATTAAAGATTGAAATACTTCAAACACTATATCCTATAGGTTCTATTTACACGTCAATGAACTCTACCAGACCAGAAGTAGTACTTGGTCTCGGAACTTGGACTCAAATAGTCGACAGGTTTTTGTATTGTGCAAACTCTTCAAAGGAAACAGGTGGGAGTAAAACGATTTCAGGTGAAAACTTACCTGCACACAGTCACTACGTAGATTTAAGTACATCTCAAGCAGGTTGGCATAAGCATAAATTTTGGGATTGGTCAGCAATGAAAAAAGGTAAAGGATATGATGTTAAAGACGACGTTCAGTTTGCTATAAATTGTTTCTGGGGTGACACTCAGGGAGATGGAAACCATACACATCGCGTTTCAGGGTATACGCAAACAACGGGACAAAGTAAAGAATACATGCCACCTTACATGACAGTTTACGCATGGTATAGAAACGCTTAGTCGTCATTTTCAACTTCTTTAGCATATTCGTCAGGAGTTGTCTTATATTTGTTAGGAACTGTCTTTGAAAGTATACCACCTTGAACTTTGACAAGTTTGAAACGAGGTCTGACAATAGTAGTTTTATCTTCTGCTTGCAGTGTGTACATTTTGCCATGTTTGCCTAAAACTTCATAATATTCTCTTGTATACTTTCTTCTATTTTTACGAACACGAATGCGAGTACCTGTCGAGTTCCCATTGTTGTCATAGTCAATAGTATTTTCATATGGGTCGCGTTTAGGTATTTCTATTTTTACTTTGTCACCTTTCTTAAGTTTGAAGCCTGGCATTCTTTCTTGTTTGTCTCTTTTGACTAAACTATTAAATATATAGTCTTTCTCTAAGTCGGGTTGTTTTTCATTTCTTCGGGGGAGTGGTTTCCCAAACCTTTTTGTTTACGGTTATTGTAAATATTTAAAACTTGTCTCATCTTTGCCATGGAGAAGTGTCTATATTTCGTCATATGACATTTCATTTGCTTCACCACCTTGTGGTTGGTTTAAGTCTCTTAAGATTTTTATACAACTGTCAATGACACCAAGAGCAGAATGGTTTTGGTCGACAATGAAATATTGGTTTACATTTTTTGAACGCAGATAGTTTTTAATATCGTCTGATTTGAAAGAACTTTCACAGTCAGATGTCAGTTTTGTTGGATGGTATTTGTCAACGAATATTGTCAAAGCAGTTTTCACATCTAAAATATTTTTGGACCATAATGGTATGGCTTCACAGTATCTTGTGTTTTGACCGACAAATATTAGCCAGTATGGAGGTCCATCTTCTCTATACCTCGGAATGTTTTCCAAGATATCCATAAACCAAGCATTTGGTGTTGAACTAAAGATTTTTATCATGAGTGCTTTCTTTGTTGCCTTAGAAACATAGGGGTCCTTGTTTGGATTCGTCATTTTTTAACCCATAAGAAATGGGTTTATTTGGCGCATTAGCAGGAGTTGCATCCAGATTTTTGCCCGCAGTGGGAACAATAGCCAGAGGTGTATTTGGAGTTGGAAGGAAGATTTTGAGTACATTAGGTATACTTAAAGAGAAAGCACAACCTATTATACAAACTGTACAGAAAGGTTGGGAGTAGCACGAGATGCAGCAAATCTTATTCCAAATCCTGAAACAAGAGGAAAAGTTCAAGGATGGATGGACAATGTAGGAAGACAAGCAGGAAACTACTATAACAAAGCAAATGACTACTATAACCAAGCAGGGCACTATATGGACCAAGGTGAAAGATTCTTTAACAGAGGATATAACCATGCACAACAGTGGGTAAACAACAACCAACCTCAACCACCTCAAACTTGGGGAATGTAAAATTTTTTACTGAGATGAAATGAACAATACAGCATTGAGACAAATGGGTCAAGATGGATTTGTCGGCTTCCAGCAGTTACACAACCACGTGTTTGTCAAGTTCTTCCTATACCTCAGGAAGTTTTAGACCGACTTAAAAAACCTAAACAACCAGTTGAAAACAAACCAAACTAAAATTTTTTACTGAGATGAAATGACCGAAGAAGTTGAAACGGTAGATTTGACACCACAAACAAAAAGTTCAGAACCATTGTCAAAACCTGTCAAAGAACTTACAGATGAAGAGAAAAATTCAATAATAGAAAGTGCCAGGTCTGGAAATACAAACCCTAACTATAAAGTCACTTTTCATAGAAATGGAACGGCTAGTATCTCAAAAAAGAAACAGACTCTCACAAATAAAATATTGAAGTCTGAAGGAGCTTTCGAGACAACAGATGGAAAAGTTTACTTCACTGACCAACAGTTCATTATAGAACATCTCATTGACTTAGAGTCGAAATATTCTAAACTTTACAACAAACACAAAAAGTTGAAAGGAAAACAAAAACAAATGGCATATGACATTTATGAAGATGTTGACGACACAACTGTTCCAGCAAGTGAAGTAAAGTCAAAGGAACCGAAAAGTGACGAAAAACCAATAGAAGAAGGTGAGCCAAAAACTGAAGATAAACCAAAACCAAAGGTTAGTTTCAATACTAAACCAAGTCAACCTTCATTAGCTGGTATGGGTTGGCGTCAAAGACTTATGGCAGCCGGTGGTTATGTAAAGTAAAGAAAAAAAAAACATTTTTTTTTATTTTTATAAAAATGCCCCCATATAGAATGGACAGAAGGTCTGCTAGAATAAAAGCAGAGTTAGAAAGATATGGTTGGAGAGTTTCGAAAAAGTTTAAATATAAGAAGGGAAGACCCATAAAAGTCTATGACAAACTGTCTGGTCTTCGCTATGAAATGGACTTAGAAACAGCGCGCGCCAATTATCCAAACAGACTAGAGAGGTTAGAAGAAGAACGTCTTATGGACATGCCTTTCGATGTTAGTGAGCCTCAAGTTGAAGGACACGACGGCTTTGCCAGATTCTACTGGAAACATGACGAACAATTGCATCCTTTGAGAAGGAAAAAAGGAAAGGGTGAAGACGCACATGCTCCCATGGAAAGAACAAGATATGCATATGAAAAGTATCGCGAGGTTAGAAGTAAAATTACATCTGGTCGAACCTTTACAGTTAACTTTGACGAAGGAAAGAACAAAGAAGGCTTCATGGGAGTACTTGCTGCAATTCAAGACGGAAATAAGAAAGGATACAATCTCAGATTGACCATAACAGATTTGGATGGTCACATTTACTATGCACATGGCAATGTCACAACAGCTGCAATGCTTCTTGACGCTTTCAAGACTACAAAGAGAGAACAAATGGTTGACTCCGACTCAGACATTTTGAATGCAATTGAAGGAATTGCAAGTGTCAAGTTCGAATGGTACCAACCTAACCCTCAAGCAGTCAGACAACATGCTGGATACTTCCCGTTCATAAATAAGTCTGACATTGACTTGACAAGGTATGGAATTTACAATTCAATTGAAACAATTGTCAATGAACCTTGTATTCTTACATGTCTCAGGAACTCTGGTCTTGTTACAGATGAGAAGATGAAGTATCTTGAGTCATGTGTGAAGACAAGGTACATTCTCAGAGGTCAATTGGCAAAAATTGCACCGTTGGCAAATGTCAATATCCGAGTCAACATACCTACAGCTAAAGGTTCTTCACATGACGACTATGTTGTTGACAAAGACTTACCATGGTTGAAGATTGTAATTGTCCACAACCACTTCATGTTGAACGAAAGTCTTACAAACCCATTGTTCGGAAAAGGCAAGTGCAACATTGTCAGAGCTGTAAACATTCTTTTCGAGAAAGGTTTGTTGGAACCAATTCCAGATGACAAGCTGACAGAAACTTTTGTACCAAAAGACGAAACAAACTTTTCACTGTTAGCAAGACCAAAAGTTGTTCCAGACAAAGTTCTAGTACAAAAGAAGTACACAATTCCACAAGGAGTTGGATTGTTCGGATACCAACCTGAACCAGAAGAACTTCCAATGAGGTTGCAAGAACTTCAAGATGCTATAAACAAACTTCCATTGAGACATCCAATTGACGTCAAATTGTATTGGAGAGCATCTGAGTTAGGTCAGAAGGTTTTATATGAAACAGGTTGCTTCGACGATGTTTATGAGATAACAGGAGAAGTTTCTCAGAAGATAAGAGACTCACTTGAATTTCCACAAACTGGACCAATTGGTTGCGACAAGTTCGACTCAGATGAAAAGATATACTATGTCGACCTTAACGCTGCGTACATGAGGTTCGTCCAATATATTCCAACTGGAATTCCAAACGAAGATGGTGAGTTCCCAGGAAGGAACTATACAGTTGGAAAAGTCATACAACAACTGTATGATATTAGGAAAGCTTCAAACCCCAAACTTGCAATGACACTCAAATTGCTTATGAATTCGACATGGGGATATTCCATTAAGAAACCTCAAGAGATGAAGAGTAAACATTATGAGAAGGTCGACAACTTTGTTGAAAGGTTTTCTCCTTTTGTTTTGAAGTACGAATTCACTCAAGGTCAAAGTGGCTTAGTAACCACATTAAAACCTATTGTCGAACATTGGTCTTACCCTCAGTTCGCAAAGGCAGTCCTTGACAACTACAACAAATTCTTCTCCGAGGTCAAATCGAAAGTGAAGGTTTACTATGAGAACATTGACGCACTCATGACGAACGAAGAAGGGTACAACAAACTCATTGAAATGGGTTTAGTCGGTGAGAAGATGGGTCAATTCAAATTGGACAAAATTTTCACCGAAGTTCATGTCCTCTCCAAGCGTAAGTACTGGGGCATACTTGAAGACGGCACAGAAATAAAACATTGCATGAAATAAAAAATTTTTATTCGAATTTGAATCGGACAGGTCGAGTTACACCATTCTTGGTCTCAAACTCATATATAACCTGTTTGTCTGTATTTTCGTCGACTATGGCACGAGACACAAACATTGACCAAACGGACAAAAAGTGTCATTTCGGATGGTCACGCAGCCAATCGCATTCGAGCACTTCGAAGAAGCCTTACGTTCCAAGGGAGAGGGTGTCTGGTGCAAGGGAGAGGTCATGAGACTCTACGAGCAGTACATCCTCAATGCCTGGGAGGACAAATCGTCCTTGGATTGGCAATTCTACCAACTTCTCTGGGACGACCTCCTACGCAACTGGGATGACGAAAGAGTCCAATTCAAAGGTCAGGAACTAATTTTGCAAATTGACCTTAATTTCACATACTTATCCAAATAAACACCTAAATTTACTTGGGGTTTCCCCCTAAAATAAAATTTTTTTACTCTTAGAACCACTCGAGGTTCTCCTTACGGTTGTTGAGCTTGTCACCGTCAATGTGTCTGACCTTCGTCTTCTTGCCTGGATTTGGAACCCATTGAATTGCGACAAGCTTGCCCATGGAAATTGAACCGCGATTCCGAAGGGTAAGGTTCAAGTGTCCCAAGTTGTTGAGGACTGGGGTAAGAACCTTGCCTGTCTCCCTGTTGCGGATTTGGTATGGGTAGGGTTGGGAAATTTCGTAAGTGTCATCGGCAACAAGGGTTGCCCAAACTTCCTCTTCTTCGTGTTTCTCTTCTTCCTCTTCTTCCTCTTCCTCTTCTTCGTGTTTCTCTTCTTCCTCGACAATTCCTTCTTCAATTCTGTGTTCACGAATTACGGTGTTGGAGGTTCTGTCCTTTCCGAGTACCTTCCAGATGGCATATATCTCTTCGAAGAAACGGTAGATGAGTCTGGCAAGGTCTCGGTTCTCTCTCGCGTAAATGCGCAAGGTTTCCGTCAAATCATTCAGGCATTTCTCATTGGAAGCTTGGTTCATGAGGACATCGGCTTTGAGCTTGGTCATCTCTTCCATAAGACTACTTTGGAGAGTCTTAACGGTGTTTGTCAGATGAGCTTTCAAATTCAAAATTTGAATTTGAACTGGGCGCTTGTCTGGCAACATTGAAAGGACATCTGCCATTGTGTTCGGCTTCGGTGCTTGTTCGGACATCGAAAAAATGAAGTGGTTTGAGAATGACGGTTTTACTTCAAAAAGCTTGTTATGACGGTTAAGTCATACAACAAGTTTAAAATAATATCTTGTTCTTCTTCTGAACGTTTGTTGTCTCTTCCGATAAAAGTTTCGAACATGAGAACCAAAAAACGTTTTTTGAGATTGCGGAAGAGTTCAGGCAAACGTTCATATTCTGGATATGTTGGGAGCAGTTCAAAACATCTGAGCTGACTTTCGGACAAAATTGGGACAATGTCAGAAAATTCATCTTTGGTCGGACTGCTTGAAGGTAAGTCCCTTACATGTAAGTAGCTCTGGTAAAGTCTTCTCATTTCTGCTAACTTTTGGAGTATAGCTTCGTAGTTTAGAAGTTTCAATTTTAATTGTCTTATTCCACTCTTTACTTCTAAACGGTAACTATCCATGAGGTCAAGAGTAGCTTTGGTAGCTTTAAGTGGAGCTATCTGTTCCTTGACTTCTGCAATTTTGGTTGCAATTGTGGTTTGAGCTCCTTCAAGTTCGCCGTCTATGTCGTTCTCAACGCCTTCAACCATGGCTTGAAACTCTTCATCGGTCCATTGAGATTGGTGTGGGACGAATTTAACTTGCTTCATTCAAAAAATGAAAAAAATGTTTTTACTCTAAACGTGCCATGTATATGGCTATAAGTGCTTTGTTATATGACTTCTTCTTCACATGAGTCTTCGGCAACTTGAGAGTTTTTGTTGGTGTCGGGTCTGGAATTTCAATTCTCTCTCGAGCGCAACAACAGATGTCAGAATAACATTCCCCACTGTCCTTCTTGCCACCATAAATTGTGTATTGACCGAACTTGCATTTGCAGGAATACCGGTCAATACAAGGTTCACAGTTGAAATAGTTGTACACAAACCTGTTGAGTACGAGTGTGAGTAAAAACATAAAAAAAGTGAAGTTAAACGTTAAGGTTTACTGAACTGGCTGAATGTCGCCTTCACAGGTTATGTAGAACGGCTGTCCTGAGAAGTGTAAGAGAGACTGAATTGCCAATTTCATATGGGGTAGGGGGTTCTCCTTGTTTGGTATTTTTATCCAAGGACGTTTGTTTAGGAACTTAACAAGAGCTTCTCTTTTGGCGTCCTTTATGCCATCGTAGGCTGTCCCGTCTGGTATTTGAATTGGAATTCCAGTCGAAGTCTCGAGATTCAAGGCAGCCCTTCCAGAAATAGCGGTGAACTTGACCTTGGGCTTCATTACCCTGCGCAAGTACTGCTTAACAACTTCATTTATCTCTATAAGGTAAATTGCCTCGTCAAATCCTTCTGGTATTCCGAGTCCTTCCATCCGACAGGAAAATATTTTCCCGACAAGTGGAAAATATTTTCCGGACAAAGGGAAAAAATTTTCCCGACAAGTGGAAAATATTTTCCGGACAAAGGGAAAAAATTTTCCCGACGACAGGAAGAACTCTTCCAGTTGTCCGTCCGTAAACCATTCAAATTTTCGAAAATTGAGAACTTTTTGGTCGAACTTCAGAAAAAGTTTTTCCTTCCGACAGAAAAAGTTTTTTCTTCCGACAGAAAAAGTTTTTTCTTCCGACAGGAAAGGTTTTTCCTTCCGACAGGAAAGGTTTTTCCTTCCGACGGTTAAGCCACAGACGAATGTCCGACGTCCCACCAACCGAGTCCATTCCCAAACCAGAGGAACCTAAAGCACCAGCCCCTGCACCTCAGTTCCAGCAAGTCCCTCCACCAAATTACTACCAATTTCCACCTCAAGGTTACTACCAATTTCCACTACAAGGCTTCCCGAACTACCCTCCTCCTCAGCCTATGCCTTACTTCCCCAACCCTTGGATGTTCCAGCAAGCTCCACCCCAGCAATTCCAATCTCAATCCCAATCGAAGAGAGACCAAGACTTCGAAGAAGGCCTGAACCGCTTACGCAAAGAGTATGCTACAGCTCCAATGGAAGACGACAGGCTTTCAGTCTCTTCCCTAAGGTCGACCAATTCGACTCGTACCACAGATTCGGTTCGTGACCGTGAAGACTACCTCAAGCAGTCTGAGAGACTCTTCATCCTACAACCATTTACAGTTGGAGCTCTCAAGAACATGCGCAATTACGAAGGTCAGACACCAGCTGGAGACCGCAAAACAGACGTACTCGCAAGAGCAGTCCAACTGGTCAAGACAAAGACTGAGATAGTCGACTTCATTCTTGCAGCTTGCCCATACAAGTAAAAAAATAAACAATTACGAGTTAAACTTTTTATTCTTTCTTTTCTGAGTTGTTTAGAGCTGGTTTCTCTTGTAGAAACCTTTCGTACTCTTCCATGGTCATGTAATTGCGAATTTGGTACGCAATTCCAGGTTCGTTGTTTTTGAACCTTATGTATGTAACGCTTCCATCCTCCTCAGGGAAGTAAGCTGCTAACATCTGACCAAGTTTTCTCGGTGACTCGGAGCTCATAAAAATGTCACTTTTTAAACGTTAAGTTTTTAGTCTTAATTTACCCTTTGTTTACCCTTTGTTTGTCAATGTAGTATTGGAGTGCAATTTCTCCAAATTCTCTGTGTCGGAGTTCTTCAGCATTTTCCAAGGTGTACCTGGAGAACTCAAAGAAGTTGTCAAGAAGATACTGCCATGCTGCTCTTCTGAGTTCGTCGGTATTTTGGAAGTGTTGCACCTTCGAGTCTTCTGACATGAAAAAAATGACACTTTTTCTATTAAACCGTTTTGGCATTTCTCATGAGTGAGTATAGTTCTGCCGAACCATTGGAAGAGAAGAAGTACCCTTGCTGGCAAAAGACAAAAATAGTTGCCTTAGTTGTCATTGCAATTGTACTCGTAATTGAATTCATTGTACTTCTCTTCACGTACATAAAACTCAGCAATGGTATTTGCTTTAAGAAGCTACCATCTTACTAAGACTAAACACTTAGATTTTTCAAGCTTGACTTTTTACAATTTGAATTTTGTTGCTGAATTCAGTAAAAATATATTTTAGGGTAGAAGGGTATATCTACCCCGTTTTCTACCCTCATTTCTACCCTCTTGAATTTTCATGAATTTTATACAGAAAATGCTTGTTTTGAGGTCGAGCCACTTTTGGCTCCACCGTATTCTTTCAACCAAAACTCATGAATTCAGCAAAAATATAATTTAGGGTAGAAGGTTAGATCTAACCTGTTTTCTAACCTGTTTTCTACCCTCTTGAATTTTCATGAGTTTTCCCGAAATAAAAAATAAAGTTGGTTTTTTTAAAAAAATATTTTTTTATTTTTATTGTAAGAACATGTTAGCAACAACAGCACCAAACTCGTTAGTCATGAACCCAACTTCAATGTTAGTAGAGATGAAAAGCTTCATTCCTTCTTCATATACTTTCGAAAAAGAAATCCAGAAGATAAAGCAAGAACTTCTCCAAGGAGATTTAGATTGCACTGCAAAAGATGAAACAGATGAAGAATATCTTTATGAAATGCAGGATATTATTGACCATCTACCTAAACTTCCTGAAATCCAACAACAAAAGCTTACTATTCCAGAATTCGATGAAATAGAAGTCAAAGCAACTGACTCAGTAGAAATAAAGAAGTTCATACGTAAGGTTAACTATGAGTTTCTTGGATTTCATTGCAACCACAAAGTTATGGACAAAGATTGCGATATGGTATATAAGAACATCTCTGACATATACAAATCTGGGGAGTTTAAGACCTACGACAACTTTGTTTCGTTAGTTGCAAAATGTGTATGGCAGATAAGAGATAAAGATAGAAGAGGTAAGGTATGGAATGAACAGATAAAACCCGCAACTTTTGAGTTAAAGAGAGCAATTGACGCCTTAGTCATACTAGCAGGTAAGATTTCAATGTACAATGCTAAAATGAACCCACAATGTTCAAAATGTAAAGCAGCAATGAGGAAATATAACTACTCCGTCAAAGAGATAGAACGTATGCGAAACGACTATGCTGACTTAAAGAAAGAAGTAGAGAAACCAGCAGAAGATAAAATGGACATGTTGACATTTCTGAACAAAAACTATCCAACAGCTGACGATTTCCTTCTATCTGATGTCAAGAAGAAATATAAAGAAACATTCGGCATAGTTAAAACATTCGATGTACTGACAGAAGAAATAGAAGCTACGAAATTGTTTAGAATTTCACGAATTCACAATGTTTACCATGTAAAACGCTTATAAAATAACTGGGGTAGAAAAGAGGGTAGAAAAGAGGGTAGATATACCCATCTACCCTAAAATATATTTTTATTGAATTCAACAACAAAATTCTGAGTAAAATGACATATGGAACACATACTTTTTTCAGTAAGGACATATGGGGTAGAAAAGAGGTTAGAAAAGAGGTTAGATCTAACCTTCTACCCTAAAATATATTTTTATTGAATTCCGTACGAAAACAGTGAAATTTCTCTAGACCGACTTTTATCGGCCTTGCATAAAACACATGAAAATCATGAAGCACAGCGAGTAGGGAAGAAACCCCAGTCGCCAAAACTCTATGAAAACAGTGAAAAATAACAGAGTATTTTGACAACTTCAAACAAGCAGAGTAAATGAACCATTTATTTTTATTGACTTTTTACAATTTGAACTTTGTTCGCGTAGATGTGAATTCTGAAAGAAGTATGAGGGTCTTGTATGACTTTGTACTTCTCCCATAGTTCATGTCTGTCAAACTTACCTGCCATGGACTCTTTCATAAGTTCCATGAAATCGTCTTCGGACAATCCAGGGAAAAGTATGATATCAGTAAGTATTCTTTTAACATCCTTACTTAAACTCTTTGCTGTCTGTACACAAATGACAACTGAGATGTTAAAGTGTCTGAGCTTCTTAAGAATTCGACACATATCTTGTTCTCTGTTCTTTAACAAAGGATGAGAAGCAAAGTCATCTAAGATAAGAAGACATCTATGAGGGTAAGTCTTCCAATCGTAAGATTGCAATTTCTTCGAAATGTATTCTATCTCTTTCTGTTTGTTTCTGAAGTGTTTCTTCTCTAATATTCTCTGCATTTCCTCATTTGGGTCTTTAAACTTCGAATTGACATACTCATTTATAGCATTGTACTTCAAAACTCTTCTTTGGTACTTCTTTATCCAATCTAACAACTCAGAGTCTTTTATACATACTAACTTAGACTTCTTTATAATATCTTTGAACGAATTGACGGTTTGGTCAAATTGACCAGAAGTACTACAAATGACTACTAACTCATAGAATGGGTTCTTCTCATCTAGTTCTTGTTGTTGTGCAGCCATTTTAAGATAAGTGAAAGTCTTGCCCGACCCAGGTGGTGCGATTAGACCTGTTATACCATTCTGAGCAAATAGGAACTTTTCATGTATGGGTTTTATCTGAGCATTTTCTAACTTCCTCTTGTTCTTGTTTAAAACATTCTCAAATTTTTTGTCAATGTCAGCAAACTTTTTTTCTAACATATTTTTAGAAAAATTAAAATTTTTATCTTTTTGAAAATGTCTAGCGATTTCGCTATCTATATTCGAGACAAACTTTTCGACAGCAAAACATCTGTCGACCATAAAATCTTACATAGTGTAAACAAGAAAGGGGAATTTGTTCTAAAGTTCTGTTTCTGGGAATATGACAAGAACCATAAAACATTAGCAGAGCAGTCTTAAAATTTGTCAATGACAGACTTGTTGACAGAGATGACGCCGATTGGAAAGATGAAGTCCAACAAAAGTTCTTAGAATGCAAAGAAGACACATGCGCTGTTCTTGAAGATGAAATAGGAAACAGAATAGAGAGCTATTAAAGGACAAAGAACTTTTACATAAATATGGTTGCGCCAAATTTGACATAACTCCACCAGAGAAGAAGAAGAAGAGAGAAAAGAAAGAAAAGAAAGTAGAAGAGAAGAAAGAACCTGAACCAGTTCCAGAGAAGAATTTGACATGTAAAAATAAAATTTTATTTTTAGAACATTTCTGGGTCAATGTCAATGTTCTCTTCCTCTTTAGGAGCAAACACTGGCTTAGACTCTAAAATCTTTTTACCCAATTTACCTTGAACTTCAACTATCTTAGACTCATAAATTCATAGTCGTCTGCTTTCTTTGGTTCATAAGGTATAACAAGTTTGTATGCTTTGCCTTCTTTAAGGTTTGAGAACCTTCTGTCAAAATTTTCTTTGACTGCTAACAAACCTTCTATGTCTAAGTCTTCAAATTTCGCACCATTTTTAGTCACAATAGCAAACTTAACTGGTTCGATGTTCCAAACTTTGTCAAATGTAGACTTTTCAAAATGGTAGAAGTAAACATTCAAATAAGCGAATGGGTCTAGTTCTTCTTTGACTTCTGTCATGTACTTGTTGACTGAATGAATTTCGTCATCTTTTCTATCGGATAAAAAAATATTTTTTTTAAATTTACTCAGAAAAATTTTTCTTTGTATATACGCCGTTCTGAACATCTAAAAGACTTTTGACATTTGCCAAGAATGTTCGTTTAGAAGCTGCCATATAACCATATTCTTGACAATATTGTTTATACATCGTACAATGACCTTTCATCTAAACACTCAAAGTTAGTCTCATCTATAAACAGTTCATATACACTCTTGTTTGCTTCTAACAATGTTTGTTTCTTCTATGTGGTATTTGTCTTGGATTGAACTTAGAAATATCTAATGTCATAAAATATGAGAACAAGTGGTTGTAAAAGTTAGGTGTCAAAGTTTCTGCTAAGTCGTCAAAATATTCTGTATCTTGCATATGAGAATCTGACGTTCTGACAACTACATATCTTCTGTCAGAACTTTCTAACTTCATCGGAACAGCATTGTTTGAAACCATAATGAATTTGCAACATTTTCACAAACTCTTTGGTCTTTATACTTTCTTTCAACAACTCCAACTTTGTCTGTTATAAGACTCTTCAAAGCATCTGAGTTCAAAACTTTTGTTGTATCTATACTTTGAAGTTCATTGCAAACTATAAGTTTCATATTCTCTATTGAGAGTTAAACTTACCGCAGATGTTTTCTAAGTTTGTCATATTAGGGTTCGAATACCTCTAACAGTTTGCAAAATATCTGTAAAGAAAGTGTTCTTACCAGTTCCTTGTTTTCCAATTATAATGAGAGCAGTTTCATTTTTAGCACTTGGATGTTGTAAGATGTTTGCAAACCAACATAAGATATACTCATAGACTTTTCGTTTCCATTGCATATAATTTCTTTGACATGGTCTAACCAAGCTTCTATAATATTTTCTTTCCATTCTACTTGTTCGTATTTATATCCAGTGAAGATAGAATAGAAGTTTGGAGAAGGTGTATAGAACTTTATACCTCGAACTGAAAAATCTTCTAACTTTGACAATAAGATATCCCAAGCATCTAACATCTTCATCCAACTTGTACGACTTTTATTTTCTTAAGTTTCTGTCTACATTCTTGTTCTGAAACTATTGTTGCTCTTGGTTTGTTAAAGACAACATCCCATTCTTTCATGACATAACATTCTGGGGCAGAGTCAACATAAATGACTAAACGTTTCAAATTCTCGACTGCTTTGTTATAGTCTCTAAATGGACACATATTTCTGAATGCTTGGAAGTCATAAAAATCTGAAACATCTATTCTGTACATTTTTATAAAAATAAAAAAAATATTTTTTTTATTCTTGACTTTGTTGTTCCATTTGTTGCATTTGTTGTTCTTGAGCTATTTGTTGTTGAAGTTGTTCTTGTAATACAATACTTTCACCAGTTGCATCTTCCAATTCGAAACTTTCTGCCGTCATTGACAAATACATAGGACATAAAAGTTTTACAGGAACAAAGTTTGCGTCAACTAAGGTTAAGTTTATGTTTGCTAAAGTGTTTGAGTTCACTAAAGCTGAAAACTCTGCATTCGAATGAACAATAGGCAAACCAGCAGAGAAAGTGTTGTTTATACGCATGAGTATCTTTTGGTCATAGTAGTTTCTGTCGACATTCGAATAGCACTTTGAACCTAAGTTTGAAACAATATATAAAATAGGTGTACTTAAAGTCAATGGAATAGACATTCCTTGTATGACACCTTTTCCTGTTATAGGAAACTGTTGGTAGTAAAAACCAGATATAAGTTTTGTATTATAGCTCATATCGTTTATACTAAACTCAGTCGGACATCCAAACATAATGAAACCTGCTCTAGTTGCAGCACATGTTACATCCGTCCTTAAAGTATTAAATAAGTCAACAAAACCTGTTGGTGGTATATCTGAGTAAGTATCTTCAAAGAAGTATTTTTTACCATTCACAACAACAAAGTCTTCTGGTGTCAAAAGAGCAAAACAGGCTTTAGTCGTCATTGTGTTTAAGGTCAGTTTACAATATCGTCCTTGAGGACTTTGTAAGTTTGTTGTTATAGAATTATATGACTCAGGGTTTTTAGTCGTAATAGTATAAACCACTATGTCTTCTGCCATTTACTTAGCAATAAATTTTAATGAAATGTTGTGGTCGTCAAATATTTTTATGACGTCTGGGAAACTATATTTTAAGTTCAACGTTTCACCTCCTTTCATAACGTATATCTTGTCAATGACATTATATGAAACACCACAGCAAGCAATGTCGGGTTCTATTTCTTTGATGTTTATATCGTCTGCCTCTGTCAAAAGTTTCAATAGTTCTTTCAAAACTTCATGAGGTGCGATGACATATGAGTTCACTTTTACAGGGTTGTGTTCGACCAAGTTTAACATTATACCAAAGCTTGACAAATCTTCTCCTGAGTTTTAAGTTTGTCTTTAAGTTGTTGGTAGTCGTTTCGAATATCTGCAACAGAACTTAAGTCTCTGCTAACTTCAGGATATGTTGGTTGTTCTTTTACAGGAACTATTGTTATACCATCTTCGTCTTCGTATGGTTTCCCCACTTCAACATCTCTTTCTTTGACATTGACAACAACACTTTGACTGTTTGTTTGAGTTGGTGAATTTAACTTCACATCTGCCACCGCCATTAAACCTTTTGAAACACTTACGCTTCTATTTTTCGGAAATGACATTTTACTTAGAATAAAAAGATGGACGTATTTGAGTATCTCTTCGAATTGAAGCAGAACAAAGTTTACACACACAAACAATACAAATACATTGACAGAATAGTTCTTTATACAAACAATGGAAAATGTTATAGAATAGCAGTCTTTGCTGAACCAAAATATTTTCATAAAGCAAAGAAAGTTGGTATAACTGAAATGGTGAAAGTTCTTGAAGCAGACAAAAATATAACAACAAAACTGACGATATTTCTAAAGGTAAGTTTATAATACAATATTATGTCAAAACTGGCGTACTGTCAATATTTGACGGAGAGAAGTCAGTTCAAGAACAACTTACTGACCTGCTGCCAAAATCTGCTCGATGGAAGCTGTCGTTATGCCAATCTGAGGAGCCCCAGCAGGTTTCATCGAACGAATCTTCAAAAGAGCATCTTCCGTGAAAAGTGCTATTGGTTTTGTAAACTTCTTTGCTTTCAATTCATCTGGACCGTCTCTGTCACCAGTATATTGTATTTGAACTGTACCAACAGTTGAAATACCACCCATAAAGTCTTCTGAGTCAGCAAATGGAATGCCAAGCCAAAAGTTTGAACGGTCTCCATTTGTATATTGAGTTTTTTGACCTCCTGTATGAGTCCATACTTTCACATATGGCATAATAGAACTTTGCATTTCAGGGTTAATGGTTGTTGTGAAGTTGTTGTTAAAGTTCATAGCATCTAATGTCAAGTTGTATGACCTCATATCCTCAACTGTAGAATATTCTTCTCTTGGATAATATTTGCCATCTATGTTTATATGATATTTAATACCAGGGTTGTAGAAACAAGAATAGTCATTTATAGTTCGTCTGAACAGTACAAACATAGTATCTGCATGTTTCATTGCAGTTGTTAAAGCAATATCTGTTCTTGCACCTGGGTCAGCACTTTGGTTTCCAACTTCACCTGCAAAGTCTTTGACAGATATTTGGTGTATAGGGAACATAAGTGGAACTGCAATATATTTGGCAGCTAAAGCATTTGAAATATCTGGGTCCAACATATAGACTGCAAGTCTGCTTTCTATTCTCTTGCATTCAAATTTTTCGCATGTGAACTTAACTGGGTCCCAAGCAGTTCCAGCAGCATTGAAATAATAGTTTACTTCAGTGTTGAGGTTTGAGAAACCAAAGTCTAAGTCAACTTTGTCTTTGCAAAAGTCGGCGAATGACGTTTATTTGTTCCCTACGTCTGTAAGAGTGAATGGGTCTTGTGTTGGTGCAATGACTAAGTTATTTTTGCTTGGAGTAAGTTCGATAGAAATTTTTCCTGCCCAGTTTGGCAAGTATCTTAAAAACCTGAAGATGAGGAAAGATGACAAAGGAACTCTAAGTTTCAGTTTTACTTTAGTGCTGCAGTTTCCATCCCAGAAAGGTTAACATAAACTCCTGGAACGTTAGGGTCAAGTCTTCTTATTTTCTCAATAGTTGCATACTGGTCTGTTTGTTCTCTAGCTTGTGGTTGTACTGAGTTTCTCAAAGCGAACCATTCATAGTTTGCCCATGTTACTGTTTGAACTAAGTCAGAGTTAGAATATATCTTATATCCCATGAAAACTTCTGGAGCATATTGGTATCCGACATAGAAAATTCCATTGCAACCTTTCTTGTCAGACAACTTGGCAGAAGGTTTTATTTCAATGTCTTGTTCCACGTATAAGAAAGAGTTGTCAATAGAAATTATATGAAACCTGTCGCAAGCAATATCTACTGTTGTTGAAGAACCTTCTCCAAACTCACCTACGTTTCCATAAGAAACAGCAGTTGTATATTCGTAAGTTCCAGGAACTATTTCTGACCTTCTAATGGCATTGTCGCATTCGTTATACCATTCGGAAACATTTCCATTCATAGCATCCAAAACTGTTGGCGTTATATTCTGAGCGGCGTACATTTCATATGAGTAAAAATATAGAATAGTTGGATTTATATGTCATAATAGAACCCACGTGGACCAAGCTTTACTTTCTTCCTGACTGAGTTTTTAACTCTTCTTTTTCCTTCATTGCCCTCTGCTTGAAGTTGTTGCATCTTTGCATTATGTTCATCTAGTATGTTGCAAATTTCCCATGTCCTTTTTGCCTTTTGGCTCTGGTCGCCCATCTCAGGTAACCTATATCCTAGAAAGAGTTTGTCATAGTCTGTATTTGAGTCTTCGCGTATTGTTTGCATGACTCTTTCCTGAGTTTCCGGTTCAAGCTCTTCAAACAGTGCCTGTCCATATGGAATAAGCTCGTTTCCAAATATATGTTTTTGTAGCCATTCTGGTTTTCTTTCCATGTTACCAACTATATCTTTTGTGAATGGGAAAGCTTTTACCCAATCTTTCAGTCTTGCGTCGTTTATTTCTGTAGTTGGTTTTATTTTGTCAAGGAACATGTTTTTCAATACTAACATTTCATCTGGTACTGTCCATTTGAGTTTTCTTAAATATTCATCCCTTCTCGTTCATTGTCTGCAAAGTAAGTTTTTATGACATTTTGTAAACTTTCGTTTGCAAGGTCATGTACAATAGGTTCTCTTCCTTCTCTTCCCTAACTTTCTTTCTAAACTCTTCACCAAATATACCATCTCTATGGTTCTGTGTAGTTCTTTGAGATAAATGTTCTAGAACGTCAGGTGTTATATTTCCATCAGCCATGTTCATTTCATACTGGTCCAAAATATCTGCATCTTTCATATCTTTCAATGGCATTAAAGCCGCGCTTAAAATACCAGCTATATCTGGTTCACCATTGACTTCCATTGCGTCTACAACTTCTTGGAATTGAGGTTGTAAGTTTATGAACCACCTATCCGGATTAGCTTTATGACCCCATCTCATTGTAGTTCCATCGTCTGCAGAAACAAAAGTAGGTTTGTTTCCATCTTGGTTAGGTTCTGAATGAACTTTAAACAATGTTTCATTTCTATATGTTTTGTTGAAATTTAACCTTTTATTTTCACCGAGTTCATCCGAAGATTGAACGTTAAATGCTCGTAAGTAAAAAGGGTTGTTGTATTTGCGTACATTTTCTTTCAGTACTTCCATTCTATGCTGAATATTTTCATCTGGTGTTGGAGTCTTTTGTATGTCGGTGAAAATTTTTCGATATTCTTCTACTATGTCAGCCGAATTTTTTTTAGACTCTTGGAAATATTCCATATTCTCCGCATACTCTTGTTGAGGGTCAAGATTTTTCGGCTGTTCCAAATCTTCATCTAGTTCTGTGAAGTTAGTTTCCAAAGGAAGGACTTGTTCGTTTCCTTCAGGCTCTTCTAGCTGTTGTTGCTGAACTATTTCTTCCATGTCTGGTTGTATCTGAACTATTTCTTCCTGTGGAGTTTCTTGTACCTCATCTGCTGGCATTTCATATATTCCGAGACCGTTTTAACAATTTCCCTATCTACGTCATCCGCATTCATAAGCTTTTGTTCTTTCGTTCCGTCTCTATTTTTTACGCGTTTCATGACGAAAGTTGAATTGTCATTTAGCTCTGACATCAAATATCTCGGAGTAAATTCATCCATGTCATTTGGATGATATGCTATTAAATCATATCCCTTAGCGAGCTTGTATTTTCCAGGTTTGAGATTATATCCGTTTTGGTGCTGAGCCATAAAGCTAAATAGGTTCGGGTCAGTATTTCCATCCTTGAACTTTCCAATAGCTTCTTTATATCTGTCACTAAAGTCAACAGTATCTGGGAAACCACACTCTTCTTTAAGCATTTTTAAGAATTCTTGGTTTCCTTGTTCTCTACTTCTTTTATGTCCTTGCTCTGTTTGTGGTTGTTGTTGTGCAGGGTTTTGAACTGTTGGTTGTTGTGCTGGTGTTGGAGGTGGTTGTTGTGCTGGTTGTGTTTGTTGTTGTGTTGGTTGTTGTGTTGGTTTTGGTGCATGCCTGTGTCTATGTCCATGTGACGATGTAAATGTTTTAGGTAGTCCTGGTGCAGGTGCTTCTCTTGGAGGGTTTGGTGGTATATAAGTTCCACCAGCTGGCACATATGTTCCATCTGCAGCGTAATGTCCTACCTGACTTTTCGTTCTTAAGAAAGCATTTACTAGGTCTGTTTTGGTCTGTTGTAACTCTTTTTCTTGACTTTTCACAACAGTTGCTCTAACGGCGTCATAGGCACTTTGAACTGCCTGTCTCGTTGCTGCATCTGTTATTTTCGTCATATTTTGTGCTACTTCTTTTAACTCTTTGTCGAAACCTTCAGACTTCAGTTTCTTTCCAGATGAGAAGTCGTTCACTTGTTTCACCTTACTATGAAGAGCTTCGGCGTTCTTAAAGTCAGCATTTGTTAAAGCTTCATTTGAACTGTCTTCATCCGCTTGTATTTTTGTCCTTATTGACCCTATGAGTTGGGCTGCTTTAGCGTTGGCTTGGGCATCTAACCAGTCATTGTTAGCTTTTATATATTCTGCGCTTTTCATTGCCTTTTGCATAGCGCGTCGTTATTTTTACTTTCTTGTGCTAAGTTTTCATACTGTACGGTTTGGTTTTGCAACTGTAAAAGTTTTTCTGCCTTTACATTTGCTTCAACTTCTTTTTTATACTCATCGCTATCCATATATGTCTTCAGGGCTTTTTGTTTTATTCTTCATCTTTCAGTATTTTATATTGAGTAGTATGGTTTTTCAAATTTATGACATCTTGTTCCATTTTTGCTACTTCTGCTGCTTTTTCTGACACTTTTTTTGCATATTCCTCTGTACTTAGTTCTTTCAGTTGTTCTTCTTTCTTCTTTTTCTCTACGTTTAACTCATTTAGTTTCTTTGTGTGTCTGTCATATTCTAGTTTCTTTTCGTTTTCACTTATTTGCTTCTGTATGTCTATGTTTGACTTTTTGACATCTGTTATTTGATTTTTGAGTGAACTCAAATTCATTTGACTTTGAGGGTTATAGGCTGTTCCGTCTGCAGCTCCACCATAGCCTGCCATTTTCGCTAAAAGTGCCGCTCTTAAACCTCCACTCTGTGCACCAACAACTCGGTTTAAAAGCATAGGATTGCTTGACATTTGTTGCAACATAGTGGGGTCATTCAGCATTTGTTGTTGCAACTGTTGTTGTGGTGTTAGTTTTACTATTGGATGTTTCAATGCTCTCTTCCTCTTACGTATATTCTTACGTAGCTTACGTGGCATTTTAAGTGAAGTTAAAAAGCGGCTTTTGACAGATGTTTATATGACACTTTTTGTTCAGCACAAAAAACTACTCGGTCAAAGTGTTGACAGTTTTGTAAAATAACCGTCCTATCTCATTCTATAAGGGGGAAAAGGCTTCTCAAAGTACTTCCTTGGAACGCCTGTAACTTTTCCTGTAGCGACGATAGACCCTTACTTGTCCGGACAAAGCTGTACTATTTTGAGTGCTCTACAAAAAAGTCAACAGCGACGACTCTCAAAAACCGTTGTGTAAAAAGTTTTACCGTTGGACAAAAAGTATATATAGAAAACAAAAAACGTTTATAGTTCATTCAATATTTGAGATGGAACGGTTTGCCAACGGTAACTATTAAATAAAATAAAAAAATAGAGGGGGTTACCGTTGACGAAAACGGTTTATTTTAAACTTTTCTATGAGTAGTCCGAAAAAAACAGTTTATTTTTGTCTAATGGCATTCGCTAGCGTGTTCGCTCCAAATTCACCTGAAGAAATTGCTTGCAGACTTTCAGCGCCCACAGGTTTAGAGCCTCAATATCAAACTGCAGCATCTACACATTCTCCAAGCAGAACAGACAATTCAAATTCAAATTTGTCCTGCAATTCGCTCAATCCAAAGCCACTTTCACTACCAAAAACAATACCAAACGAGCTCCGTATTACAAAGAACCACAGCAACGCTGAACTACGCAAAATACTACTCAGATTGTCTGAAGAATACTTCAATTCAAAGCCAGAAGAAAGAGTTCCTGCAACTTTTAACAAAGAATATTGTGAACAACTCAACAAAGTTCTTGCAGACTTTACCAAACTACAAAAAGAAACACCTGACCCATTCGAATTAGGTGACACAATTGTCAACTATTTTCCAACAATAACAAAGATAATGGTTGACAGAACTATATGTCAGCTTATTGAAAGTCTTCCACCCAAAGCTGCAAAAAAAGTCGAACAGCTTTGGGTCGAATTCAAATCAAAGAGTTACGGATATCAGGATGACGAAGAAGAACGTGAGTACGGACAAGAAACAGCAAAATGGCAATGTCTTAGCTCACTCAACCCCAAGTTCAAACCATTATTTTACTCAGACAACAACACAATTCAAGTACGCAAAATTGCTATTCATTTCGTTAACCAAGCAGAAGACATTGAAGAAGGAGACTCTATCTCAGTTTATGTTTGCTACTGCAAGTTTTTCAAGGACGAATTTGGAGGACCAATTCTCATGCATGTCTTCAAGCCACATCAGCAACTCTACGTTGAAACTGAAATAACACTCATGCATGGAATGTATCTCAAGTTTGAAAGCCAATTGGAAAACACATACAACATTTGGCTTTCATACATTCAGTTCGATACACCAGATGACTTTGATGTTGAAGAAGAAGAGTCCTCCGAATTCACACCAGAAGACTAACAATTTTTCCGAATAAAAACTTCATTTATACTAAACATCTTCAGGGCTAGAAGGGGCGCAGCCCCTGGAAGCCCCACTACCTTTTTTTTTTTTTTTTTTTTTTTTTTGAATAGTATTCAATTTATTAAATTCAAATTCATCTATGCTAAACTTTATACTTCTATATAAATTTGAGAATTATGCGAAGATCCCATCTAAACGCATTCTATTTACCGATGTTAAAAATATCACTGGAGAAGTATACGATATCTTTTCTTACATGCGTCAATATTATCAAACAGGAAATCTTACAGAGCAAGATGTTGTTACAGTAACACCTTCATCCCGATATGATGTTGGCGATAAACTCGGCTATAAAACCTCAGTTGATACAATTTTAGGTCACCCAATTACAAACTTCTCTGGTCGTTTTGTTTCTGGAAGAAAAGATCCATCCCAAAATATCACAATCGACTTCCATGCTGTTCAAATCCAAATTGAAAGTTACACATTTTATTGGACGACAGAGAGATATATGAGAGGCTGGAATTTTTATGGAGTCGCACCAACTGGTCTGGAGTTACTCAGTTCTCCAGCTTTTCCATCATTTACTGGAGAAACTTTTAACTTTCCTAATGATCCAAGATGTGATGCATCTACTAAATATTGTAATTACACATCTTATTTCCACGTTAACGTCGATAAAATTGGAACATATTCGAAGTTTGTTATCCTAAATACTCATGATAATTCCATCAATATTGATCCAGTAAATGCAGTTGGAATGGCCAAAATTCTCGTCTATGGCGAAGTTAAAGGAGGATTAGCCTTCCGATCTCCGATTAAACTGAAGAGAAAAGAGCAATTACTCTTCAACTTTGGCATGTTCAGTAGTATGACATAAATATTCATGTTTAGATCCATTTTGTTGAATTGTCTTTTCACTGAATATAATCATTCCTATCACAATGATAGAGCAAGAAGCATGGGTTAATATATTTCACAATGCTCCTTTTGGGTGTTTCTATTCATTTATCAAATCTAACATTTACCCAACCAAATATCAAAAATAATTGAATACTTTTAGCAAAAACTTTAAAAATCAATAAAAATGTGAAATATAGCTATTAAAGAGACTTTGATACAATATTCATAAAGATTTTCCAAAAATATGATTCCACAATATTAAAAAAGTGACGTCCTGACTGGAGTCAAGTTCGAAATTGCTAGGTAAATGTTTTTTTTAGCGGACTTGCGTATTGTACTATTTTTATTTCGCAAAACGAAATCCTTAATAAACATGAAATAAATAAAAGAAATGAGAGCATTTTCGTTCAACAGATTTTCCCTATAATCATTACCTCTCTTTAAAAAAAGTGACAGTTAACATGGCTAGGAATAGAAAAGAAGCTTCAATAATTCCCCCACCATTTAACTTTGGAGCTATCTTCTCTGATAATATCATCGATACAGAGCTCGAAAGTAAAAATCCAGCTGATATATCTAATGATTTATTTACTATTGTAAGTTCAACAGACCAAAACGTGTCTGTTGCGATATTACTATCACTATTTTCTAAAATACAGAAGCAAGAGAATGCAGAATTAAAACAAAAACTTATTGATATCGTCCAATCTTTTGTTAATTTGATCCAAAATCAAGTTTGGTTTAGATTAATTGTATTAAAGTTCTTTAACAAGCTTAGCGAATTCCCAGAGGCAGTGCTGCACTTGTTAAACAGCCACACAAGCTTAACTTTGCTTGTCCATGCTGCAAGTACAAAATTCACAACAGAATCCCAAGCGTTCATACAAAATAATATAATTCGGAATCTCTCAAATACAGCCAATGCAAAATTATCTCAAAACGTTTTATTTGAACTATGTGACCTCCATATCCCTGATTTCGACCCAGATACTATATTTGGCCAGAAGGAAGCACCAGAGTTCTCACCATATTTATCACCTCTGAAGCTTTCCAGCCAACAAACAAATGTTGAAATTTCATCTTTCGAAAATATACCAATTCAATCAGTTCTAGCCGAGTCAAATGAAAAGTTAATTTCCAATAAGGCTAGGCTCTGCGAATTGTTCTCATTTTACCCTGATTTCAACGAGTATCATGCGGCCTCCTTCATTTTCTGCTTAGTCCAGCCACATTACCACTACAAAGAGTTCCTAGAAAAGAAACTAGAGCCAGATTCTCGCAACAGACTCCTTGAAATGCATAAGGAAATCTTTGAATCAAAGAATTTATCAATTCCTAACATTATCAACCATTTCCAAGACTTAGATACACAACAATTACAAGTAGATTCATGCACTCTTCTCTTTACAATCCTTAGATCTCTTACTCATGGACAACCAATCAATCCTTTGTCATTTACAAGCCAATGGAAGAATCCTCAATTACAACATTCGATTTTATCTTACATTACAGTCAATTCCGTTCCAAATCTTGACTTTTCCAAGACGCCAAAGCAAATAAACATTGATGGCTTCATTCCAAGCGGTTCTAGCTTTGATAATTGCTGCAATTGCTGGAAATCCCTTGAATTCGTACAAAGAGCCACACAATTGCTATCAAATGACTCAGCAATGCTCAATAAATTTTTCGAACCATTAATTCAGCGTTATCCAGCCGTTTTAATAGCAATTTTCTCAAGATCCGACTTCGCCAGTACTAACAACATCATCGATATCGCTACACAAGCTCTTGGAAAGCTTGTCCATCAAAATTTGAGCGGAATCGTCAACGAACTCTTCAAAACATCATCATCGTTCATTACATTACTTCTTCTCAACCTCTACAAGAACCAACCCAACGTTGTCGATCGTATTTACACTACATTTTCCGATCATATCAATCAACTCCTCGAATCTACGGACATCTTCTTTGCTACAGACTGCGCGATGATTGCCGCTGTCAATAAGACCATAGACATCGGCCATTTCGTGGAAAACTACACTAAAAAGAACGGTCCAGATTCAATCCAACATATCATTGATTTCATTGTCCAAAAAGTGAAGCAAGTCAATTCCCAACAGTTGCTTGTCATCACAAACCTCTTCTCCTACCTCTCAGAACACATAAACGAGTACACAATCAATCAACAAATTTTCATAGAAACCGCCGCAAAAAGTGCCACGGAAATCCAACCCGCATTAGTTATTCCTTCTTATGACATCAAAGTTCCACAGAAGATGTACACGGAGACAAAAGAACAGGCCACACAATTCATGGCGAAACTCCTTTCGAACCAAATTTCACCAAACGAGTTCTTTTCTTTCCTTTGTAAAGAACGGTTTGTCAATCCGTTATTTTTCAGTGAAACCGTTTTGTTGATTATTTCTGAGATCGAGAGAATCGATGAGCTTAAGATTCCTACCATCAAGAGCCTCGCAAAAGTCACAGCTGATCTTGTAATTTCTCATCATTTAAACCGCTCAAAAACTGACAAAATTTTACAACAAATCAAATTATTGTTGAATAACGAAGAACAGACGCAATCCTATTTATTTGGTATCATTGCTTTGGAAGTGATTCTCCCAAAGATCGACAATTTCCCACAGTTCATTTTCGACGTAATGAGGGAAACAAGAATCAGAGATTTGAGTCCAGAAATTTTCGACCAAATTCAAAAAGTTGGTCAGAAAATAAACGAACCACTTCACTCCACACTTCCTAAAACTATCAACATACATCCATTACTACAAAGGTTCTTCACAATGAAGCCTCCTTCACCTCTTATTGCCAAATCCCTTCTAAACTTATCCCAAGAACCCCTATCCTTGCATGATTTGTTCAAACGACAAACATTGCCATATGATTGGACAGCTCTGGCTGTTGTTGACACGATACAAGACAAACCGGCTCTTTTACCTGCTTTCATTCCAAGTATCATGGAGAATCCTGACTTTATTCCTATTGTTTTCCATGCAGCGGCCGCAAGAAGTCTTCAACACATATTGAGTCCGGAATTCGGAAAATACGAAGGTTGTTTGAGAAGAAGAAGATTGTATGTGTTAGGAAATTTGATAGGAACGATAACTTTGAAAGAAAACCGTCCAATTTTGTCACGTTTTCTTGATTTGAAGAAACTTCTATTATATGGAATTTCACAAGGAAAGTTATATGGCATTGTTCCATTTGTTGTTACAATATTACAATCAGCGTCACCATTCTTTAATCCGCCAAATCCATATACATCTGGATTGTTGTATATTTTGGCAGGAATCTGTTGCATGGATTCAATCAAAGTATACATAAAAGAGCAGATCTTAGGATTGTTTAATAACATGGGAATAACAACAGCGATGTTTGACAATCTTCCAAAGTATTTCCCATTGAATACTGATTCGAATTATGATTATTTGATCACTCCTTATTCGATGATTCATTTCTTGAGTGCTCCTGATATAGAGAGAATTACAACATTCGATACAAACAGTTTGTCACAGTTCATACAACAGAATGTTATAATTCCTGATAACTCGGAAATTCCTTTATCTTTGAAGGAGAAAATCAAAGAAGTCGTTGTCAATTATTTGGTTTCTTTCCTTCATAAAGATGGACCTCTTTTAGCTGACAAAGCTGCGAATACGACATTGGAACTTGTTAGAAAAGATTTCAAGAACGCACAAGCTCCTGAAATAATGTTGGAACCAGCACATCAAATGGTTCATCAACTGAGTAATTCTTTGACTTTGTTTAACGCAATTTACAAATTGCCAGCAAATTTAGTCAAAAAATTACATTCAGTTATTTCCACACCTGACAATGATTGGATTGACGAAATTGCAGCGAAGAACTACGAATGGATTGCACAGGTTTTAAGAGATTCTGTTGCAATCAGAAGCTGGAACACTGTGAAGACAATTTTGATGAAAGAAATCGAAGAAGAAAGACAACATAGATCTCGTAATTTCACAACATTACCACCTGGTTTGTCATCGAATGGATGCATACAATCACAACAGGTTTATTCCGAATACAGAGATCTGTCTTTCTCCCAACAAAGTTATCCATTTAACAAAGACGACAAAGTTGTTATTGACAAAGAATTCGATGAATATCTTTCCGAATTCAAAGTCATTGTTCCTTTCGAACAAAGTTACACAGGAAACACTCCTGATGATGGATCAGTCAATGACTTACTCGATAAATGCCCCAATTTCGTTATCGAAACAATCACTTTCGATAGATTTAAATCTATTCTCAAAGCAATTCTCAAATACGCTTCTAAATGTCCTTCAAGGCCATTTGAAATCGTTTTGTGCCACGTGATTGAAAAAGTCGTTACTTCTGTCAATCCTTCGATAATTAAGCAGTCAAGACAATACGTAATGAGTTGGGTACACAACTTATTACCTCCTTACATCGTTTGCGAATTGGTCAGACTTAAATTGGTCGTTGAAAAAGACTTGGACATCGAATTTTCAACATTAATGAATTCTGAACCATTCAACACAAGAATAATGATTCATGTCATGCAAGCTCTTTATTTCGGTATGGTCGAGACATCGAAATTGAACGCGAGAGAGATGATCTCGTCATTGACTTTTGTCTGCACAATTCTCCAGAGCCAGTTGGATATCTTAAAGGATACACAGTTATCCAGATATTCACAGTACTTGAAATCACTGACAAAAGTCTTTGAAACTGTTTTCGCTCCAGAAAACGGAATTCCAACTGATACAAGATTATCAAAGCTCGTGACATATGATGCATCAGAGAACTTGACGAATCAAAGACACATCAACGCAATACAGAAATGGCACGCGGCGTATTGCGACAGGGATATCATGGATTACACAGAAGAAACTAAAGAAGTTTTAGTTTGTGGAGCATCAACAATTGCTGCTTTATTTGGCCAGGAATCATTGAAAGCATGTAATCTTTTCATGGAAACAGTTTCTAAACTTCAAAACACGACACAATACGCATTGGATGTTTTAGAAGCTGCATCACAAAACGTGAAAGGAATAGGAAATGTCATTGGCCATGATATGACGAAATATTACCAAATAATTCGTAAATGCATTGTCATGTTAACGAATACCGATAAGTTCGAACAAATCGCAATGACATTGCATAACATCAGGCCAAGTATCAGTCCATCATTTGCTTTTGCATGGGTTCAATTGATATCAGACAAAATCTTTGTTTCTCCACTTTTGCAAAACAACAATTCATGGACATCATTCTTTGTTTTGCTGGCCGATTATATATCATCTGTTGGATTGATGACGAAGAAAATGAGTGATTCAGATAAAGAAGCATTCGATGTAATGTACAGAGCATTATTAAGACTGATCTTAATATTGTCACATGATTACAACGAATTCATGGCTTCAGCTGCTCCTCTTTTAGTTCAAATTGTTCCTCTTTCTTTCACACAAATGAGAAATGTTTTGTTGAGTTTGGACTCAAAACCAAATTCATCATTTACAAGAGCTGCATCACAATTCTCATTCGTTCCTGAGAAATTCAGAACAAGTTTGAATGCCACATTCCCTCAGAAATCATTTGATAAATCGCAGTGTTTGAACTGCGTGCAAATGTTAACCGAAAAGGATTCACCTGTTACATTGATCTACGCATTTGTTTCGTCCATTCTTCAGTCAATGACATTCTTAAAGCAGGCAGATAACACTGAAGACAGCCCTGCTTTCATGGCAATGCAAGTCTTGTTTGAAGAATGCGATGCAAGCCACGCTTACGATGTCATCTGCGCAATTGTTGATAACGTTAGAGGTGACGAGAAAGAGGCAACAAATCCAAAGAGATTGTTGTTATCCCTCCTTAATTCAACAATGTCAATCAAACAAGGTTTGACTGCTTCAGAATTGTCATTGAGAGCAATCTTCGAAAGATGCTCTGCAGCAGCGAAACCTCCGAATGCTTTGCAGCAGTTCTTCAAGGATATTCTTGCTCAGGACTCAAGGACACAGTTCTTGAGCTCAATGAACTACGTCAAGAATAATCCACAAGTAAGTGATTACATCCAGAAGAATTTGGCAAATACTAAGAAATAATTTTTTATTTTTATTTTTTTGTATATTAATAATGTTTTAAAAAATTAAACTTAATATATCTTAACAAAACAGTTTTTTTTGAGGATGTTTTATTGTCGTCTGGAAAAAGTGACAAAATTATTATTGTCGTCTAAAAAGGTGACAAATTATTATTGTCGTCTGGAAAAGTGACAAAATTATCATTGTCGTCTAAAAAATAGATTTTTCAAGCATGTTTCGGTACCTAAATAAAGGAAGAACATCAATTCCATCTATGTATATAGTATGCAAACACGCATGATATATGGAGTAGCTCTTTATCTGGCTAAAAATCCTATTATTTGAAAATTCGCATTGTCGTCTAAAACCGCCAGACGACAATAATAATACCCCGTTTTTTTTATTTCAAGAGGACACTTAAACTCATTTTCCCAAATTCATACTACAAAACAGCTTTTTCAGTATAAGATCCTTATGGATGCACTTACGCCCATCTGACTCTAATTAACTCTAAACTTCTGAAATGAAGGTCATGTCATAGGGGCGTAAGTGCACCCTTAAGGAACGTTAAACATGAAATGCACATACAGGTGCACTTATTAAACATCAATATATGGTATAGCATGCTATTATAATAGGATTCGTAGCTTTTATCAGAAAACTTGTTAGAAGATGTCAATTAAAAAAGGGGGGTTGGTGTTTTTTTCGTTCCCTATTTTTTCCATTTTAGAAATACAATAACTTAAATTTTTAGATTAGCATTTTCAAGCACATGATCAAAATGTTCATATAAGACAGAAATATATGCTGCTTGCTCCTCTCTAGAATATGAAATCCATTGCTCAAGAGCCAAATCCTCTGGTTCTTTGCAGTTCATGTATTTTTGTAACTTGATAATTCTATCTACAGTTGGATAAATACATCTGAATCGACCACATTGTCGTTGAGCAATTTCATATTCAGAAATGCATACCGCAGCGCAAAATTGCTCATCTTCACGATTCTGCATTTTTTCTTCAATGAAATCAACTTTTTCTGACGGTTGAGGTATTAAAGCAAGATTCAACATATCTTTAACAAGAGGCACTTTGATAGAATTATCAAGTTCTGAATTTAAATCAAGTTCTGGCGAAGAATTTGCTTCAAGTATATATACATCACCATTAATCGAGAGAATCACATCAAATCCAAATAACTCAAAAGATAAACGATGATTATTCTGTTGTCTGAAATGTTCCAACGATGCCATAATACACATCACAATAGAGTCTTCAACTTCATTGATGATTTGCGTTTTTAAATATAAATTAAAGTAAATGTATATTTTGTAAAAATTCTTTTTAATAAAAAAATAAAATTTTGAAGAAGAACACAAAATCTTCTGAAAAATAATATCACATAAACTCATATTATTTTCTAATATATAACTATTTTATATAAAAATCAAATTCAATGATCTTAAAAGCGAAGGATAAACCTCAAAATTTACGAATATAATGAGTGGGAATATAATGCTTATCTATCATAAAACCATATGAAATATCAATTTTTGCTTTACGCCTAATTTTTGACGACAATTAGCAAAAATTGTTAAATGTTAACACTCAGTCCATTTGAATATGAAAAATAAAATTGACTTTGATTAAATGTTTTTATTTATCATGCAATTCTTCTTGCGACCAAAGATTTGAATAAAAGTTCAAAGGCGTGTGGGCAATTTTAACGACATTTTTTAACGCGATACGAGCGTAAGTCCATAGAATGTGTTTTGAGGGAAACTATAAAAATCCAAAATAGAGGTAAGTGCGCCATTATTACCTGCGAAGTTACATGGAATAAATCGAAGAGTAAGTACAAGATGATCTTGCATCTTTCCAAGTAAATGAAATTTATTAAAATTAAGATGATAATATTCATTTATAGTATGTGTATGATGTGTTTTCAAAATTTCTTCAAATAAAATGCAATGATAATTTTTGAATAATTTTTTCTTGTGTATATTTCATTTTTTATTAGTGAAAATATCATTACATCAATAAGGAAAGCACAATCCAAATTCATATTAGTTAAATTAATCTACGACCAAAAGCCCGCCAAATTTGAATTAAACACGTTTTTTGATAAAAGTGTCATTTATGATTGTTGCATTTAGGGATAGTAGCCAATTTCGGTACCAATCTTGAAAATGCCTCGCCATGCCCGCAACATGGAAGAGAAGTATTGGTCTGATATTGAACTATCAATCAATGCAAACTGAATCACCTTGTCATGTTGCTCCACAGATACAGCAGTCTGAGTCCCTCGCTTGGTCATGTTGCTCCACAGATACAGCAGTCTGAGTCCCTCGCTTGGTCATGTTGCTCCACAGATACAGCAGTCTGAGTCCCTCGCTTGGTCATGTTGCTCCACAGATACAGCAGTCTGAGTCCCTCGCTTGGTCATATCACACCAGATAAATAAAAGTTCAGCTTCACAATACTTACCTGCTCTATTATGTGATTTTTTCCAACTATCATATGTTAGTTGTTGTATTGAAGTTGAGTATGAAAGAATAATGTTGCAAGATTTCTCACCAAATAAAAAATCATTAAAGAACATTTTATTCTTTGAAAATGTATTTATGTTGAAAATAATGGAAGATGTTATTCTTGTTAGTTAGTTTACGAAGTTCTTTTGGAAGAAATTTGTTGAATATCTTTATTTTGAATGGGAATGAACTTAGGAAATTCACCACGAGCTCTTGAATAGGCAGAATTGTAATGGATGATTAGCTATGATGGGATTATACGATGTTGGTTTGTTCTAGAATGATTAAAAAGTTTTCAGGTAATGTGCTGATGCATTACAAAAGATGGAAATTATTTAAATAATAACATAGTTTAATAATATTCAATTTAACTGATTAAATATTTGAAAAATTATCTAATTAGGATTTTTTTAGTTTGAAAAGTTAATTTTAGGCATAGTGTATAAAATAAAAAGCATCTACCGTGTCAGAAAATCGAAAAGTTTTCCAAAAAAATCATAAATTTCAAATTTTGAAATAAAAATTGGTACTTTTTAATATGTAAAATAAGAAAATGTATTTTTTTTTGAAAAATTTAGATAGAGTAGTTCTCTTTGTATCTAAGAGGAGTGAATTTTTTTTCTTTAACAAGATCTGGAAACGAACAATTGAAATTTATTTTATCAATATCAGGAGGAAAAGTTAAGATTCAATATGGGATTGGTTGGGTGTAAGGTAGAGGAACTATTGTGTGATAGTTGATGCTTAGAGTTGAAATTGAAGGAAAATAAAACGATAAAAATAAAATGAATACTACCATGGACCCGTCAGTAATAGGTAGTGAAGAGAATAAATCATCCTTACCTCATACAACAACTCATCCTTAGCTGAGACAACAAGTCATCTTTACCTCAGACAACAACTCATCCTTACCTCAGACAACAACTCATCCTTACCTCAGACAACAACTCATCCTTACCTCAGTCATTGACTCATCCTTACCTCAGACAAAAAGTCATCCTTACCTCAGACAAAAAGTCATCCTTACCTCAGACAAGAAGTCATCCTTACCTCAGTCATAGACTCATCATTACCTCAGTCATAGACTCATCCTTACCTCAGACAAAAAGTCATCCTTACCTCAGACAAAAAGTCATCCTTACCTCAGTCATTGACTCATCCTTACCTCAGACAACAACTCATTCTTACCTCAGACAACAACTCATCCTTACCTCAGTCATTGACTCATCCTTACCTCAGACAAAAAGTCATCCTTACCTCAGACAAAAAGTCATCCTTACCTCAGACAAAAAGTCATCCTTACCTCAGTCATTGACTCATCCTTACCTCAGACAAAAAGTCATCCTTACCTCAGACAAAAAGTCATCCTTACCTCAGACAAAAAGTCATCCTTACCTCAGTCATATACTCATCATTACCTCAGTCATAGACTCATCATTACCTCAGTCATAGACTCATCATTACCTCAGACAACAACTCATCCTTACCTCAGTCATTGACTCATCCTTACCTCAGACAACAACTCATCCTTACCTCAGTCATTGACTCATCCTTACCTCAGACAACAACTCATCCTTACCTCAGTCATTGACTCATCCTTACCTCAGACAACAACTCATCCTTACCTCAGTCATTGACTCATCCTTACCTCAGACAAAAAGTCATCCTTACCTCAGACAAAAAGTCATCCTTACCTCAGTCATTGACTCATCCTTACCTCAGTCATTGACTCATCCTTACCTCAGACAACAACTCATCCTTACCTCAGACAAAAAGTCATCCTTACCTCAGTCATTGACTCATCCTTACCTCAGACAACAACTCATTCTTACCTCAGTCATTGACTCATCCTTACCTCAGACAAAAAGTCATCCTTACCTCAGACATATACTCATCCTTACCTCAGTCATTGACTCATCCTTACCTCAGACAAAAAGTCATCCTTACCTCAGTCATTGACTCATCCTTACCTCAGACAACAACTCATTCTTACCTCAGTCATTGACTCATCCTTACCTCAGTCATTGACTCATCCTTACCTCAGACAACAACTCATCCTTACCTCAGACAAAAAGTCATCCTTACCTCAGTCATTGACTCATCCTTACCTCAGACAACAACTCATTCTTACCTCAGTCATTGACTCATCCTTACCTCAGACAAAAAGTCATCCTTACCTCAGACATATACTCATCCTTACCTCAGTCATTGACTCATCCTTACCTCAGACAAAAAGTCATCCTTACCTCAGTCATTGACTCATCCTTACCTCAGACAACAACTCATTCTTACCTCAGACAACAACTCATCCTTACCTCAGTCATTGACTCATCCTTACCTCAGACAAAAAGTCATCCTTACCTCAGACAAAAAGTCATCCTTACCTCAGACAAAAAGTCATCCTTACCTCAGTCATAGACTCATCCTTACCTCAGTCATTGACTCATCCTTACCTCAGACAACAACTCATCCTTACCTCAGACAAAAAGTCATCCTTACCTCAGACAAAAAGTCATCCTTACCTCAGTCATTGACTCATCCTTACCTCAGACAAAAAGTCATCCTTACCTCAGTCATTGACTCATCCTTACCTCAGACAACAACTCATTCTTACCTCAGACAACAACTCATCCTTACCTCAGTCATTGACTCATCCTTACCTCAGACAAAAAGTCATCCTTACCTCAGACAAAAAGTCATCCTTACCTCAGACAAAAAGTCATCCTTACCTCAGTCATTGACTCATCCTTACCTCAGACAACAACTCATCCTTACCTCAGACATTGACTCATCCTTACCTCAGTCATTGACTCATCCTTACCTCAGTCATTGACTCATCCTTACCTCAGTCTCAGGAATATATATAAGAAATTATAGTGTTGGATGTCTCTGAGAGAAACTGAGTGTTGGATGTCAAAGAGAGACTGAGTGTTGGATATCCGTCTCTTATTATATAATTATTTCACATATTAATTAATTTATACCCACGAATAAAATCTTTGATAACTCAATGAATACTTGTCCAGTGTTTCTGAATCTACACCGGCCAGAGATTCATATTTCGTTGCCAAATCGCGAAAATATTCATTATTGACAAAGTTATATCTATAATAGTATTGAACTAAAATATGGTTTTGAAAATTTAATATAATAAAATTATTTTGAATTTAAATGTAAAGTTCTGGTAAGGAGTTAAATTAAGAAAGAATAATTGAGTAATTGAGTGATATTTGATAAGTTAGGGAGAAAATTTCACATACATTGAAGTAAATATATGTTATTGCAAGAGTTAGGATGAGTCTATGACTGAGGTAAGGATGACTTTTTGTCTGAGGTAAGGATGAGTCAATGACTGAGGTAAGGATGAGTTGTTGTCTGAGGTAAGGATGAGTCAATGACTGAGGTAAGGATGAGTTGTTGTCTGAGGTAAGGATGAGTTGTTGTCTGAGGTAAGGATGAGTTGTTGTCTGAGGTAAGGATGAGTCAATGACTGAGGTAAGGATGAGTTGTTGTCTGAGGTAAGGATGAGTCAATGACTGAGGTAAGGATGAGTCTATGACTGAGGTAATGATGAGTCAATGACTGAGGTAAGGATGAGTCTATGACTGAGGTAAGGATGAGTCTATGACTGAGGTAATGATGAGTCTATGACTGAGGTAATGATGAGTCTATGACTGAGGTAAGGATGACTTTTTGTCTGAGGTAAGGATGAGTCAATGACTGAGGTAAGGATGAGTCAATGACTGAGGTAAGGATGAGTCAATGACTGAGGTAAGGATGACTTTTTGTCTGAGGTAAGGATGAGTCAATGACTGAGGTAAGGATGAGTTGTTGTCTGAGGTAAGGATGAGTCAATGACTGAGGTAAGGATGACTTTTTGTCTGAGGTAAGGATGAGTCAATGACTGAGGTAAGGATGAGTTGTTGTCTGAGGTAAGGATGAGTCAATGACTGAGGTAAGGATGAGTTGTTGTCTGAGGTAAGGATGAGTCAATGACTGAGGTAAGGATGAGTTGTTGTCTGAGGTAATGATGAGTCTATGACTGAGGTAATGATGAGTCTATGACTGAGGTAAGGATGACTTTTTGTCTGAGGTAAGGATGACTTTTTGTCTGAGGTAAGGATGACTTTTTGTCTGAGGTAAGGATGAGTCAATGACTGAGGTAAGGATGAGTTGTTGTCTGAGGTAAGGATGACTTTTTGTCTGAGGTAAGGATGAGTCAATGACTGAGGTAAGGATGACTTTTTGTCTGAGGTAAGGATGACTTTTTGTCTGAGGTAAGGATGAGTTGTTGTCTGAGGTAAGGATGAGTTGTTGTCTGAGGTAAGGATGAGTTGTTGTCTGAGGTAAGGATGAGTCTATGACTGAGGTAAGGATGAGTCTATGACTGAGGTAAGGATGAGTTGTTGTCTGAGGTAAGGATGAGTCAATGACTAAGGTAAGGATGAGTCAATGACTGAGGTAAGGATGAGTCAATGACTGAGGTAAGGATGACTTTTTGTCTGAGGTAAGGATGAGTCAATGACTGAGGTAAGGATGAGTTGTTGTCTGAGGTAAGGATGAGTCAATGACTGAGGTAAGGATGAGTTGTTGTCTGAGGTAAGGATGAGTCAATGACTGAGGTAAGGATGAGTTGTTGTCTGAGGTAATGATGAGTCTATGACTGAGGTAAGGATGAGTCAATGACTGAGGTAAGGATGAGTCTATGACTGAGGTAAGGATGAGTCTATGACTGAGGTAATGATGAGTCTATGACTGAGGTAAGGATGACTTTTTGTCTGAGGTAAGGATGACTTTTTGTCTGAGGTAAGGATGACTTTTTGTCTGAGGTAAGGATGAGTCAATGACTGAGGTAAGGATGAGTTGTTGTCTGAGGTAAGGATGAGTCAATGACTGAGGTAAGGATAAGTCAATGTCTGAGGTAAGGAAGTTAGTATCCCTAAGTTGTGTACTGAGGCACTGCGCGCCTCCATACACCACTTAGCGGTTTTGACACTTTACGAAACCAGTAACGTATATTTTACAACACAACCATAACACCAACTTAACCTTAAATATTTACAAAACCATCTGACACATAAACGACATCACTAACGACTTCACTAACGAATTCCCTACCGTCCTCACTAAATAAAAATAACCTTATTTTTATTTTTTTTAATTTTTTATTTCATTGTAAAGACATGTCCGACTACATTTACTATGACTCTTTCCCAGAACGTTTCCGTGAACTATTCAAAACTCAAGTAAAACTGAGAAACATGCATTTTAACAAAGACAGACCCATTGACGATGAAAGAAACCCTGAATATATTACAATCCCTTATGACGCAAAGTTCATTGCATACATTCCTTATGGTCGCAGAGGAACGAAAACTATTTCAACAAAGAACAAAAATTATTTCTGGAGCGATGAAGAAAATTGCCTTATCTACATAAATGCATACTTAAATAAAGCTACATATTGTACAAAAGAAGGTTGGACTGGATTTGAGCTCTACATATACGACGACGATGGAAACAGACGTTGTGTATACCCATACGATAATATGTACCATTGTTTTCATCAAGCATTAAACGAATACATAGTCAGTAAGGGTCTCATTCCTGTTGAGTAGATATGCTTTATTTTTGTTCCCACATTTATTTAAAAATTAATGATATCACCACTCCCACACGTATGAAAACATAGCGCAAAAATAAATTTAGGTGAAGTGGTGAAATCTCACCTCTTTTTTCACCTCTTTTTTCACCTCATGAATTCATTGCTTTATAACTCTCTTCCTTGGTTTCTTTTTAGTTGCTTTCTTCACGTCTGTCTCCAACTTGACTGTCTTTCTTCTTCGTCCGTAATGATACCAGTTACTTCCACCAGTCAATGGGTCAAATGGTCTTTCGTAAGGGTTTCCATACATTCCATAGGGACCATACGGAAGAACTGCTGGTGGAGGAAGAGTTCCATCGACTCTATTTAAATGCATTGTTTCACCTTTCATCTGGTCATTAAAGTCTTTTGCGTGTTTTGAAAACTCATCGTCCTTTCCTAAAGCATTTTCCGACTCAGTCGCAACCAAATTGGATGCTTTATTTATGAGCCCTATTTTATTTAATCTTAACTTCTTTGCAACCCAGCCTCCAATCTTCCCTTTATTTGCATCTAATGTCTTCGAAACCCTTCCTCCACTCATTTTATTTACTGCGTCATAAGCTCCAAGTGCTTTTGCTCCAAATGCTAATGCTTTTGTTCCCATTGCGCCTAAAGCTGCCCAAGCTACCATTTACACCATATTAAAATCATCTCTCTTCAATATTATCTCATAAAAGTTCTCGTTACTGGAGAAAGTCAATGAAACATAAACATTCTCACGGGCTTCGCCCTCACCGCTTTGCGGTCTATCTAACTTCTTTCTTATCTCATCTATTCGCTTCAAAATGTCTGAACAATTGCTAACATCTTCTACAACAGTTATTTCATCATGACTGACCTTCAAGAACAAGCTCATTTAATATGCAATTAAAATCATCTCAATAATGAGTCCATCCTTTCCATCTTTAGGTAGCACAACATCTTTCATTGAAGAAGGTTCGACAAGTCTTATGTTTAAACTTACTGACAAAAGTTTGTTATACTATAATGCTTCGGTGGCGAATACATGTAGTTTGAAAGACATAATATAGATTCTTCAGCAAATTCACTTATACTGGATTTTATAACAATGTTCTCACGAGACCAAATACCACCAATTGACAATCTTGTAAGCAATCCTGCTGAACCTTCTACTGTAAACATCGATGGTAACATTCCACGAAGGTCATCTATTGACATCGTTGAGTCACTGAATTTAAATATTTTCTTAAAGCAATCGTCATTATCTAACCATGCAATAGCTTTGAAGTTTTCATTCGAATATACATCTGCTTCATTAAATGTAAAACCTGACTTCTTTGCAGAGATGACTTTAAAATCTATTGAGTTTGTTTCAAAATTATATGCTATGGTAACTTCTGAAGGTAATGGATGCCCTTCCGCAGTAAGTTGTTCTCTCACTACCGTTTGAAGCTTTGTGTTAAAAACTTTCATGTCATCTCCTGTGTCTAGTTCACATACACAGCAATGGGAAAACTATCTTGCTTCTTTGTTTCATCATTATACCTCAAAACATTAAAGTTCTTCAATAATATTGTCCTTCCTGCTGGAATACTTCGAACCTGTCTGATTTCAATAGCTTTCTCACCTCCTACATACTCTACCCAGTGTCTTGGATATTCATAAGTATACTGACTTTCTTGAATTTTGGTTGGTTTCATCATAACGTGTTCATAGTATATCTTTATACTCTTGTCAGTTAGACTCGGTGCTATGTTCTGAATATTTCTGACTTGCATTTTTAATGGAGATAAAATGAAGCATTTAATACATGACGTAGATGAAGACATGAATGAAACTACAGACAAACTTAACTCTTCTCTCATTCTTCCTTTCAGCAAAGATTATGAATTCTGTTCAAATGGTGTGTATTTCTATTGTGGAAAGATGGGTTCAGGTAAGACATTTAACCTCATTCGTCATATACTCATAACAGAGCGTTTAGGTCAAGATTCATATTATGACCAAATCATTATATCAGCAACTTCAGACTCTATGGACTCAACAGCGAAAACATTTATGTCAAAAGTTCAAGCATCTGTCGTTAAAGTTCCAGATAGCGAACTCATGAATTTCTTCAACGTTACGTTCGACGTAAGAGGAAATATTATGCCATCGTTGAATTTATACAGTCAGGAATGCAAAAGACTTCAGAAGAGATGGAAAGAATTATTGACAAACACCACTTACGTCAATACTCAGGAGTTTACGATATGAAACGACTTACAAACTACATTCTGTCAAAACTTTCAAAATACCCCTTCAAAAAGTATCCTCAAATACTCTGCTCGTTTGCGACGACTTCGCCGGAAAAGGTTTAGTGTCAAAGCCTGACTCACCATTAGCTAACATCATTACTAAAGTCAGACATTACCACTTAACTGTAGCAATACTTATGCAAACATGGCGTTTTCTGCTTTAAACATAAAACGTCTCATAACTGACTTCGTTATCTTTCAAGGTTTCTCACGTTATGATATTGAACTCATTTGGAAACAGTCAGGTATAACATTACCTTTTGAAGAAATTTGGGAAGCATATAAGTCTCTCATCTCTCCTCGTTCATACCTTGAGATTCAATCATGACTAATACCATTAAAGTCAAAATATTCCATGGGAACGACCAACATTGTTTTAAAGTTAACCTTCAATTGACTGATGGTAAACAAATTCCATTGCATCTCTGTCGCCATTTCTGTTAATATTTTTGCTGTCATTCATATCATCCACTTCTCCATCCGTTAGCTTTTGAGGATATGCGTTAGAATAGCTGTTCTTAAATGAAGGCTTTTCACCTTTGAGAGCATAAACTCTATAACTTTCTGCATACTTTATGTTTGAACCTCCTGAGCCATCATTGACATAAATTTTTATAGGCTTCCACCCTTTGTTCATGTTCCTGCTTCTTCCCTTAGCTCTTTTGTTCAGTAGTTCTACATCTTTATACACAGCACCTGTCTCAGTGAATTCAACAATATTTTCATTCGTTAGCTTTACATTCAAACCCTTGTCGAGTATATTGTTCATTTCATACATATAAAAGGTTTTTATTCTATATGAAATGAGAAGCAAATCCATCTTAGCTGGTGCCGTTAATGTTCCAATTGAACCAACATCAAATGTTGACTCACGAACGACAAACAATATTGTCATAAAGAACTATAGTTCAGAGTGTTTGAAAGAAAAAGAACCAGAACTGAAATCCGTGAATTTAAACTCAGCTTCAAACGCTAACGCTACATCAGATGTTAAGTTAGAGTATCCACCACTGGACCAAATTCTTTCAAGAGAAGCCAACGACAACCCTTACACAAATGTTCAAACAAATCCTTCAGATAACGTAGACCATTACCTTCTTCAGTTATACCAAACAATTTTACTCAAAGACGATAAGAAGCTTTTGACAAATCTTATAAGCAAGAACCAAATAATTCTAACAAAGGAGGACCTTGAAAATGTTATATCACGAATAACAGGGAAACAATGTGTCATTGACTATCTCGACCCTGAAATCGAATGCTGTGGTCAAACGCCACCATTCATGAAAATAGGTAACATCCGCATCATTGAAACACCAGGAACTACAGGAGTTGAGTTTAAGTATAAATATTCGAACGAGTATACAAAACTTTCAACAGAATATAAGCTTTGTTTGAAATATGTTTTAGTAAATTAAAGCAATTTGTAATATCTATCCAAAACTTCTTCAACAGTATCGAACTCATCTTCATAATGCAAACCTAATCTTATTGACTTGGTGCAGTTTTCACTAACACAATATAGCGCTTTGCGCTCGGCGCCTTTGACGCCTTTTTCTGTTCTCTTGACTGACATAACTAACTCATTTGTTTCATCAAACAGCAATAACCAAAGTTCATGACCTAATACATAACATTCATACTTTATATTTTTAGCTCTGAGTTCTCTTGTAAGCTGTTGCATTTAATATTTTCTAAAAAGTCAACTTCAACAGTCATTCGCACTGGTGCCTTCAGTTCTACAGGCTCTCCTTGAAAGTCAACAAGTCTGAATTGCATGTCTTTCAAATTATGAGGACTAATGCGAACCCATTTACCTAAATGAGTTACTATGACAGGAACGTTTGGAATGAACATTGAATTGACTGCATAACAGAAGGATTTATATTCTACTGAACCTTTACTATTAACTCCTGAAATACCTGTGACATTAGCTATTTTTGACTCAACGTATAAACAATTACCATAACATACGTATGGAACAGATTTCATCTCAATCGTTTTGTCAACACTTTTCAAAGGACATGTCATATGGTATGCTCCCAGAAGCAATTGAACTCTATGACTCATTCGTGTTATCTTAAACTCCTTCGCATAACTGAACTTCAAAACTCCTGCAATAAGTTTAACATTCATTAAGTTTTCTTCGTTCTCCTTGTTTATTGTAGTATTTATGAGCGCATTTAACACTCCAGCTAATGTTTCCATCTTATATTCTACATTATTGTGAAATCTTATTTCGTGCTTCTTTCCATCTATTTCAAGCTCCATGAAATCTGTTTCATCTGTTATAACGAATGAAGCGATAGTATTGAAGTCAACAACTCTGAAAGCAAGCGCTTCATTCTGAAGACCTAAGTTTGTTTGTAGCTTTACTGTCCCGTATTCGTTTGGGTCTGTACTTTGCAAATAGAACAACATTTTATTCTCATTAAAATATGAGTATTGCTGCATATGCGTATGAAGCTGACAGAGCTAAACGTTTATATTTTGGTCAATACTCTCTCACACTTACTGACAAATATATTGTTATTTCTGATGGAAATACCGAGAAATACATAACATGGAAGGACTATGAAAAGTTTGACCCTATTTTAACTCCATGCACTATGCCATTCATTGTAAATGGTGAAGTTGTCATGAAGAACGACACAACTGTTTATAGGTCTGTATATGAAGCGTTAGAATATATGTTGAATTATAATCCCGAAAGATTTGACCCAAGCACTACGTCATGTACAATGCCTTTTATTAAGGATGGTGAAATCGTAAGAGTTCCGAATTCAACGGTTTACACAGCTGTTCAAAACAGTTTACAAAACATTTTAGCGAATATCTTTAATTCAGAAACTACAGAAATAAAATTACCATATATAACAGATGCTAAAGAAATTAAATCAAAAACGACAACATTATTTACGTCACTTAATGATTTAATGACTTATATCATTAATATTCCTGCACCAACTACAGCATTTGATCCAAACTCGACGGTTTGCAGTGTACCTTTCATAAAGTCGCAAACGGACTCTTTGAGTCCTGAAGGTCTTTCAGACCGAAGCGACCAGGGCGAAGCCCATGACAGTTCATTAATTGTTTTAAGGGATTCAACAGTTAATGAATCATTAAAGGCGTCATTAATGAAAATCATTGATTTTAATTCATTCACGAATACATATAATTCATTCATTAATGTTTCATATGCTTCTAAAGAAGGTGAGCCAAAAACTATCGATAAAGCGGTGTATGAAATAAAAGCATCAACGACGAAATTGAATTCGTTAACTTTTGACGGTGATAGTTTCGTTAATGACATAACATCGGGGAAAACAATTTTAACGAAAGAATATTTAAAATCTCATGTTAGTGAGTTCGTTGAAATTGAAAAAGAAGGTGGAATTAAGTTCGATCCACTGAATTTCATTTTCAGCTTAGCGAATGCGGGTGTTAGTTTCGCTGAATGGACAACTATACAGAGTGAAATAAATGCAATATGGACGTTTTTGGGGTCAAAAGCGGGAATGGGTGAGCTTGTAAATGCTGCAAGAACATTAGGTGAAACAGGAAATTTTGTAGATGGTTTTAAAAGACTTGTTTCAAATGTTTTAACAAACACAAAGAAATTATTTAGATATACCATACATAACGGACGGATTTTCGAACAGGTAGCAACAAACCCTCCGGTTATGGCTGCGTTGATGATGGTTAGAGATATAAAACCACGTAACGACGGGAACGAAGAACATGAACAACAGAGCCCAACGGGCTCAGAGCCACATAGTGGCGAGGATACTGGTCGGGTTATTCAAGACATTAAAAACGTGTATCCTGAAGTTATTGATTTATTTAGAGGAGTTAATGATTCAATTTCAAAACATTCTATAACCCTCGATGAAGAGAATAAATTAACAGATTATATATTCGTCATTATTGCAGAATTAATGAAGAGAATAAATGAAAAAGGAATTGGTGATATCATTAATGTCAGCGATGTAATGATGAAAAGAAATTTTGACTCATTATTTACAAAACCGAAAACAGAATATAGTCTTTATGACGTAATTACCGAATTAATGAAAAAGATTAATGATAATAAGAGTTCTGGCGGAAGAGTTGAATTAGAAGTGAATGATGTTAATGAGAAATTAGCCGAAAAAGCAGATAAAAACCACGTTCATTATATAACTTCAGACGAACAGATTATAACGGACTACCATGGATATTTAACACGAAGTGATGAAGCGAAGACAAAAAATGTTAATGAAAGAAGATATAAATACATTCGTGCTAAAGGTTATGACATAAGCTGTACTGTACAGTATGACACAGGTAAAGCACCAGAAGCATTTAGTTATAACGATGAAATTTATGCCTCTACTTTCTCTGTTAATGGTGTATTAGTTGAACCAAGATTTATGTTAAGAGTTAAGGCAAAAATAACGTTTGAAGATGCTATTAAAAGTAAAGCTGACAAAGTTGAACTTGACGCAACGAACAAAGTTTTGAAATCTCATAAACACAACATCTCCGATATAAATGAACTTCAAACTTCTTTAGACAGTAAAGCTGACAAGAACCATACACATAAATCCTTCACTACTGTTAGAGCAGACGACATAATATTGAACTTTGACCTTGGTTCAAGTGCACCATTAGAAAATCCAAGTACAAGCGTAAAAGATACTCTTAACAGTTTAGATAACAGTTGCAGGAACATTGAAAGTCATGCCAGAAACTTTGAAGCATATGAACTACCAGCAATGTTAGACAAGAAAGCAGACAAGAACCATACACATAAATCCTTCACAACTGTTGCTATAGAAAGTATTGAAGGAACGGTTGAAGAAACTGGTGGGGAGGGCGGAGCCCCGCCGCACGCGGCTGCATTATATTGTAAACCTCCTAACTTTCCACAAGGTTTAACATCGGATGACGACATAACGACGATGAGAAACATTAGATGTAAAGATGTTTATGTCATGAAGGATGAACATAATATTAAATTCACTGCTCAAGATTTATATGACAAGAAAGCTGACAAGAACCATACACATAAATCCTTCACTACTGTTAGAGCAGACGACATAATATTGAACTTTGACCTTGGTTCAAGTGCACCATTAGAAAATCCAAGTACAAGCGTAAAAGATACTCTTAACAGTTTAGATAACAGTTGCAGGAACATTGAAAGTCATGCCAGAAACTTTGAAGCATATGAACTACCAGCAATGTTAGACAAGAAAGCAGACAAAACAGAGCTTCAAACATTAAAGACTCAGATTCTTGAAACATTATATCCTATAGGCTCTATTTATACGTCAATGAACTCAACAAATCCAGCAACAGTTTTAGGTTTTGGTAAGTGGGAACAGATTGTAGACAAATTCTTATATTGTACTAAAAGTTCAAAACAAGCCGGAGGTTCAAAGAAAATTACAGAAGCAAACCTTCCACCGCACACTCATACAGGAACTACAAACTTTTCTGGCGACCATAGCCACTCATTAAGAGACCACCCATTATACAACTCAGAGTATGAAGCTGGCAATGATGTTTTATCTCCATCTTATAACAATGCAGCAAAAAAGACTTTTCGACAAACTGAACCAGGAGGAAATCATGTCCATACTTTCACAACAAATCCAACAGGCTCGGGTGCAGATTATATGCCACCATTTATGACTGTATTCGCATGGTATAGAGTTCAATGAACGCGCTTGAGCCTAGAATAAAATCTTTAACTTTACATAAATGAGCTTGAAAGAAGTATTCGAACAACATCCATGGAGGTCATTTAAGAAGTTCAATGAAGCTGCAAAGAGTTCGGGATTTACTAACAGAGCTGAAGTGAAAAGGTTCTTTGACAAAAATGTTGTACATCAAACAAAAATAAATCCTTACGACTACTTTTTACCAATTTACTCCAACACTCCTGACGCATACCAATTTGACACTCTCATTCAAAGCAGAAAAGGAGGACATAAACCATTCCTCATCTTCATAAATGTTAACACTCGTAAAGCATATGCGTATATAATGAGAAATAAAGGAACTCATGAAGTGTTAAGAGTTTTACAAAAGTTTGTAGCAGAACATAGCCCAAGTATTTTAACATCAGACCAAGACGGTGCATACCTCAGCAACGAAATCACAGAATTTCTCATTAAGCATAACATAACTCACTACACTACTGAAGACCATAACCATAACATACTCGGTATCATTAACCGCTTCATAAGGACTCTCAGAGATTTAAATCAAGAGCGAGACTTTACCGAAGAAACAATGAAACATTTTCTCGAAGTATATAATTCCTCAACACATTCTACAACAGGACATACACCAAATTCAATGACACAACAACAAGAAGAAAAGTATATACAAAAGAAACGAAGCCAAACACAAAATATCAGAAATTCAACACAATTTACTCTCATTCCTGGTACAAAAGTTCGTGTAGTTCTTGACGACAAACCATTGACAAAGAAACGTTTAAGGTTAAGTCGAAATTATTATATCGTAGACTCTACGCAAGGTAATGGATATCTTATAAAAGCTGCTGACGACTCCATAGCATTTTACCCTCGACATAAATTAGTCGAAAGTAGTAATGGCAAACTTGCTGAAACCATTGACGAAGCAAAGCGAGGAGTGGTTATTGAAATACTTGACTATAACACAAACGATGACACTTATAAAGTAAGATATGAAGGAGGCGTTGAAGATGTTATACCATCTAAGAACTTGAGAGAATCTAAACCAACTCATCTGGGACCATTAGAGCGGGAGTACTGGAAAGATAAAAACATGCCAGAAAGAATAAGAAAATTCTTCTAAACTTTTTCGTTGGATGTAAATCAGACAAAAATATAATTTAGGTGAAGTGGTGAGATTTCACCTCTTTTTTCACCTCTTTTTTCACCTCTTGAATTTTCGTGAATTTCCTTAAGAAGAAAAATAACGCTAGTTTTATTTTTATTTATTTTTTATTTTGTATGTAAGAACAGAAATGTCAGTCGAAGCAAAAACATTCACGAACAAATCTAATGGTGAAACATTCACAAAAGGCACTTATAATGGTATTGAAGTCTTACGTAGAGACAAGGATGGTTACATTAATGCAACAAAGATGGCGAGAGAAGCAGGAAAGTTAAACCATTTAAACAGATTTCTCAATAGTGCTAAAATGCAGGAAATTCTTGAGTTTTGGTTGAAAGAATACGGTCGAGCCAAAAGTGGCTCAACCTCAAAACAAGCATTTTATGAGCTTACTAAGGGCGTTATGAATGAATTCAAAGGTATTTACATACATCCTGACCTCGTTCATTTTGTTGCTGAATGGTGCTCTGTAAAGTATGCATTTTATGTCAAAGATATTATGGACTCCATAGACAAGAAAGTTCATGAGAAGTTAGATGAAGAAGAACTCGAAGATACAGTGGAGAATGCTAAACCTTTGTTCGAAGAAGAAGTTGGAAAAATGTGCGAAAAACAATTAGAACATGAACGTGAGATATATTATGGTTATAGAGATTCTCCATACGAACTAGACCAATGGGAACAAGAAGATTTAAAGAGAGAATTTAGAGAATATGAACTCGCTAAGATAGCATTTGAAGCTGCAGAAAAGAAGTTAAAAGTTTGGGGTCGTTTTGTACAAAAATATTGTGAGTAAATGAACCATGGGCTTCGCCCTTGCCGCTAGCGGCTTATTTTTATTGAATTCACCAAAAATATATTATAGGTGAAGAGGTGAGATGTCACCCGTTTTCTCACCTGTTTTCTCACCCCAGTTTTTCACAAGCGTTTTACATGAATTGTACGATGTATATTTGAAATCCTAAACAATTTCGTAGCTTCTATTTCTTCTGTCAGTATGTCAAAAGTTTTAACAATGCCGAAAGTTTCTTTATACTTCTTCTTGACGTCAGATAGAAGGAAATCGTCAGCAGTTGGATAGTTTTTGTTCAGAAATGCTAACATGTCCATTTTATTTTCTGCTGGCTTTTCTGCTTCTTTCTTTAAGTCTGCATAGTCGTTTCGCATTCTTTCTATCTCTTTGACGGAGTAGTTATATTTCCTAATTGCTGCTTTACATTTAGAACATTGCGGATTCATTTTTGCGTTATATTCTGAAACCTTACCTGCTAAAACAACTAAGGCGTCAATGGTTTTCTTTAACTCAAAAGCAGTTGGTCTTATCTGTTCGTTCCATATTTTACCTCTTCTATCTTTATCTCTTATCTGCCATACACATTCAGCAACTAACGAAACAAAGTTATCGTAGGTCTTAAACTCCCCGGATTTATATATGTCAGAAACATTCTTATATACCATGTCGCAATCTTTGTCCATAACCTTATGGTTGCAATGAAATCCTAGAAACTCATAGTTTACCTTTCGAATGAACTTCTTTATTTCTACTGAGTCAGTTGGTTTCACTTCTATTTCATCGAATTCAGGAATAGTTAGTTTTTGATGCTGAATTTCAGGTAGTTTAGGTAAATGGTCAATAATGTCCTGCATTTCATAAAGATACTGTTCATTTGTTTCATCTTTCGCACTACAGTCTAAATTACTTGTTAAAAGTTCTTGCTTTATCTTCTGGATTTTTGTTTCGAAAGTATATGAAGAAGGAATGAAGCTTTTCATCTCTACTAACATAGATGTTGGATTCATGACTAACGAGTTTGGTGAAGTTGTTGTGGACAGAGTCCCGCCGTTCGCGGCTTGAATTGTTGTTGTGCCGATTGTTGAAATCATATCTTTACATACAAAATAAAAAAATAAATAAAAATAAAACTAACGTTATTTTTCTATCTTAAGGAAATTCATGAAAATTCAAATGCTTAGCGGCTGAGGGTGAGAAATTAGGTGAAAAAAGAGGTGACATCTCACCTCTTCACCTATAATATATTTTTGGTCATTTACACTCATTTACGAAGAAGTTATGACAAAGCATTTACGAAGAAGTTATGACAAAGCATTTACGAAGAAGTTATGACAAAGTCACGAGGGTGAAAAAAGAGGTGAGAAAACAGGTGACATCTCACCTCTTCACCTAAATTATATTTTAGGTCAAAGCTTCCACGAGAGAAAAGATTCCTCATTCGCTAAGGATTCCAAAAATGAAAAAATCATTGATTTCGGCTGAGAAAAAACAGCAAAACCCTTCTTCCACGGGAACAAAGAAATAAAGAAGAAATAAAGTAAATTTTTTATTTATTCCCGTGGAAGATAGAGCACTTTTATGACACTTTTTATTCACGACAAACAAGACAAATAAAGAAAATAAGAAAATACGGCGCTGTCGCGGTTCGAACCACAGACCTTGACCCCTCCATAACACCACCTTAGACCACTGTGCTACGTAGCCTGTCGACATAAGATTTTATAAATTGCATATTTGACGTAAATTTATTTCCATCTGGCTTCCCACTGCATAAGATATTCATACGTGTTTGTAAGACATTCATTAAACTTCTTTTCTATTGCATCTAATCTTGCGTTATTTTTTTCAATAACTTGTCTGTATTCTTCATCATCTCCAGCAGTGTTTGGGTCTTCACGTTTAAAATATTCATTGTTAACCAATTTTTTATCTACAAATTTTATTAGTGTTTGATTCACTTCGTTATGATAACGGTCATATTCTTTCAATACGTAAGTGAAGACAAAATGCGTCGTACCTTCAATCTTAAAGCTTAAAGAACTTTCAACACAGTTTTGAGGGTCTGTCAGTGCGTCAATGAGATAGTATTCGAAGTCAGTCAATAATCTTTTTAAAGTCATTTCATACAGGATAAAATTTAATGTTGTGAAGAAATAGTGTTTATCTCAGAAAAAATAAAGTTAGTTTTTATTTTATTTATTTTTTTATCCTGTATGTAAGAACAGTAATGTCAACATTAGAGAACACAACAACTGCTATCGTTCATGAAGCCATAAATGAAGAATACGAATACATACAATATAACAAACAATTGAGACTCATTCGTTCAGTCAAAGATGATATGTATCAAATGCAAAGTATAATGAACGCTCTTCGTTCTACAAAGCAAGCATATCATTGGTTTGAAAACCAACAGGCAAAAGAACTTTTAGAAGAATTTCCTCATATGATTGCTTCCCTCGGAAAACCGAGGGAAGAGATTCCGTACGAAAATCGCAAGAATTTGGCACCTGGTTTGAAAGGTTATTATGTTCATAGACTTTTAGTAAATGCTGTAGCAATGTGGGCTTCACCTCGTTATGCTTGTTATATTTTCATGATGTTAGATGAACTATATAAAGCAGAACGTGGAGAGATGGAAAAGAAACTTCAAGCAAAAGATGAAGTCATTGAATCCAAAGACAAAAGCATACAGAAAAGAATACCACGTTCAGTACCAAAAGGAAAGGAAAAGAGTTATAAGTATATGATTTATACTGAAGAGTTGGAGAAAGAAGAAGATAGAGATATGGTTATGTTGCATTTAGTCAGAAGAAACAACAAAAGCTTTTACGACCTTGCTAAAATATATAAATCTGACAGAAACTGGTTCTATCGTGAAAACTTACCGATTTCAATGACACCGAATGAGCAAATAAAAGAAATTGTCAAAAATACTCTTCCTCAAACACACTATGACATCAAAGGTTGCACAATACTTACCTTCAAAGAAGACTTAACATTACTGAAGGAAAAAATAACAGAATATTTCGATAACTTCAAAGAGGAAGAATGAAGTCACGACAACATTAACGAAGAAGTCACGACAACATTAACGAAGAGAGAATGAGGTGAAAAAACAGGTGATATCTCACCTCTTCACCAAAAATATATTTTTGGTTAAATAGCTTCAGGGTCAATTTCTTCAACCATTTCACTTCCTTCGTCAATGTCAATTGAAGCTTCTTCAACCTTTGGTAAGAACTTTTGTATAACATCTTTGTTCGTTATTGTCTTCAGAGATGAAGGATAATATTTCACAGATGTTTCACCCTTCTTATATTCTTTCTGTTCGGAAAGATTCATAGCAATACTGAAGAAGTCAATGTTGGAGTTCTTTATGACAGTATAGTGTGTATCTTTGACATTCACGAAGAAACCCTTTTGTTTCAAAACTACTGCTAACTCTTGTGAAGTATAACGTTTGCGGTCAATGACGATAGCTAATGGTCTGACATACTGACCAAACTTAGATTCTTTCACAAACTTCTTGTTAAAGATAACATTAACGTTTGAAGCATTATTGAACTCATTCTTGATGGCAGTAGCGAGAGCATTGTATGAAAAGAACTTGCAATCTTGCATGTGTTTCATTAAAATAAAAATATTAAATTATTTTGAAAAATAACTTAAAAAAAATCTAATCTAATTTTTTCAAAAAATATTTTTTTATTTCCTACTAAAGATGTATCGGAAGTTGTCTAAGTTAGAACACTCGGAAATAAAACAACTTCTTACAGAAGCTAATATAGATGTTGCAAAGCATTACGCAACAAACAAAAAAGCACTCGCTGACTTCATTAAAGACTATAATGGTGCAATAAGTTATGATAGAATTCATGAGTTCATAAAGCCGCAACGCGGCGAGGACGAAGTCCATGCAAGAGCATTTCCTTTAAATGACATTGCTATTGACTTATATCATAGACGTTCAGTACCTCATGAAGTAAGAAGAGAGATGTTTGACATAACAAATGCAAACGTTGGTGAAACAAGAAGAGCTGTACCTCATGAAGTAAGAAGAGAGATGTTTGACATAACAAATGCAAACGTTGGTGAAACACGAAAGAGAGATGACACACTGAAACAACAGAGAAGAGAGATGTTTAAAAGTGCTATAGAACAAGTTCGCAAAGCTAACGATGTCATTCGTTCCATTGACGACAAACCAAAAGAAGGTGAGAGATGGTTAAAGAAAGATGAAGAGAATAGGAAGAGAAATGTGAAGTCAGGCAATAGACTCATTGACTTTAACATCGAAGCTTTAGATGAACCAAACAGAGACTACTTACACAAACATTTCGGTAAGGTTTTCATGAGACTCTTAGAGAAAATTAAAATAAACTCGCAACAGAGATGGATGGTATGTTATAAACTTGGTGGAAAGTATGAATGTTCTACGTTAAACCTCAATAATATTGGAACATTACTACATCAGCTCTTGAAGGAGAACTTTATATCAGAGATAGAAGCAAATGCTGCAGGTATTGTTGAAATGCACTATGACTTCTTCTTGACAAACATAAAGAATCTTACCGAAATAAAGATGTATGATTTAACAGAATATGAAGGCTTAACGATGTCAGATGTAAAGAAAGGCAAACCAAAAAAGAGACCATATAGAGATGAAAGCACACTGACAAATGACCAGAAAGCCATTTTGGAAGCTCTTAAGCAAACAGGAAACCCAGCACTTATAGAAAGCTTTTGGAAAGATAATGGTGAAAAGAAGTTTTATAAGAAGAGAAGCGGTCAGTTCTGGAAGTATCTTTGCACATTACCTATAAATCTTGAACGCTACCAAATCTTCAATGAACTGAACAAAAGAACTGCAACACTTATGACAGAGGACAATTGTTTCGTTTATGCTTGCATTCAGGCTGGAGTAAATGAAGAAACTATTGACCACATGAGAGAAGTCATTCGTGTTAGAGACTTTCCTCAAAGTAAAGTACAAGAAATTTCCGATTCAACAGGTATAGCATTTAATGTTACCATTGGTTATTTCAATGACTCAAGACATAATGAAATAAAGAGATATATACCAAAAGAATGCGAAACTGTTAGAACTATTGACTTACTTCTTGTTGAAGACCACTACATGCTAAATGAAAGATTACCAATGACAACATACTTCATTCGAAACTATATAGAAATCTTGAAGGAGTGTGGTGGAATGAACATTGAGAAACAGATGAAGATTTATACAAAGAGAGAAGATAAATATGTAGTTCGTTATGATAGAACAACACCGCTATGGGATGTTATGAAAACATTGTGGGAGTGCAAATATTTCGAACCTATTTCTTATGGAGAACTTTTCACATATACTACTGACTTATATAAACAGAACCTTGCACCATTTAAAGATTTGACATATGCTCCAAAGTATTGTGTACAACTGAAGAAGAAAGCAGAGTCAAAAGAAGTAAATAAAGCTAAATGTAAATTCATTCCTGAGCACGTTTTCTTTGCTGACTTTGAGTGTAGCACAGACGGCTTTCATAAAGCTTTTAACATCTGTTATGACAGTGAAGATGGTTCAGTGAGTGAAAGCATTTGGGGTCAAAACTGTGCAACAGAATTTTTGGAAAGACTTCCTGACAAGAGTTTAATATATTTCCACAACCTCAGTTATGACATAAACTTCATCTTAAGACACATGACAGAAGTGAAAGGAACTCCCATCATTAAAGGTTCACGAACAATGCAAATAACTGGTTTATATAAAGGACGGGCAATTATTATAAAAGACTCTTACAGTGTTATAAATAAGAAGCTTAAACTATTTCCTGCTATGTTTAACTTACAAACAGGACCGAAAGAAGTATTTCCATATAACTACTACAGCAGTGTTTTGTTAGCAAATGACAACAGAACTGGTGTCATTTCTGAAGCATGTAAGTTTATCCATGATGCAGATACATTCATGAAAAACATAGATTCCATCAAAGGTTGCAGAATAGATGAAAACCACTTCGACTTAGAAAAATATAGCACGTTTTACTGCAAACAAGATGTAAGAATTTTAAGAGAAGGTTTTGTAAAGTTCCGCAATGACTTATTGAAAGAGTTTGATTTAAACGTTTATGACTACGTTAGTATTTGTTCTATTGCTAACAAATTGTTTGAGAACAGAGTATACTTCCCGAATGGAAATCTTTATGACCTCTCAAATAAACCAAGAGAATTTATTTCGAGATGCATTCAAGGTGGAAGATGTATGTTGTCAGATAACATGAAACAAAAGAGCAAAAAGAAACTCATTGCTGACTTCGACACTGTTTCATTATATCCTTCAGCTATAGCAAGACTTTATACTTTAGAAGGTATTCCAAAAGTATTGAAGGAAGAAATGTTAAGCACAGAGTATCTCATGAGACATTTATTCGATGATGACCAAAAGGAACCCATTGGTGAAAAGTTTATGTCTGGCTTCTTTGTTCTCATTAAGATAACAGAGATTGGTATACCCAGACACTTTCATTTAATAGTTTGCGACCCTGAACTAAATCCAGAACTTAACGTTCCAAGAAGTTCAAACACTTGCTGTCTCATGTATGTTGACCATATAACATTACAAGACCTCATAAAATATCAATGTGTCAAATGTGAAGTGTTGCAAGGATACTATTACGATGGAAACAGAGATATGAGAATAAGAGATGAAGTAAAGAGTTGTTTGAGTTAGGTTAAAGTATAAGAAAGAAGGAAACCCTTACAAGAATTATAAAACTCATTCTGAACAGCATTTATGGCAAACTATTCTATCTCCTATTGAGTCAAAAATAACCATAGTAAATGACAAAGATGCTATAAGATATGCTATAAGAAATTACAACCATATAGTGAAGTTCGAAGGTTTGGATGGTTCAGATAAAACTATTTTCAAGCTAACGAAAAGCATTTGCAGACACTTTAACTTCTGTCCACTTGGTGTTAATATTCTGTCTATGTCAAAACGTATTATGAATGAAGTATTCTGTACTGCTGAAGATATGGGTCTTCAAATCTTTTACCAGGATACCGACAGTATGCACTTATATAATGAAGACATACCAAAGCTTGCAGCAGAGTTTAAAGAGATATGGTCGCGAACTTAGAAAGAACCTTGGTCAATTTCATAGCGACTTTGCAGAAATAACACCTGGAAAACAAAGTTAGCTATATAAAGTATTTTCTGTGGAAAGAAGACCTACATAGACTTACTCACTAACGATTTAAATGAAGTTGCATTTCACTGCAGAATGAAAGGCGTGAAGCAAGATGTTATTGCTTTAACCGCTAATGAAATGTTTCCTGAAGCTATACAATGCTATTACAATGAAGATAAGAACATTCACATACCTGTTGGAACATATGACAAAGACTCTGAGTTCAGTTTAATGAAACTTTACAAAGCACTTTATGATGGTCAAGAGATTGCATTCGACTTATGTAAGTCATGTCAACCTTGCTTTGCTGAAAAGTTCAACTTTTCAATAACGACTAAAACAAGCTTTATTCGTAAGTTGAAGTTCTGAGGTCATTTATTTTTGTCAGCAATGAGGTCATGAATGAGGTCATTTATTTTTGTCAGCAATGAGGTCATTCGTGATAAAAAATAAAGCTAGCGTAGATTTTACAATACTGCGATGGTAGAGTTTAAGAGTTGTGCTTCATGTATGTAGAGACAGTCCTTCCATCTGGAGGCAAGAACACTGGACATTTATGGTCATGAGTGGAGAACATGTCTATCCAAAACTCACGATTGAAGCCAGTTAATTTATAGTATTTAGGGTTAGGAAGTGGTGAAGTTCTTGTATGACCAATGAACTCATTTTCAACGCCTTTGGCTATATTAGAGTAAAGTATTGCTTGCTTTCTATCCCAAATGCCAGGTGTTACAATCTTTGAAAATTCATTTTTTCCTCGAAGCATTGCATCATAATTGAAAACATTCTTAAAATTCATCACTTGGTTCGGAGTTGAAATCTTATACGTAATGGATTTCTTCTTTTTAGCGACTTCATTGAATGGTGAGAATACAATAATTGACAGTCATGTGTTCCATCTTCATTTTCATTAAATTCATAATGAAAGTCTTATAAGTTGTGGCTGACTACCTTCTTCCTTCAGTTGTGCAAGAAACTCACGTAAAGGCTGTAAAGTTTGTACTTCAATGTTGAACTTTTTCTCGAAATCTCATTAAATGAAATCATACATTGCAAACAATGTTGTATCGTCTTTAAAGTATTTGTATATGTGAATGTTTTGGGCGCTTAAAGACTGTTCGTCATTTTCTATCTCGACTTGAAGTATAAAGTCAACCTTTCTGAAAGCACGTGTTATATACATAGATGTTATGCCAATGTACTTCTCTTCATTTATGTTCACAATCCAGTCTGTTGGAAACTTAAACGTTACTCTGTTCCCCTTTATTTTGACGTCAGGGTTTTCACTACTGAACGCAACAGATAAAGGTATTTGTCTATACATTTAGTTTGGATAAAAATAAACCATTTACTCTTTCTTTGCTTCAGCTTCCTTTGCTTTTTGTTCTTCCTTTGCTTTTGCTTCTCTCTAGCTTTTTTCGCCAGCAAACGTGGGTTCTTCTGTCTTCCAGCAGCTAATGCAGCTAGTTGTTTTTCACTAAGTTTTCTCTTTGGTCTCTCTGGCTTTTGTTCTTGTTTTTGTTCCTTCAGTTCGGATAAAATTTGCTCGCGAATTTCTTTCTTCAATGCTTCAACATCTATGACCCCTTGGGTCTTGTCCATATGACTTGTCTGAGTCATTTGACTGTAGATAAAAAACTAACTTAAAACTTTAACCGATGTAAAATGAGCTTGTCAAAATCAGAGCGAGAGTCTATTATATTAAATGACGCAAGAGGAATACAACATCCTTTCTATTACGTAAGTCAGAGTAAAGATGGTAAAATATACGTAAGAAAAAGAAAGGTACCATTAGCGAATGCAGAGAGCGACAACATTAAGGTGCATGGCAAGGGTGAAGTCCACGAAGCCCATATAAAACCTTCTGTTCAAACTGAGCCACCAAAAGAACAAGAAGAAAAGAAGCCAGATGTACTTTCAATAACGAACCAAGAGCTTATTGCAAAGTTCGTGAATTTCATTGAAAAACAAACCGAGTCAAAGAACCCTGACCCGCCAGTGAAAGAAGTTGAGACAAAAGAGAATGTACAGTTCATTGAAAATGTCAAGAAACAACTTCCACCACGAATACCAAGAAGAAGAGTGAGAATAATGAAGTAAATAGATATTTTTATCTGAAGTAAATACATGCAGAACGAACAGTTAAACGAATTTACTCCAGCAGAGCATATTCATCAGATTCGCTCATATTTCGATATCATAGACAATGCAGTTCAAATTGGTGACACTAATAGAAAATATTCTGACGCAAAGATTCCATCACAACCTGGAACTGCTAAAGATAACACATGGGTAACATTCAATCTCTCACCTCCTGGTGAAAATATGTTGGACCTTTACAATACATTCATTACGTATAAAATGGAAGGTCAATTTATTGTAGATAAAGAAATTGGTTCAGGTTCCAATAAAACAAACCCACCAGGATTTTGGATTGGTTTCGATGACGCTTTCTATGCAGTTGCTGGATATCAAATCCTTGCAAATGGTCGTATCGTATATTCTCAAGACAACGCAAGAGAAGAAGCATATATAACTTCAAACTCACAAACTACCGAACAAATAAAGAAAGTAGATGTTTTTTCAAAGACTCGACATGAAGATGTATGGAGTCATTCGGGAACATGCAGAACAGGACAAATTGTTAGTGGTCCAATTACAGCAGGAAAATCATTTGATTTTAAGCTTCGTTTAAGAATTCCTGTTAGAAGATTCCTTCCATTAGAAGCTATTCGATTTATTCCAGCTTTTGCAGGAAACATTCAGCTTAAAGTAAAGTTCAGTAGCGACGCCTTACAATGCACATCTATATCTGTAAATGATATCATTGCTTTCAATCCAACTCTTAAAGTTGCATTTGCTTCAGATTCAAATCCACCGACAAATAAATTTGTTCCATGGAATGAACCATTCACTATGATAACGAAGGCAGTAGAAGCTAGTGGAACAGTTACTATTACAACTGTAAACCAGCAACTATTTCGAACAAAGATGGATTTTAATGAATGTTTCATTCATCCAAAGTCATTCTCTTTAGACCCTAACATTTATACAGAACTTGTAGAACATTATACAAACGAGGCTTTATGTTTTCCTGTTAAAGTTATGGATTGGATTCCTATGGACGGTTCATTCTCAAAGAATACAGATAGTTCAAGTGCAACATTTACAGCAGCTTATACGCCTATTAATGTTAAAAGTATTTGGGCACTATTTAGAAAGAAAGACAACTATTATGTTAATTTTGAGAACCCTAAGTTTAAATATCTTCAGCTTTCCATGGGAGCTTATGGAAATATGCCTGCAGAACCTGAAAAATCATATGGACCTGTATTTTATGAAATGGTTGCGAACGCTTGCAATACAAACAATGATATGATTGGATTTAATGAAGATGTTATGAGGTCATTGGTGGATGATGGTAGTGTGGAACATAAATGGGATAGCTATGACAACACACATTTCTTATGTGGTTTTCCAACAGAAGTGGACTTTTGCTTCCAGCAAGGTCAAACATCTACTGCTCCAATAACATACAAATTGTCTGTTAAAGGACCTATTGAACTAGCAACTGAAAACGTACCAAAGCCACTTATTGGATTTATGAGGGATTGTTGCTTTGCAATACAAGTAAGACAGTCAGGCATACCAATAATAAGACTTGACGACTATAACTTAGCCACGGACGACAGTGAGGAATAAAGGATGAACGTTTATTTTTAAAGCTTATAAATGAGTTCTTCATCAAGCTCTCGTGAACCTTCACCATCTATGAAACAAACTTTACCAAACGATTATGGAGCACCTATTGAATATTTCTTACGAGCTGCACAATGGCAAAGAGCAGTCTCACCAAGGTTAGGTGTTCCACCAGCTCCTGTCAAAAATAGCATTTGGTCAAGTCCTTATATAAAATATGGTCTCCCACTAGGTTTGCTAGCTACAGCAGGAGCAGTAATGATGTTGAAAAGAAATAAAGCAAATGTTATAAATAATACTGAAGTAGCTGAATTTGAACAAACTCCGACACCATCGCCAAAACCAACGTCAAAACCAACGCCTTCACAAACAACACCTTCAATGACTCCTGAACCTATGAAAGTACAAACTCCTGTTCAAAAGTCAACTCCAAAACCGACTCCAACATTTAAACCAGAATCTACTCCTCAAATAAATCGTAAAACTCCTGCGTTTCCTTACTGAAAAAATAATGTTAGTTTTATTTTATTTGAACATTTTATTTAGAGTAAAATGACGACTAAAGTCACTGAAGCAATGAAACAAAAATTTTTGGTAGAATACATTAAATCAGGAGCGGTTCCAGAAGGTTTTTACGTTCATACTATGAAGGATGGTAGAGTTCAGTTTAGAAAGATAAAGCAACCATTAGATAGAGAAGGTATATTAAGGAAGATTAAACTTCATGAGGACAACATTGCTGAACTTAGGAAGAAGTTAGAAGAGTTGGAGAAAGGAAGAGAGTTATAAAGCAATGAATTCATGAGGTGAAAAAAGAGGTGAAAAAAGAGGTGAGATTTCACCACTTCACCTAAATTTATTTTTGCGCTATGTTTTCATACGTGTGGGAGTGGTGATATCATTAATTTTTAAATAAATGTGGGAACAAAAATAAAGCATATCTACTCAACAGGAATGAGACCCTTACTGACTATGTATTCGTTTAATGCTTGATGAAAACAATGGTACATATTATCGTATGGGTATACACAACGTCTGTTTCCATCGTCGTCGTATATGTAGAGCTCAAATCCAGTCCAACCTTCTTTTGTACAATATGTAGCTTTATTTAAGTATGCATTTATGTAGATAAGGCAATTTTCTTCATCGCTCCAGAAATAATTTTTGTTCTTTGTTGAAATAGTTTTCGTTCCTCTGCGACCATAAGGAATGTATGCAATGAACTTTGCGTCATAAGGGATTGTAATATATTCAGGGTTTCTTTCATCGTCAATGGGTCTGTCTTTGTTAAAATGCATGTTTCTCAGTTTTACTTGAGTTTTGAATAGTTCACGGAAACGTTCTGGGAAAGAGTCATAGTAAATGTAGTCGGACATGTCTTTACAATGAAATAAAAAATTAAAAAAAATAAAAATAAGGTTATTTTTATTTAGTGAGGACGGTAGGGAATTCGTTAGTGAAGTCGTTAGTGATGTCGTTTATGTGTCAGATGGTTTTGTAAATATTTAAGGTTAAGTTGGTGTTATGGTTGTGTTGTAAAATATACGTTACTGGTTTCGTAAAGTGTCAAAACCGCTAAGTGGTGTATGGAGGCGCGCAGTGCCTCAGTACACAACTTAGGGATACTAACTAAGGATGAGTCTATGACTGAGGTAAGGATGAGTCAATGACTGAGGTAAGGATGAGTCAATGACTGAGGTAAGGATCATTCCATTCCACATATATCACAACACCTACACCTTACACAACCCACAAATCATCTCCAAATTTCTTTTCAGAACTTCTTTTAAATGAGCATTTTTCAATCAACAAACATCCCTTCTTTTGCCCGCACAAAAGGTTTCAGATGTTATATTGTTCCAGAAACTCATGAAACAAAGTTCTAAATGAAAATCCACGGAATGAGCTTGTTCAATAGCATTATCAATAAAAAGAAATCTATGGTATCGCCCGCACAATACCAAAAGATTCCATTTTGTAATGAATGATTACTATGATCCAAGGATGGTTCCGTAGACTTGAAAATTTTAAATTGGAGGTTTAATTCAAATTTGGCGGGCTTTTGGTCGTAGATTAATTTAACTAATATGAATTTGGATTGTGCTTTCCTTATTGATGTAATGATATTTTCACTAATAAAAAATGAAATATACACAAGAAAAAATTATTCAAAAATTATCATTGCATTTTATTTGAAGAAATTTTGAAAACACATCATACACATACTATAAATGAATATTATCATCTTAATTTTAATAAATTTCATTTACTTGGAAAGATGCAAGATCATCTTGTACTTACTCTTCGATTTATTCCATGTAACTTCGCAGGTAATAATGGCGCACTTACCTCTATTTTGGATTTTTATAGTTTCCCTCAAAACACATTCTATGGACTTACGCTCGTATCGCGTTAAAAAATGTCGTTAAAATTGAACCGCGCCCTATTCATCTATTAGTAAACACTACCGTATATTATTTTTTAAGCTATCTTATTTTTTGAACTTTTATTCAAATCTTTGGTCGCAAGAAGAATTGCATGATAAATAAAAACATTTAATCAAAGTCAATTTTATTTTTCATATTCAAATGGACTGAGTGTTAACATTTAACAATTTTTGCTAATTGTCGTCAAAAATTAGGCGTAAAGCAAAAATTGATATTTCATATGGTTTTATGATAGATAAGCATTATATTCCCACTCATTATATTCGTAAATTTTGAGGTTTATCCTTCGCTTTTAAGATCATTGAATTTGATTTTTATATAAAATAGTTATATATTAGAAAATAATATGAGTTTATCTGATATTATTTTTCAGAAGATTTCATTCTATACGCCTATGAAAAGTACTCTCAAAACTAACTTTTTCCTAATTATAATTAAATCTAGAATATTGTATTATGCTTGTTGTAAACAGAAATTCATCAAAAGTGACACCTCAGAAAAGCTAAAATATTGAATTTTTGGAACTTTTGATAGAGCACGTTTTTAAATATTAATTAAAGTAAATGTATATTTTGTAAAGATTCTTTTTAATAAAAAAGTAAAATTTTGAAGAAGAACACAAAATCTTCTGAAAAATAATATCACATAAACTCATATTATTTTCTAATATATAACTATTTTATATAAAAATCAAATTCAATGATCTTAAAAGCGAAGGATAAACCTCAAAATTTACGAATATAATGAGTGGGAATATAATGCTTATCTATCATAAAACCATATGAAATATCAATTTTTGCTTTACGCCTATTCCCACTCATTATATTCGTAAATTTTGAGGTTTATCCTTCGCTTTTCAGATCATTCAATTTGATTTTTATATAAAATAGTTATATATTAGAAAATAATATGAGTTTATCTGATATTATTTTTCAGAAGATTTCATTCTATATGCCTATGAAAAGTACTCTCAAAACTAACTTTTTCCTAATTATAATTAAATCTAGAATATTGTATTATGCTTAGTATTATTTCATTTTTCTCATTCAATTTAGAATTTACAAATGTCAAAAAATTGAGAGCTGTCACTTTTGATGAATTTCTGTTTATTACAATGCTTAGTATTATTTCATTTTTCTCATTCAATTTAGAATTTACAAATGTCAAAAAATTGAGAGCTGTCACTTTTGATGAATTTCTGTTTATTACACAATGACTTTGCTAATTTTCTCTGTAGTCCCTATTTTCAAATGTTGTTAATCTGAATTTTTTTGAATGGATCTAATTGATGAACAAGTGTCATATTTTCCTTTCGCTTCTTCTCCAAATAATTTCTTAATTGAGAGATTTTTTTGAAAATTTGGATTCGTATTAGACATCTGTAACTTTTTTTGACATATGAGTTAGATGAGCATAATATGTACATAAATACTATATTGCTATTGGGATATTAATGGCAAAGTTTAGTGATTTTTTTAATATATATTATGGCTTTTTCACAAATAGTCACATTTATGTGTCTGATAGAGGAAAACGCCAAATAAAGCTAATAAGAAGGAATTTTCTTGAAATTTAAAATTATTTCAAAGAATTCGGACAACAGGACTGCATTGTTGGTTATTTTGATCCGAAAACAGTCAAGGGCTTTTGGATTGCCTTAGAGAGCATAAGACGGGTTGAAAAAAAGAAACTTTTTTTTTTGAGATCTCAAAAAAATGCTGAATTCTTTCCAAGTCAAGCTTATTAAATCTATCGAAAACGGAGTTCTCGAAGAAACTAAGAGGCTTGCTATTGGTAAATTTGATATTGATAAGCCATTAGTTCCATCTTTAGAAATCCCAATAAAACCTCCATCAAAGAAAGTTCCATTTCCCGTTATTCGTGGTCCGACACCATTGATACTTGCAATACTATATGAAAGAACTGATATTGCAAAATATTTATTGGTCGAGAAACATGCGAGGTTAACTGTCAAAGCAAACGGATTATATCCAATACATTATGCATGCATAGTAGGAAAATTAGATTTATTGCAAATTATACTTGAAACAGATGAAGGAAAAGAACAAATTAACTTACAGAATGATTACCTCTATACTCCTCTACATCTAGCTGCTGCAAATTCGCATATACAATTAGTACTTTTACTTCTTAAAAATGGTGCAAAATGCAATAATAAAGATTTTAAACAGTTACCGGATACAAAGAACAATGTACTTCATGTGTGCATGAGAAATTCGGATATATCCATCGTTGAAGCCCTTCTTTCAAAAGGTGCTAATTTGGATGAAGTTAATTCTGAAAATGAAACGCCATATCAGACAGCATTCTTCTTCCACAATGAACAAATGATAGAATTTTTGCAAAAGTACGCAACTAATCCTTCAATTGTTCGACCATTTGAAATTTTATGTAAGAAATACTTAGACGAAGAAGTGATTTCAAGTGAATCAGAACAGTTACAAAGCTTATCTGAACAACTTCGTGTTCTTACAAATAAATTAGAAAATTTGGAGCAATCCAAACAATAAATACTAAAAAAATAAAATAATAGACCAAATTCATTATTTTACATCCTTTTCCCACATTGTTTTTGATATGAATTTTTGATACATCTACATTTTATCATAGAGATCTTCCTTTTTTGATATTTTGAAACTCTATGAAACAACATTTGTTTTCATAAATGTCAACATCTTTATTAGTTCCAACAGAGATATGATAATGACCATATCTTGATGCACAAATGAGTGGAGTATATCTGGCATTATTCTTTGCTTCTTTATCAGCTCATTGAGGGTAATAATCATTAAAATATCATTAAAAAATATATATATATTGATAATTTGAGACAGAAAAAAACATATATCTATAAATTGTTTATTATTATTATTAATTACATTAACTACGTATAATTGGATGTTTCACTTCCTGCTGTAAGCCAATGATTGTTTACTTCTTCATCATTCGATTCTTTTCCGTATGTATCTTGAACTAAACTCGGTCCAATCAATGACAATATACAAACAATAATATTAGGCAGCCAAAGACCTAGTCGATATGCTTTGATTGTGTGTACTTTAGTTCCTGGAGGATCAACAGCTCTCACAGTTGCATTAATAATTGCCTGGAATATTACGCATGTAACTGTTGCGTAGAAATTCGCCAGACCAGCTGCTGTTGCCGTTGATTCTTTGGTTGTCATTTCTTTGAACATTGTCACAGCAACAGGAACAACTGCTGATGTGGATAAGCCGTAAAGGAAGAGAAGTATCCATACAAATACTTCGTGTATCTTTTCTTTGATGAAAAAGAATGTAATGTTAATTGACAATGTTAAAAGAGCACCAAATATAACAATATATTTTCTTGTGTGCAAAGTTTCACTGAGAAAGGCCAAAACAGGTGAACCTACAATTGTTGCAATACTCAGCATCATTATAATGTAGCCAGCATGTTCTTGAGTGTAAGAAAATACAGATGTCAAATAATTTGCAGCCCAAAATGAAGTTAGAATGAAAAATGTGGGCGCTGATGTGAAACTCCATGAAACAAGTTTCCAAAATGATGGATTGAGAGAAACTACTTTGAAATTCGCCCATAATTGAATAACTTTACCTTTAAATGTTTCTTTCTTCTCAAAAGTCTGTGGAGCAACAAGGAATAAGAGTGCTAGTATAGATATGATAAATCCGATTGCAGCCGTAGCATAAAAAGTGTATTCCCATTTGATATGTTTAACTATTGTAGCTAGAGGGCCAGCAGCAAGGATTCCACCGAGAGATCCACAGGACATCGTAATACCGTTTAGCAAATTGAACCAGCTAGGTGAATATAAATCTGCCATAATTCTAACTATAGGAACATATATTGGACCTGTTCCAATACCAACCAAGCATCTGGCAAAGCACGAAAGAATGTAATTATGAGAGAATCCGATAATTAGTGTACCTATTGCAGTGATACAAGAAAATGTAGAAATTATATAACGTGGTTCAATAACATCAGCAAGAAGACCTGCTACTGGCTGCATAAATGCATATGGCCAGAAATACATGAGACTGAAAACGCCGATATCATCTTTTGAAACGTTTAAAGCTTGCGCGAGTTCATCTGCAAGAACACTCGTTGAATTTCTGTGATATCCAACTAAAAGATAAGCTATACAGCCTATTAAAATAATAAAAGCGCGAGATAAGTTTTTGTTAATTTGAAAATTGATTAAAATTGTCAAAATTTTCAAATACATTCACCTGTGGTACTTGCAAAGCATATTTGGATTGTAATTTTCACTAATGATCGATTTGAATGATTTACATCGATTTAGGCCCCATAATAATTTTTTCAGACCCAAAATTTATTTCTTGATTGATGAATAATACATTTTTTGGAGCGAAAATTATTCCAAATAATTACTACAAGGCACACACTCGTCACGACCTTGTACTAACAAGAGCTATTTTGGATCCAGAAGCTTCAGAAGATGCCCATTCTAGGCTTTTCCTTCAAATAGAAAAGACAGACGGGCCAATTGCTGATCTTTATGGTTCTCAAAATATTTCTCTCCCATTAAATATACATGTTTCTGCTGGATTTCAAATCACTTTTAGAGTCGCTGGCGATGCACCAGTATATGTTTCGGGATACTTCGAACCTGATAGACAAATGAGCAGATATCGTAAGGTAGAAGATGATAGTAGCTCAAATCATTATTATTACTCAGATTCAGAAAATAATTCTGATGAAGAAGAGGATTCCAACGATAACGAAGAATCCAATCAAGAAAGCGAAAATGTAGACCCCGACGAGGTTGGAAGCTCAGATGATCCAAATAAAATTCCAAAAGGCTCGGATCCTTTAAATCCCGCAAATGAAACATTGGTTACCGAATGGAAGTACACAGAAAATATACCTGAAAAGGCATTACAAAAAATTATGAAAGGCGGTTTTTATACAGAAGGAAAAACTGCATATGTTCTTCTAGATAAGGTAGATAGTATGTCAATAAGTAGTGCAGTACTATCTGAAGGCATTAAAGTCGTTCATGCTGTTTACATTAAGCCAGATATAAGACTCCTCAATTTCATTGCTCATTTATGTCGAATTGATGTCAAACTGAAATACTCTACTATTGTACAAGCATAATATATACATTTTTCGTTTTGTTTTTACTATAAATATATTTGTCAAAATTTTATTTGGCAATAATGCTATTAAGCCTTGGGATTTAACATGTAAGCTTTTTGGTATGTTTTTGCATTACAATTATTATCGAAATCAATGTTTCAATAATTGAAAATCTATTGTTGATATATTCAAGATTATTAAGTTTCAGAACCCACGAAAGAAAAGTTAAAAAATTTAAGGATATTTGAATTATCAATGAACTTTCTCTATATATTTTTATAAATTCAAAATTGATCGATTACGATAATGAATAGACTTTAGAATCTTTGGTCCTATGATGAAATTTCCGTTTGGACAAATAATATCAATTTTGAAGCTAATGAATTCATTTTCATTGATATAAAATATATAAACTCACTTCCAAACTAAGAGATTTATCCAAATCGCTCAAATATTGATGTACATGCATTTCTCAAAAAGTAATGCTTTCATCACATGATTGCTGCCATGTCACTTTGAGTAATTTGACAATTTTGAAAATAATTATCTTATTAATAATGGTTCTGATATTATTATTTTTTAGGATCGGAATTTGAGAAAAAATTGACGTGTTATAAAAAAATCTAAACATCAAAGAAAAAAAAAATCTAAGTCGAAAAAATGTCAATGAATAGCGTCTACAGAAGAGAAGAATCAGATGATTTATCAGTTGGACGTATTCGTCGTTTAAGTACAACAGATGCAGAAGAAGTTATTCGTGCTCTTACAGGTGCCGAACCTCAAAAGAAAATTTCTCCTTGGAGAAAGACATGGGTTCCATTACTAGCTGTTATTACCTTTTGTACATTCTATATGATCCCAGTATACACATTATATCCTTGTGCAAGAACTTGCTTAGCGATTCTAGTTCTCGGCGGCTTTTTATGGGCTACTGAAATTGTGCCATCATATGTTACAGCATATCTCATGCCAATCATGTGCGTTTGGTTTGGTGTCGGATACGAAGAATCTACAGGCGCAAGAATGCCTGCAAATAGATTAGCTGTTGCCATTGCAGCAAAATTCACAGATCCGATTATTTTCGTTTTCCTTGGTTCACTTGCAATTTCTGCTGCTCTTGCAAAATTAAATATCACTGAAAGAGTTTCAAATTTTGTCCTTGCAAGAATTTCCAACAAACCACAAACAGTCTTACTTACATTAATGCTCCTTAACTTTGCCACATCCGCTTTCCTGTCGAATATCGCCGCAACTACAATCTTTTTAACATTTTCTTTACCAATTATTAGAACTCTTGATCCAGATGATCCATTTATCAAGGCTATATTATTCGGATTGGCATGGGGCGGAAACGCTGGTGGCCTACCTACAACAATTGCTTCATCCCAAAATATTCTTGCGATTAAATACATCAACGAATCAGGAACTACATCAATTTCATTCATAGAATGGATTGCATTTGGTGGTCCAACAGGTTTATGCTGCTTACTATTCTTTTGGCTTTATTTAATCTGGAAATATAAACCAGCATATTCAGAATTACAGATTGGTGCAGAATTACCAACAAGACTTCCTCCATGGACATGGAAACATACATTTGCATGCCTCGTTACCGCATTTACTATCTTATTATGGGCACTTCAAGAATCTTTCCCGAAATTCCTCGGACATATCGGTATTTCCTCACTTATTCCGATCGTTACTTTCTTCAGCGTCGGTATTCTCGACTCTGATGACTTCGGACACCTTAGATGGTCAACATTATCCCTTATGGGTGGCGGTTTGGCACTTGGTGAGGCAATGAGGCTTTCTGGATTGCTTAACCTTCTTGCCAAATCAATTACAACTGCTCTTAAGCCACTTGTAAAATATTATTGGGTTATTATGTTGATTTTCCTCATCATTGAGGCTGTTTTGGTATCCGTTATCAACCACACATCAGCCGCCGCCATTCTTTTCCCTGTTTTAAACGCAATTGGAAACGAAATCGGCAGACCTAACTTAATGCTCATCCTTTCCGCTATGATGATCGGCATGGCTCAGCTGTTTTACATTTCCTCGTTCGCTACAGCCCTCGTTTCCGGTGTTTGCAGACATGAAAGAGGAAATCCACATAAATTGACATCAACTCCGTTCTTGACAGGTCCAGAGTTCTTTAAAGTTGGCTGGCAAATCGTTGTTGGTTCTATCCTTATCATTGCTTCTGTTGGTTACGGTATTGTTTACGCATTAGATATATAATTTTTTTAATTATATATATATGAGTGATATATTCTTATCAAAACTCATATATATCACAATAACTATTGTTTTATCATATTCTAATCAGTTTTTTTGTATTTTCAATTCAAAATTTATATTTTTATCTTATTTTGTTTTAAAACTTATCATTATCTCTCAATTATTTACATCTTTTAATATCAAGAATATAAGTTTTCAATATTTGATTTTAAAATATGAAAAGCATTGACAGCAGATGGAGATTGCTATATTTCTTCTAACTAAGTTCAGGCTCAATTCTCTTAAAAATTCGAAAAAAATGAACTTATTTTATTTTCTTATATGAGATAAAGAACATACATAAGATATAGAGTGTACCAATTGGAACAGTATGAATTTGGTTACAGAAATATAAAAAAGATGATGTATCAAAATAAATAATATTTAATAACAACTAAATAAATAAGAATATGTATAAGCATTAATCTTGTTTGATTTCAAATCCTTGGGCAGTAAGCTCCTTTTCTAAATTTTGGGCTTCATTAAATCTGTTTTGTCTGCGCAAAAATGCTACGTAAGCAACACCAATAGGACCGATCTTATCAAGAGGAATATCACATGTATCTGCAAGTGCATTTAAGTCTTTAAATCCCATTGAGTTTGCTGCTCTAACAAATCTAGTGATCTGTGCTTGAGATCTAGAATCAGGAATTGGAGTATTTTGTGATGGATGTTTATGATTATCTGCACATGCAGCAAGTTGTGTTAGATTAAGTTGAAAACGAGTTTGATATAACATTGCATCCATTATACGGCCTTCATTTTGGCATGTGAGAATAACTTTGATTAAATGTGTGTTTTCATCCAATAGCTGTTGAATTTGTTCTTTAGTTAACTCTTGATTAGACATATTTTTTTTAATGAAATGTCAGAAAAATGATAATTTACAATGTCAAATTTTCGCCTTTTTTGACAATTTATAAAATAAAGTTTACATTGCATCTACCCCTAAAATAATGAACTTTGCTCAACTTATCAAAGATACTATTGTTCCTAACCAGCAAGATCCAGAACAAGATCAGGATCACATTGATGAAGAACTTGAGAATATATTAAGCCATCCAGCTCCAAGATACCATGACCCAAATTATTGGAATACAAGATATGAACATGACAATGAAGAAATGGATTGGTATCAGCCATGGGACAATCTAAAGAACGCTCTTGGTAAGTATGTTACAAAGGATTCAACAATTTTAAGTGTCGGCTGCGGAAATTCTCCAATGTCAGCACAACTACTCAAAGAAGGTGCTTCAAAAGTATACAATGTAGACTTCTCACATGTTGTTATTGATCAAATGAAAGCATTACACCAAGAAGAATCAAATCTCATTTGGACTGAATGCAATGCAACTAAATTACCATATGACGATAATACATTTGATTTTGTTTTCGACAAGGGAACTCTCGATTCCTTTGTTGCAACCGCAGATAGCTCCAAACAAATTCCAACAATGCTTAGTGAAGTTTGCAGAGTTCTCAAACCAGGAGGCATATTTGCTGAAATATCTTACGGTACGCCCAATACAAGAACACCATTCTTAAGAGCTTCAAATCTTCAGTGGGCTTTACAAGAAACAAAGGAAATCGAAAAGCCAAATGAGCCTGGAACATATCATTATGCTTACGTAACCAAGAAGAAACAGTAATTTGTAGTATTTTTTTTATTTAATAAAAAAATTTTATTTTCTATTATCAAATTGCCATTGAATCTTTATATTCAATTCAATCTTGTATAATATGAATGATATGAAATGAAAACTGAAAAACTTTGAAAAATAAAAATAATTTTTTAAACAAATTCTATTATTATATTAAGCTTTTGTGCACACAACGCTACCAAATCTTATGGCATTCAAATCTAATTGGATTGTCTTGCCATCAACAGTAAAATCTGCAGTTTCGTCATTAACGTTTGAAAGAACTCCTGTAAGCTCAGGGAAGTTTCCGATTTTGATTTTAACCTGTTCTGAATTCTGGAAGCATTCAGGGATTTCATTTTCTTTCAAAGTAAAAGTATTTATATCTTCGTCAATGTCAGCGAGATCAATAAGTTGATGATTGGACTCTACTACAGCAACTTTAGGAGTTGATGTATTTGTTTTTTGCTTTTTTACTTTATCAAAATCAAAATGGTATCCTTGTGATTGGAAATAAGCTGCAGCTTCTGGAAACTCATTTGTAATTTTGTCTGCTTTATAATAGATGTAATCTGCGATTCTTCTTGATTTTTCAACGATTTGTTCTTTTTCATCGCAATCTGCTGCATATTTATCGCATTCACATTCTCTATGTGCAGCTTCTATTTCATTTTCATGCCATTTTTGTAATTTCTCTGACTTATCTTGTTGAGCTTGAATAATATTTTGAAAATATCTTTGATAAATTTCTGAATTACCATTCTTAAGCGCATTAACATCATCTAAAAGTTGTGAAAATTGGGTTTTTAGACGATATACAAGATTGCTATTCATAGGAGTCGCCATCTTTTAGAAATTAAAAAAATAAAAGTGACACTAAATTCGAAAAATTTACAATAATCGTCTTTTTTTTCTTGTCAAAAAAATTTAAATAAAATGTTTTTGTTTTCTCTAATAGCACAAACTTCTTCAAGAAATTGCACCGACGTAAATCCGTGGGAAATGTTATGCCCAGCAAATGATACATGTACTTTAGATGAAAATGTAACATTTACATGCTATGTTTTCCCAAGTACAATTTGTGATGGAGAAAGAACCATACAATTATCTTTTCCATGCAGATATTGCTATCAGCTCCCAGTATCTAACATAACTTGCGATGATTGCGTTGATTGTACTCCAAAGATTGATCAATATTTCTCAGATTGTCGTCCTACACAGTATTGCATGGGTAACTCTATATTCCAACGAAAAATAGTTTGTAAAGCTGCAGAAAAATCTCAGAAAACCGCATTCCTTCTTAGTCTCTTCTTAGGAGGATTTGCTGCTGATAGATTCTACTTAGGATACTACATATCTGCTGTATTCAAATGCCTGACAATTGGAGGTTTTGGAATCGCATATATGTTTGATCTTTTCCTAATATTATTCGGATACTTAGGACCAGCTAATGGAAAGTTATTTGTTGAAAGAATTTAATATCCATTTGTTCATTGTTATAAAAAAAAATTTTTTTTTATTTGCTACATTATTTGCTCAGTGTTAAGTGATGATAAATGAGAGTGCATTTAATTGTGTTAATGATGTAGACTTGGCAATTCTGAGGTCATATCAGCAATTCTTAAAAAAAATCCCGCTATTAGCACAAGGATAATGAATGAAAGGATAGAAAAATATAAATAATAACTTCATTATATTAAAGGATAGAAAATAATTTACAAAAATAATAAACATCATGAAATACTAATATAATTTTGTTTCTTCATATGTTGATTCCAAAAATTTGAGTTCTTTTACTTCAATTCCATTAAATTCCTGCACTTTAACTTCATTTGGAACATAAAATAGTGAATCATAAGTGTGTCCCTTTTGAATCAAATCCAGAAGTCTTGAAGCACCTGCCGTCATCATATCAACATTACAAGGAATTGGTTTTTCAGTGTCATGGTTTATCTGTGGATTTGCAACGCCAACTAAACAAATGTTGCTTGCTGCAGCCAGCACAAAATTCGGGACATCTAAGATGTGGGACATCATAATCAATAATCCTGTCATTTCTTGCATTGCAATGGAATTATAACAGCTAGATCCGCATGGAGTAACAACAACTTTAGCAACAGACCATATTTTAACTGTGGAATTGAAATCATGAATGTTCATTTTTTCTTCGTTCCATTTTCCATCAACTGGAACGTTTTTATTCAAACTATCAAGGAGCTCTTGAACATTAGCAATGATTCTCTTTTTTCCTGGTCTGTTTATTAAACTATATTTGTAAGGTTTAATGTTATGAAGATCATATCTATCAAAAACAAGCTTTCTCAACCTTTTTATTCCTCCAATTGAATATCCATGAGATTGATATAATGACGACAATACAATTAAGCTATCAACATGTACTTGCTGTTTTGGAGTTAAATCAATAAGTTGTATAGTATTATAACCGAAAGCGGTGAGGTATTCGTTTGTCATATCCCTACCAGATGGTGGGGTTATTGTTATAAACCCATGGTCTATAACTGATTTTGGTAAATGAATAATTGCACTAAAGAAATCATGTATTAAATGTCCCCAATGCCAATAGAATTGATCATAAAAGACTCCGGTAGCATAATGCCCTATTGTTGTTCGATTTTCTGGAATGGTTTGGTTATTATTATACGTATTTATTGCGAATTCTTTAGTTGAAGGAATTGGTGAAAGATACGAATCATAGAAGAATGTTATATAAACAGCTGATCGTTTTTTTGCTAAATCACCAACCGATGAAACATATGTTGATCTTTGCGAGGTAAGAGTTCTAAAATAGTTATCGGTTTTCATCTTTTCTATAACAACAAATATTGATGAATAGGGTAACTGATAAAACCATTTTCTTCCAATTAATTTATTTTGAATATCACTCGTTTGCAAAAATTTGCATTGAACAACGGGAGAATTCACTTTACAAAATACTTCTGATTCGATAGCATAACGTATTATAAAAGTTAATTGAAATATTAAGCATGAAGCAAATAGAACAGATTTCAATTTTTTTAAAGGGTGCACTTACCACTTTCTGACACTCGCTCAATTTTTTTGACACTCAAGCTTTATTACACAATTTTCGATGCTCAAAAGTTAATTTTTTCGGTCAGGAAAAAGTAACTGTAAATCTTTATATAGTGCCTAATATAGTTGTTATATATTTCTGATGTTAAAATAAAGATATATTGATTTTTAAAAAAAAAAAATTCGACTGATGGGAGCCTCCGCAAAAGTGAATAACATTATGCAAAAACTTTTCTTCCAAAGTCAGAAAAATAGTAAAAAAAATTTACCATTTTTTATTTTTTACTAGTCTTTACTCGAACTTGGATTCATGTGTTATCATTTTTAAAGAGGGATTGCGAACATAGGTTAGGAATATAAGAATGAATGCTAGTAAATGCTCATAATGGTCAAAATAAGCCGTTTTGCAAAAATTGTTACTATTAAGTACTGTAAATCATAGAATGAAGGAAGCATTTTAAAATTTTGATTTCAAAAGCATGTATATAACAACTCTGCTGATGTTTTATTTCGCACGAGAAATAACAAAAAATGATTCAAACAACAAAGAATGGAGATTTTTTGAAAATTTTTTCTCTCTGCTGGAATATATAATTTCATTTCCTTCTTGATTCCTAAACCAAGGAATATAAAATTCACATGATAAATCTGGAAATTCAATTTTTATTGGATTTGGTTCATAATTTGTGAAATAAACCTTTCCATCCCATATAAGATTACTTTCTTCAATGTAACATCCATTGATTGTAATATTACCTGAACTTGGAGAATTTTGATGAAAATAACTACGCTTACATTGGTTATTGATGAAACTACAATTAACCACATTAACATATGCATTTGAAACGCTTACCATCGCATACAAATTGTTATTTAAGTAGTTACATAACTTAATTAATAATGTTTGTGGTGAATCTTGGAAATATATATTCCTAAAACTTGGTGAAATTGCATCAGTATTATTACTAAATGTTGAAAATGATGTTCTTGATGAAGAATTAAATTTGTATATGTTGAATAAACAATCCATACTTAAATCAGTATAAGAAATATTTATAGAATTTATATCAATTTTTCCATTTCTTAGACCAATATTTCCACCATTATTTTTAAATAAATTTCCACTTTGGGAAATTGAAGAATTAAGAATTTTATTTTTATATTTAGCAATTCCACTAACCTCAGCATAACAATACATACTATATTGAGCAGAATTAGAATTCAAACTACAAATTCGATTTTGGACACATTCACCTTTTGTGGAGAAGTATAAACTTCCTCCTGGTCCTTTAGTATTAATGCATTTATAAAAATCAGTATTTTCGATAAGTGCTTTCGTTGTATCTTTCGAAGTTCTAAAGTAAATGGCACCTTCGGTTATCAATGTGCCAAAATTACAAAAGCTTACGTAATAACTCTGATTTTCTGAACTAAGTCTTTGGCTTTTCGAATGGTATTTTGTTCCTTGTTCTGAACGAAAACTTTTCTGAAGATAGTTCTTCGACTCGAAAAAAAAAGTCGAAACGTAAACTTCAGAAAATAAGGTTTTCATTTTGACACATATAAGCATTCACATGGCTTAAGGGTGCACCCGCATGTACGTTTATTTGAGAGGAGGAGGATTACCCTCTCAATTTTGAAAGCTTCGTTAACTTAATATCTCGATGAATATTGGATTAAAATTGAATTTGCCCATACCAATATATCTGATACAATATCCTTAAGTTTTACTAAAAAGAATTTTTTAAAATCCCTGCAGATTCGGGGATTTTTAAATTTTTTGATTTTTTTCGAAAATTTTTCGGAAAAAAATATTTTCAGAAGAGCCTTAACGGCTAAGTTTTATGTTTAATGTTGAGTATCAAAAAGAATGGGCATCTGATATAGCCATCATATATCCCAGAAGCAAATAAAAATTCTGACTTTTTAAGCATAAAAAATGAAATTTTATTTTGAGTAGGTGACAAAAGTGCATACTCTTAAACAACCGTCGGATTTCCGGGTGAAATCGTGACACACTTTCGTCTTTCGTAGGCAGTGGTGGTTGTTACAAAAGGTAACTTCGAATGTAGCGTGAAATCTGCAAAAAAAATTCTGAAATTTGAATGGAGAACACAAAAATTGAATAGTTTACGTCAATAAAAAAGAGAAAAATGAAGCCAATGTGTCTCGAACCTAGGACTTAAAGCAGCAATCCCACTGTTTATCCATTACATATTACACTACATGCATCTCTCACCTCAGTGAATGAGATCAACTATATGATAACTTTTCCCCCATTATATTCTTGTGGAAAAGTGACAAATAGCAACTTTGACCCTCTCTCATTTTATTTTTTGCAAAAAACAGGCCACCCGGATGTACGTTTATTTGAGAGGATGAGGATTAAATTTTTGAAAGCACTAAAATTTGCAAATATGCTAGTTATATAATAATATGCATTATTTTAAAAAATAAAAATTAAAGCACGTTAAAATCTTTTTTGATGAATTTTTACAAAAGCTACTCAGGATAATGAAAGATATGAGTAGTTAAACATAAATTTCAAATCAGATTTTACTTATAATAAATATTTTAAATTTCCGAAAATTAAGTTCAGATCGACTCTATACGTAGTAAATACTAAATAAGGTGCCAAAAACCTATTAAACAGTATCAAAACTATCAAGATTGTAATGTTTTTGAAGAAAAATTTATAGAATTATGGACTTCAAACAGATATTATGTAAATAAAAATAATATAATGAATTTATTTATTCGTATAATAGCAGTAATAAGTCGATTATTCACTTCTACTTCTGAGATTTGAATTTAATTTCGACAGAAAAAGAGATTCAAGAGGAAAATACTAGGGGATACAAACAGCCACCATGACAGGATTATTATGGAGCCAAGTTGTATTTTTTGATATTTTTAGAGTTTTCCTACCTATTTAGGTACCAAGTTATTGCTTAAAAATTAAGGTTCTAAATTCTGAAGTTTACATGATCCTCCCGGGTGCACCCTTAAGTAACTTGTTCTTTATGAATATGATTCCATAACCAGATAAGTAAAACAATATGCCCTGTATTTTGATAAATGATATGATCGAGATCCCAACTTGACACAAATTTCAATCATTGATCTAAAATATGTAATAAAGAACAATAATTTAATGGGCATTATGCCAATTTGAGTTGTCTCACTACCTAACATTTGAAAATTCGACATATATTCTTAATCCGTGTACTGGTCCGATTAACACTATTCATATATGTATATTTAGTATAATGTAAGGGTTTCGTTTTGCGAAAAAAACGTACAATAAGCAATTTCGCTAAAAAAACATTTAGCTAGCAATTTCGACCTTTGACTCCACTCAAGACGTCACTTTTTTAATTTTGCGGTATCATATTTTTGGAAAATCTTTATGAATATTATATAAAAAGTCTCTTTAATATCTATATTTCATATTTTTATCGATTTTTAAAGTTTTTGCGAAAAGTATTCAATTATTTTTGCTATTTGGTCGGGTAAATGTCAGATTTGCGACATTTTCTGATATGATATTCAGATTCTACGTTGATAATAATGCTTATAGTGTTGCATGCTAAGTTCGGTCAACGATAGAAATTGAGTGGAAATTAATCATCGAGGAAGTACGATTATGTAAAGTAAAAAAATGTTGTGGGATTTTTAATATTATATATTATTTTATAATAAAATTTTTTGAGTCATTTTAAGAAGCACATATAATTTTTTGAATTTAAAAATTAAAGTAGTGTCAAACGAATTTATCACTTAATTTAATACTCAGATTTCTTAAAATTAATGAAAAAAAGGTTTTCTGAGAACTTTTGAGAATGGTTTTCAAATTCCATTATTGAAAATATATAGGTATTGTATGAAATTCCAACTCTATATTTATTAAAATTCTAAATTTTTAATAAAATAACTTTTCAGAGGAATATGATTTTGAATGGTTGATTAATAAGTATAAAAATGTCTACGATTTTAAGGAGGGAATTGTTCCTTATGAGGTATACATCATAACTATATACCTCATAAGGAACAATTCCCTCTTGATAGCTGGGAAACTTTCTCTGAATAACTTATCATTTGGAGAAAGTTTCCCAGCTATCTATTAGAAACTAAAGGCTGTGAGGCACTAATATATAATCAATGCCTCATAGCCTTTAGTTTCTTATTAAAAACGAGAAAACTTGTTCGAAATGATAAACAATTTCGAACAAGTTTTCTCGTTTTAAGGAGGGAATTGTTCCTTATGAGGTATACATCATAACTATATACCTCATAAGGAACAATTCCCTTTTGATATCCTGGATATTTTTGAATATATTTTTTTAATTAAAGTTCTCAAAAGTATTATCAAAAGTGATTTTTTAAAAATATCTCCAATTAATTAACTAATTAAAAGTATTATATTTTTAAAATTAAATAGTTTTTCAATTTTTTTGAAGGAATTGAGATACTTCCCACGACAATAAAATTGAGAGGTTTACATTATGACTGATCTTAGCATGCAACAATAGAACCCTCTTGCTATTGTGTCAAAATTGCGAAACCGATAGCAAAAATATCTCGCAATATCAAAATTGAGATATTGAGTGAATTATGCATTATAGAGATTAAAAATCTGATTTGTGAAAACATCTCATCAGTTTCTAGCTAATTCAAAAATCTTTACTATCTTATTCGATTAAAATGAAAAGGGAATAGTTTCATTATGCTTTAAATGACAACCTTATAATATAATCATAGTTTTCGCTCAATATGCAGCTTTTTTTTTCGAAATCTATGGTCAATATCCTAAATACTGATTGCTTTGCATTCATATCTCTTACATTTTCTATACCCACATCACTATTCATTGCTATTCCTATCTTTTTCATTTTTGTTTGTTTCTCATAATTTCTCAAAAAACATGATAACTTGATATTTGTAAATATCATACTTTATAACGTAAATAAGAACTTGACCTATTAAGAAAAGCAGTAATGAAAAGAAAATCTGAAATTCATAAAAATTACAAGTTTCTGATGACAATTAGCTTAATTAAACCAGGTACAAGATTATATAATTGTATTTTATATCCAATTATCCATATAATATCTTATCCAGAAAAAATAACTTGATCAATACCAAATGATTTTTTAACTAGTAAATAAAGTATTTTCTTTACACACACATTGTATATCATAGTTTTTTTTTTGGTTTCGCAAAACATCCAAAAACAAATATGCTATAAAAGTGACAATTTTAGCAAAACGAAACCCTTATATAATGCATCACATTTATATAATGAAAACAATTTAGCTTCATTTTTGAATCTGGATGAGCATGAAACTTTTCGCAAAGCGAATATTTAATGAATAAAATAGCGTTAAATCATAATGACATCATTATCCTAACAAAATTTTGGTATAAATTTCAAGGCGGCAAAAGAATTTACGGTTTTACTGAATGTGTCTTAGTTCAAAAATATGGGCCAGGGTAAAACTCGTGCGTATAAGCACCGTCTTGATAAATATTACCACTTAGCTCGTCAAGTAGGTTATAGATCTCGTGCAGCTTTCAAGTTAATTCAATTGAACCAGCAATTTAATTTTCTAAATGATGCCCATGTTTGCTTAGATCTTTGTGCTGCCCCAGGAGGTTGGTCACAGGTCGCCGCTAAGTACATGCCTGTTGGTGCACAGATCATTGCTATCGATCTTGCCCCAATCAAAGACATACCAAGAGTTATTGCTCTTCAGGGAGATATTCTTCTTCCAAAGACACATCAACGCGTTCGCAAACTCATTCAAGGACAAAAAGCCGATGTTGTTTTGAACGATGGTGCTCCAAACGTTGGTGCTGCATGGGTTACAGACTCTTCAAATCAGCTTGAACTTTGCTTAGCTTCAGTCAAGTTCTCAACACTTTTCCTTCGTAAAGGCGGTTCTTTTGTTACAAAAGTTTTCCGTTCTGAGCATTACAACTCATTATTGTGGGTTTTAAGTCAATTCTTCGAAAAAGTCGTTCCAACAAAGCCAAAAGCTTCTCGTGACTCCTCAGCTGAACTTTTTGTTGTTGCTCTTGGTTACAAAGCTCCAGATGTTGTTGATCAGCGTCTTTTAGATCCAACATATGTCTTCTCAGATCTTGATGAGCTCATTGCCAAGCACGCTGTCCCATCTGGCGTTGAAACAAAGATGACATCCATTGATTACAGCACAATTTCAGTTTCTGAGTATCTTCGTGCAGAGAAACCACTCGATATTCTTACAACAGCCAACAAACTTGTCTTTGGAGACGATCCTGTCAGCCAGGCCGCTCTCAATCATCCTCAAACAACAAATGAAATCAAGACACTTCTTTCGGATCTCAAATTGGTCGGTTTTTCTGATCGCAAAGTCCTTCTTAAGTGGCGCAACAAGCTTCGCAACCTCTTAGTCCTCGGAAATGCCGGCGAAGAAGAGAAAGTCGAAGAAGAAAAGAAGGAAGAAGAAGAGGAAGTCGATGAATCAGACGAGGAAATACAGGCGGCCATGGCCGAACTCAAAGCCAAGCGTCGTAAAGAAGAAAAAGCCGCAAGAAGACATAAAGCCAAATTACGTGACCAACTCCTCAAGAGATTGCAGCGCAATATGGGCGGAACAACACACGAATACGTTGATCCTAAAGACAGATTCCAGAAACTCGAGACACCAAATATTGTCGACGACACACCAAAGACATACGAACAATTAATCGAAGAAAACATCAATAACTACGAAGCCAACAAGCTTGGCGATGCTCTTGACGAGCAGGCGGATGATGAGTACGCATTTGTCGGACCACGTCCAAAATTCGCCAACGTTGTTGAAATTGATGAATCGAAGTTACCAGAGGATGAACAGCAGAAGCTCAAGGAGAGCAGAATTTGGTACAACCAAGACATTTTCGATGATATCTCATCCGATGATGACAATGAGTACACATCCGATGAAGAAGGTGGCGAACTTGTTGAAGTAGATGAAACAGAGCTCGCCAAGGAAGACGAAGAGAAGCAGAAAGAAGACCAGCAAGCCGAAGAACAAAAGGCCAAAGCAACCGCCGCGGCCGACCAACTTAAAGGCCAAACAAAGAAGGAGTTCGACGCAGCCGCATTCTCACAAGCCAAGCTCGCCTCAACTAAAGCTGGCAGAAGAGAGTTAGTTGAGAAATCCTTCAACAGATTCATGCATGGAGATGATGATTTAGCTCCAGAATGGTTTGTTAACGACGAGAAGAAGTTCAACAGGCCAATGATCCCTGTAACAAGAGATGAAGTCGCAGAGTTCAAGCAACAGATGAAGGAGATCGATGAAGTTGATACAAAGAGAGTTCTCGAAGCAAGACAGAGAAAGAGAACGAAAGCACTCCAGAAGATCAAGGCTGCTCAGGAGAAGGTCGATGATATCGCTGAAAAGGAAGGCTTGAATGAAAGGTCTAAATTACGTTTGATGGACAGAATTGCTGATAAGGTTACACGCGAAATGAAGCCTGCTCCAACTGTTGTCGTCGTTCAGAAGAGAGACAACGGTCAGCCAATTATTCCTAAACATGCAAAGGGTTCAAAGCTTATGTTTGTCGATCCTCGCGCAAAGAAGGATCTCCGCGCAAGGAAGAACGCAGAGATGCGTCCAAAGGGTGTGCAGAAGAAGAAGAAATCTCATTATATTCACCGCCGCAAGTAAATATAGATCTATAAAGAATACAGTTTTTATTATATTTAATTTTATTTCTCTTTTTATATATATATGACTCTTAATCCAACACTTCATTTCTTAATGAGTTTTAGAAAATTTTCCAACACAATTTCCAGCCTGAGAAAAGGTCTAATATTTAGGTTTTAGATAAAATCAATGATCAGAAACCTAACTTGAGATCTAGAAGTAAAAATATCCAAATATCATATGAAAAAAGCATTTTCATTTGAGACAAGATATCGATAAATTTGAATAAACTATTTTCAAATGGTTATCAGATATATTGGTCAAAATATAGGACATTTGACGAAGTTTTGACGTTTATCATGGAATTTCAAAAACAATTTATAATAGGTTTGACACTTTTTACGAGCTTATAAAATAAGCCCGAAAAAAGTATCAGAACCTATTAAAATATGTATTCACACTTTTTATCGGCTTGAAGTTTCTCAGAAAAAGTGTGAAACATATTTTGAATATGTTTCAAAATTATAAATATTTGAATTTTTATCTTGCTTGGATTATAATATTTTATCGTTCCATTTGCCTTTGTCATGCATTGACCACATGAAATGTATTTAACCTTCTTTCCTTCCATAAGATGCATAACAACGGCTGTATCAGCAAATGAAGGCTTTCTCCATTTCATTAATCTTCCTAAAGTTTCCCACGCATGCAACTGGAATTGTAGGATTGGTTTTCTTAATGATCTTTGCAGCCGGTAAGTTCTAGGTTGGTATACATTTGAATGTCTTCCAACAATGAGATCTTGACATTGCATCAGGTGTTCTTCCGCATGATACTTCAACCGTATCAATTCCTTTAAGAAGTGAAACTGTATTGGCAGCATCTTCTGGTATTGTTCTATCTTTCTTATAATCATCATCATTTAACTTGATAGATACATGATAATCATTTCCGACAACAGAACGAACTGCTTCGATTTTCTCATTGTGTATTCTGCATCTGTTTTCATGATTACCACCATATTTATCTGTTATTTTGTTTTCACCTGGAGAAAGGAATTGTGCGAGATAATGCATATGGCAGCTGTGAATTTGAATACCATCTGCACCAATGTTTTTCACTTTAAGGGCAATATATCTATATACATCGATGAGCTCATGGATATAAGTTTGTATCATTTCGTGAGTTCCAGGGCCAATCGATGAATAACATTATATTTAGTTGCTAAAGCTGTATCACCTACTTGAAAAACAAATTCGGAACCTTGGTTATGGCAATAATCAATTGTTGATTTCCAAGCACCAGCGTGTTTCTCAGTTGCCATTGATCCTTGATGCAAAGAAGATCTTTCTACAAGAATCGGATATAAGAATCCAGAAATAATAGGTCCAAACTCTCCATCTGCAAGATCTCGATAAAATTTTAACAATTCTTGTGTAGGAAATCCATTTAAATCGCAAGAATTCATGTGTACAACTGATCTAACGAATCTGTTCTTCAATGAAAGCTTGGCAATATTCACTGGGCTAAAAAGCTTTGACATTTTATAATTTTTGAGAAGACTTTCAAATTTGAAAATATATTGAAACTATTCATCACCTAGAGAACATGCTAATTATAATTTGTCTAGGATAAAATTAATTTTTTGTTTTTCGGATAAAAATGAGAGGATTCTTTATTCAATTGTTTACGAACATTTAGTGATTACAAATACAAATTCTAATTCTTCTTGGAGGCATAATCCTCAATAATTCTTATAATTGCTTCAATAAGATGAAGATATGTATTTTGAAAACAAATTAAAATCATTGATATAACTTAATAAAGGATTGTATTGATTCATACAAATGATTAAGTAATTATTTCATTTGTGCGATAAATTAACATTTATTAACGAGAAAATGTCAGAAAGTGGTAAGTGCACCCTTAAGAAATGTGGAAGAAATTTTTCAATCGAGGAAGTTCACTATTTTTAAGAAATGTGGAAGAAATTTTTCAATCGAGGAAGTTCACTCTTTGGTATTTTTTCATTTTTTAATTTTTTTAAGGATTCGTCATGTCTTGTGGGTCTTTAGCAATGTATCAAGATTTCATAGGATTTTATGACAGACTTTTTCACATCAAATCGAACGAAGCTGTTGAAGAAATGATTAATTTAATCTCTTCAATTTTAATCACTAAGTACAAAATGTCTTTTCATGCGCTATTCAAAAGCATTTTCAGAGCAATGCATTCCAACTATCGATCCATCAATGTCTATGTTCAAATTCTAAACCAAATTTTAACAAAATTTTCATTAAAAAAATCCGAATTTGTTTACCGTTATGATAATTTTTTTGATGAATCCAATATTTTTAACTTAAAACAAGATATAGTATCCTCGTTCCCTAAAGAAGGTGAAATCGGTTACATGATTATGGATGACCAAATTGATTGTTTCAAAGAATATATTTCCAATCATTCATTATCATATTTATTAATGTTTTACACATTTAAATTCTCTCCATTTCAACAATTATCATTACTTGAAGCTTGTTGTTATTTTGGATCTGTTAACATTTTCTTTTTCCTCATTTCAAACGCTGAATGTATAATCACTCAAGAATGTCTTCGAAATGCCATTATTGGAGGGAACACTGACATTATAAATGAATGCATGAAGAAAAATCAAATAGATAAATATTGCGTGAATTCAAGTCTTATTTCACATAACAATCAATTCTTTGAATACATTCTAGAAAATGTTATGTTTACCTCTAATTTTAAAGTTGAATCAACATACTGTAGTGACGATGATTACTCTGATCATTTTGATTTTGAAGATTATTTTGATCATGAATGTATCATTGAATCACAAAATTTAAATGCAGTATTTCTTCTGTACATGAAAGATAAAAATTTAATTTTTCCATGGTGTGCTGCATTTCCTCAGTTACTTGATATCATCAAGAAGGAATCTATGAATAATTCTTATCTAGTTTTAAATTTACAATTTCTTCATTATGCAATAGAAAATGCAAGTATTGAAACTGTAAAGTTTGTAATTTCACAAAATGAAGGTAAAATCCCAGAATACATAAATCTTGATTCACTTCTGTTATATGCAGCAAAAAAAGATAGTAAAGAAATTGCAGAATTTCTTCTTTCTCATGGTGCAGATAAAGATGCTGACAGTGATGAAGAAACTCCCCTTTATGTAGCATTAATTAATAATAGTTTCGAGACTGCCGAGTTTCTTATCTCAAATGGTGCAAATGTCAACATTTGGATAGATGAGAGAACTGCTCTTAATTATGCTTTATACAAAAATGCCAAAGAAATTGCTAAACTTATTGTTTTGCATGGTGCAGATATCAACATTATAGATAAATTTGGGGAAACAGCTCTTCATTATGCAGCAGCAAAATATAATGATAAAGAAATTTTGGAATTTCTTATTTCACATGGTGCAGATATCAACATTATAGATAAATTTGGGAAAACAGCTCTTCATTATGCAGCAGCAAAATGTAATGATAAAGAAATTTTGGAATTTCTTATTTCACATGGTGCAGATATCAACATTATAGATAAATTTGGGAAAACAGCTCTTCATTATGCAGCAGCAGAATTTAATGATAAAGAAATTTTGGAATTTCTTATTTCACATGGTGCAGATATCAACATTCAAGATATAAAAGGGAAAACGGTTCTTCATCATGCAGCAGAAACATATGACAATAAAGAAATGTTTGAATTTCTTATTTCACATGGTGCAGATATCAACATGAAAGATAAATGTGGGAAAACAGCTCTTCATTGTGCAGTATTCAATCAGAATTCTAAAGCAATGTCTGAAGTTCTTATTTCACATGGTGCAAAAATTAATGAAAAAGACGAAAATGGAAAAACTCCACTTCATTATGCAGCAGAAACATATGACAATAAAGAAATGTTTGAATTTCTTATTTCACATGGTGCAGATATCAACATGAAAGATGAATATGGAAAAACTCCACTTCATTATGCAGCAGCAAAATGTAATGATAAAGAAATTTTGGAATTTCTTATTTCACATGGTGCAGATATCAACATTATAGATAAATTTGGGAAAACAGCTCTTCATTATGCAGCAGCAGAATTTAATGATAAAGAAATTTTGGAATTTCTTATTTCACATGGTGCAGATATCAACATTATAGATAAATTTGGGAAAACAGCTCTTCATTATGCAGCAGCAGAATTTAATGATAAAGAAATTTTGGAATTTCTTATTTCACATGGTGCAGATATCAACATTATAGATAAATTTGGGAAAACAGCTCTTCATTATGCAGCAGCAAAATGTAATGATAAAGAAATTTTGGAATTTCTTATTTCACATGGTGCAGATATCAACATTATAGATAAATATGGGAAAACAGCTCTTCATTGTGCAGTATTCAATCAGAATTCTAAAGCAATGTCTGAAGTTCTTATTTCACATGGTGCAAAAATTAATGAAAAAGACGAAAATGGAAAAACTCCACTTCATTATGCAGCAGAATATAATCGTTTAGAAACAGTAATGCTTCTATTTATTAATGGTGCAGATATAAATGCAAAAGATAAAAAAGCAAAAACTCCTCTTGATTATGCAATCCAAAGAAAAAGGCATAATGTCATCAACGTCCTTGAAAGCGTGGCGAATATTGAATATGAATATGAATATGAATATGAAGAATATGAAGAATAAGAAACATTAGAACAAATTGAGGAATGGATGGCCGAATTGTAGATTGATAGAAGACAAAGAGAAAAAAATGAACAAGAAAGAAAGGAATATTATAATGAACATACTAAAATTGTAGAGAAATAAAAGAAAAATTTTTAAAATTTAAGAAATGATTGAAGAAGGCTTCGAGGAATGACTTCAGGAGATGATGTGGGTGAAGAAGGAAGTGTTCCTTTCATGTAGATGTATTCTTTAGGGATTGGAATCGCTGTGTATGTCTGTATGAGAGGGTCAGAAGGGAGATCTTTCTTCTTGTTTCCATCATTGATCAAATGTAATGATACCTCTGCCGACATTGTTCGTTAATACTTTCGAAACGGAGTCATCTTTCTGACTATTGTCGAAGAGGAATGTTGTGTTTGAGATTATATACAGTTGGTCTAACTCTGATTACCTGTCGACGACACCAAGAATACTGAGGCATTGTTATTTTTTGAATCTTCGCACCTGTTTTCCATATGAAGAAGTCTTGTATTAATTCGTTCTCTGACATCACTGTTCTAGATATATGATAAACATTTATAACAACAGCACAGGTTTTCATGGTTACCACTACATTTGAAGGTAAACTTCACCATTTCGAGTCTCGAAAAAGGATGCATATTTAGAGTATAGATAGAATAGAACACCATAAGCTTAACTTGAGACTCAGGAGTAAAATTTTACAAATTTCAAAGATGAGAGAAGCATTGAAAATTAATTACTTTTTCGGAAAGGAATTGATATAAAAGGTGGACTCATTCGTGCTACTGATTAAATTATTATATATTATTTGTGCGAAAAGTTAAAAATAAAAAAAATAATTTCTAAATAAAACAAAACATTTATTAACGTCTGCCTTTCGCAGGCGATAATGGTGGTGGAAGTGAATTCAGAATCTTTTCAACCTCTTTTGCAGACTCATCCTGGTAAAATTTGTTGCAAATCTCAACTAAGCATTTGCAAAGGACTGGAGAATGTTTCATAGCTTCAATAGATATTTGCTGACCAGTTCTTTTTTTGAGACTTTGATAATCTGAAGCTAATTTAATAATATTAAATTTCAAGGCCAAAACAAGTCCAGAATCGTACGAAAGCATTTTAGTCTTTAAGTCATCACAGAATACTTTAAGAATTGATAAATCATCGGACTTTCCATTTAATAATTGTGATAATTTTTGTCTCATCTCTTTATCAAGTGTAGAAATGAACGAATCCTGGAAAGGAACAATCGATGATGACAAAACTGTAAGTGAATCTTGTCGATTTATCGAATCTGGCAGTCTATCAATTACAGAAACAAAAGTTTGTCTAATTGAAGGAATTTCTGTAGAAATATCTGTTGATATCTTTGGATATTTCCTTGCAATGCTTTCTATTTGGCTTTGGAATGATGTTGAAAAAGATTCAACAATATGAAAAGGTTCCAAAGGTTTTAAGTCATAAGAATTGGATTTTCCTAATGCTATCCTTGATAACATTGTTTGGTAGATCGTATTGACTCTTGAAGCGTAAATTGGCAAAATTAAACTTGTATCTTTAATAATTTGAAGAGAATTCGCTTGTCTTTGATTGACATCTTTCAGTTTTTCTTTCGTTGTATCATTCATCCGAATTATTTCTTTCTGGTATGCTTCGTTCGAGATTTGTTGAAGATTTTCTAAAAAATCAAAAACTGCTGCAGCTGAGCTTGCTTCTGTTACATTAGAAGTTTGAATACTTTTATAATATTGATCTGTAGCTACGTTTATGAGGTTATCGCATAAAGGTTTCATTTTTTGCCAAAATATTTCGAAAGCATTGATTCCTTGCAATTATCATTTCTGGGCAATTAAATACATTTCACAAAGTCTACGAATATCGTTGCTTGATCCTTTAATTTCTGTAACAGGAGTGATTTTTTCAGATTGTCTGACTAAAGCGAGGAATTTTTGGAGTGTTCGTAAAACTTTGCATATAGTATATGATTTTTGAAGATTTTCTGCGGCTGTTTGTACTCTTTTGAAAGGATTGACGATGGATGATGCAATTTGTTCTGTTTCATTTCGAGTTCTTGTAATTTGTGACTTCAAAGCTGTAACTCTATCACGTAAGAATTTGACATCACTTGCATTTTGTAGCAATTCGTCACTGTTTGCACAAACAGCTGTTCGAAGTTCTTGATCTAATGCCTGATTGCGAGCTGTAATTGTATCAAGTGCTTCTTGGTAGTTTCCTTGTTCGAAAACTTTCGTTGCAAATTTAATTGGATCGCTTTATCCATATACTTATTTTGATATGTTGTACTGATATATAAGTCATATTAAGCTTTCATTTAACGATTATTATAATTAATTCAGTCATACGGATATCTTTAATATTAATAAAATATATCTTTTGATAAACAAGTTTTATTCTTTATATTTAAAGCAAATGACGTTATTGAAGAAGCTCTGAGCAATCTTGAAGGATCTTCAACTCAAAATTCATCCTTGAAATATGAATATACAAATGTGTTCGGATCAAAAATAGCAATGTTATTCGATAAGAGAAAGAATATGATAACATTGAATGTAGATATTGACATGTTCCGTATTTGTAAATTAATTTTTAATGAAAACTAATTTAATGAGTGTCCAATGTGGCATTTTGTGCATTGTATTCTAAAATATACAAGACATTTTGATAATCATTTTTGGTATTTTTTTCAGAAATGTGGAAGAAATTTTTCAATCGAGGAAGTTCACTCTTTGGTATTTTTTTTCATTTTTTCATTTTTCATTTTTCGTTAAGGATTCATCATGTCTTGTGGGTCTTTAGCAATGTATCAAGATTTCATAGGATTTTATGACAGACTTTTTCACATCAAATCGAACGAAGCTGTTGAAGAAATGATTAATTTAATCTCTTCAATTTTAATCACTAAGTACAAAATGTCTTTTCATGCGCTATTCAAAAGCATTTTCAGAGCAATGCATTCCAACTATCGATCCATCAATGTCTATGTTCAAATTCTAAACCAAATTTTAACAAAATTTTCATTAAAAAAATCCGAATTTGTTTACCGTGATGATGATTTTTTTGATGAATCCAATATTTTTAACTTAAAACAAGATATAGTATCCTCGTTCCCTAAAGAAGGTGAAATCGGTTACATGATTATGCATGACCAAATTGATTGTTTCAAAGAATATATTTCCAATCATTCATTAGCATATTTATTAATGTTTTGCAGATTTAAATTCTCTCCATTTCAACAATTATCATTACTTGAAGCTTGTTGTTATTTTGGATCTGTTAACATTTTCTTTTTCCTCATTTCAAACGCCGAATGTATAATCACTCAAGAATGTCTTAAAGCTTCTATTTTTGGAGGGAACACTGACATTATAAATGAATGCATGAAGAAAAATCAAATAGATAAATATTGCGTGAATTCAAGTCTTGTTTCACATAACAATCAATTCTTTGAATACATTCTAGAAAATGTTATGTTTACCTCTAATTTTAAAGTTGAATCAACATACTGTAGTGACGATGATTACTCTGATAATATTGTATATATAGATCATTTTGATTTTGAAGATTATTTTGATCATGAATGTATCATTGAATCACAAAATTTAAATGCAGTATTACTTTTGTACATGAAAGATAAAAATTTAATTTTTCCATGGTGTGCTGCATTTCCTCAGTTACTTGATATCATCAGGAAGGAATCTATGAATGATTATGATCTAGTTTTAGATTTACAATTTCTTCATTATGCAATAGAAAATGCAAGTATTGAAACTGTAAAGTTTGTAATTTCACAAAATGAAGGTAAAATCCCAGAATACATAAATCTTGATTCACTTCTGTTATATGCAGCAGAAAAAGACAGTAAAGAAATTGCAGAATTTCTTCTTTCTCATGGTGCAGATAAAGATGCTGACAGTGATGAAGTAACTCCCCTTTATGTAGCATTAATTAATAATAGTTTCGAGACTGCCGAGATTCTTATCTCAAATGGTGCAAATGTCAACATTTGGATAGCTGGTAGAACTGCTTTTAATTATGCTTTATACAAAAATGCCAAAGAAATCGCTAAACTTATTGTTTTGCATGGTGCAGATATCAATAAAAAAGATAATTATGGAAGCACCGCTCTTCATTGTGCAGCAGCAGAATTTAATGATAAAGAAATTTTGGAATTTCTTATTTCACATGGTGCAGATATCAATATTAAAGATCAATATGGGAAAACAGCTCTTCATTATGCAGCAGCAAAATGTAATGATAAAGAAATTTTGGAATTTCTTATTTCACATGGTGCAGATATCAACATTAAAGATCAATATGGGAAAACAGCTCTTTATTATGCAGCAGCAAAATGTAATGATAAAGAAATTTTGGAATTTCTTATTTCACATGATGAAGATATCAACATGAAAGATGAATATAAAAGAATAGTATTTCATCATATCGTACTTTACAATAATAAAGCATCGTTGGAATGTTTTATTTCTCATGTTGGAGATAATAATTCAAAAGATGATTATATAAGGGAAGCTTTTCATTATGGAATATCTATTGAAATTGCGGAATTTCTCATTTCACAAGGTGCGGATATTAACGCAAGAGATAATTTTGGAAAAACTCTTCTTCATTATGCAGTAGATCATGATAATCAAGAAATGATGAAATTTTTAATTTTACAAAATGCAGATGTCAATATAAAAGACAACGATGGAATGGCACCTATTCATTATGCAGATAACAAAGAAACAATAGAATATCTTATTTTGCATGGTGCAGATATTATTTCTGTGAATAATGGGATGTCCGCTCTTCATTGTGCAGCAAAAAATAATAAAAAAGGATTTATAGAATATCTCATCCTGCATGGGGCAAATGTTAATGTAAAAGACGAAAATGGAAAAACTCCACTTCATTTTGCAGCAGAATTTGATCGTTTAGAAACAGCGAAGTTTCTGATTTCTAATGGTGCAGATATAAATGCAAAAGATAAATTTGGAAGAACAGCTTTACACTATGCAGCAACTCTCTGTATTAATGGTTTAGCATATTATCTTATTTTGCTTGGTGCAAATATTAATGTAAAAGACGAAAATGAAAAAACTCCACTTCATTTAGCAGCTGAGTTTGATCGTAGGGAAGAAGTAGAGCTTCTATTTTCTTATGGTGCAGAAATAAATGCAAAAGATAAAGAAGCAAAAACCCCTCTTGATTATGCAGTCCAAAGAAAAGGACATAATGTCATCAACTACCTTGAAGGCGTGGCGAATGGAAAGATCCATGCCTTCAAATTCCTCGTTGACGACTTCTATTTCAATAACGACACCGAAGAAGACTTCTATTTCAACGACATCGAAGAAGACATCTATTTACATAACCGCGATATCTACTTCCAATACAGCGATACAGACGAGACTGACGAACTAACCGAGGAAGAGTCCGATGCCTAAAGAGAAGAGATGCATGAGGAACACTTACAAGTACTCAGTTGAGAAATTAATTTTTTAATAAGAATAGGAGCGAGAACCCCTGGGAGTTAGCGTCTAGAGCTTCCATGATTAGGTTGTTTAATTTAATTAGATTTAATTTTTTGATTGATTAAATATTGTCTTTTTTAATGATTATGAGCTATATCTCAATATTTATGTGTACTGTAAGAGGAATAAATTATTCAATACATTCTTAATTCGCAACATTCAAGAAATTGAACATTAAAAATCAAATGGTCATTAAAAGGAATAATAATTATCATGCTATTTGCAACGCAATGAAGGAGGAAAAATAAGAAACCAATAATTAAGTATTCATGAATAGAATGATTACACATGGATAAAAATTGAATGGTTTGAAATTTTTTATGGCAGTCCCAACGGGAACCGCGGTAATTTACCGAGGTTTCCGCACACCGGTTCCTTTTTTTAGGAATTTTTTAGATTAAAAAATATGCTTTGTAAATCATTTTTTGTAAATCGGCAAAAATTTGGAAATATTCTGACGACAATAAATCTGGGAATAGTATTTTAAATACGAGAACAACCTATTTAAAAGTGTTTCGCTCGATTTTGTATAATTTCAAATTTTCGCATATAGCTTTCCGTGAATTACCGTGATTTTACCGCCACATCAATAGTTTACGACACTTTTTCCGTAAATTGAGTAGTTTACTGCACTTTTTCCGTAAAATTGAGTTACGGGAATCCGTAAGATTACCGTACCTCACTTCTAGTTGAAAATAGCATTAGTATATAATAAATAGATATATTATTCATATTTTTGATTTTGAATTACGGAAAAAGTGAGTTCAGAACTTCCAATTATTATTTGATTAATTATGTTAAAAATACTATAAGGAATTAAAATACATAATGTTGAAATTTGAATTACGGAAAAAGTGAGGGTGAAATTGAAGTGAAAAAGTAAGATATTTTTTGTTGAAATAATCATAGTTGTACAATTTTGAAACTATATGTAAAGCTATAAATTGAATAAATTCAAAAACAAAAATTGTTTATTCTTATTAATAAATTTATATTAATCAATATTTGAACAACCCGTAATTAAAATTGAATTCCTCTTAAAATTTAATCCATACGTTAATTTTTAATTTGCTCGGCGAATGCCGAGCTTCCCTACTTCTCTTGTCATTCCTTCAAAAACTCTAATCTCATCGCACTTACAAACATCATGATTTGATGTATTGTCGAGAAATCTTAGACTTGGTTGTCATTTGATTATAGCATTTGAAAGTCATCTCGAAAATCGATTAACAAGACAATTTCCCAAACATCTACATACAAGTAGATGATGGTAAACCCATTAGAGTTGTTTTGCTATGATTCCTCCAATCTTATGATGAGAAAAATCATATCAAAACAGCTCTAATCGAACATTCTACACAGCTTAGCATCCAGCTAGTTCCAAGTAATGCGATTACAACATCAACGGCCAAAGCCTTTCAGAGTCCTTTAATCATTTCTTCTCATCTCAATGTGAAGTGGCCCCAAACGAACTACAAGCTGACGTTACAACGCATTACAACCCGGTTAATACGAGCATATACATTAGAGCTGCTTTGTTATGATCTCCCTCATCAATTGATGAGAGATCTCATTATGAAGCAGCTCCAATCGAACTAAAAACCTACATACAAATGAGTGAAAACAAACTCATTAGAGTTGTGTTGCTTTGATTTCTCTCATCAGAAGATGAGAGATACCAGAACAAAACAACTCTAATCAAACTTTCTACACAACTCAGCACAGTATCAATGCAAAGTAATGTGTCTGTATCGTTAACAAGCAAAGTTGTTTCGGGTCCTTCCATTTTGGAAGAATTCGGAACAACTTTGCGAATTGATAGTGTAAACCCATATACATGAAAGCGTGCATGCATAAAGACAGGTATTGTCAGCAATGACTACCTGCCCAGCTATGAGTGATCAGAGAATTACCATCTCAGGCTTTTTGAGAACGTTTCAGCCAGGACCCTCGTATGTTGACTGTGAGAAAGGCATCCTTTAACTGAAATAGATGCTTTTCCAACAATCAAATTCGAAGATCTTCGACGTTGTTGTAAAAAGAGAAGGAGAAGGAAAGAAGAGGAAGGAGAGGAAGAAGGAAAGGAAAAGAAGAAGAAGAAAAAAGGGAAAAAAGGACATATTAAATATAATGCGCACTTAATAGTGCCGAGGCGCGATTTTTTTGACCCTATATTACCGCACGGCAATGTTTTTCTCGATTTTGTACAGCCCTAAATTTTTTTGAAATTTTTGTCTAATAAACTTGAAGAAATTTCTTGAGGTAATGAAAGGAAATGTAAAATGTATAGAAAATGACGTATAATTTAAGAATTTGATAAGGGTGAAAAATTGTTTGGGAAGAGTTTTGATAAGAAATGTGAAATGAGGAAAATTTTTGTAAAATTTAAGTAGAAAATATAAGAAATTTCGATAATTCTATGACCAATCTTTCATAAAATGATACATTCAATTTATAAATCTTCAGAAAACAAAGACAGAGGTAAATCAATAATAAGTGTAAAAGAGATATTTTTTTGAAAATTTTCATGACGGGGAAAAATTGAAAGAACAAATTAAAATGCATTATTTCCTAATTATGATAAATTGTAAATATAATTTGTCACATAGATTGAGGTGAATTGAATAAAAAAACTTCCCTTTCAATCTAAATATTTTATGATTTATTGCTGTATATAGTAATTTTATCAGAATTCTTCAATTTTTAAAAAATTGAAAATGAGAATTTCACTTGAGATTTATTTCTAAACTAAGTATATATAATGATTTCGCTTAAATGGGAATTTGAAATTTTTGAAAAAATTCAGGGAAAAATTTGTAAATATAAGAACCTCTTTGCATTTAAATTTAAATGCTTATAATAATTATTATTTCATAATGAAAAAAGAATAGCACGCTTTCAATAAATTTATTCAAAAATGTTTTGAATTGTCCTTTCAATCGACAAATATTATTAAAATAGTTATTTCGACAATATTCTGATGTAATAAAAATTGAGAACACAATGCTATTAAGTTCAATAATTTCTTGTAATTTATACTACTAGTTAATTTAATTCCAAATAATGCATCTTATTGTTCATAACAATTTATTATATATTCTCCAAAATATTTCTATCTACCACTAAATTGCAATCTTAAAAACATTAATACTTCCTCCATAAACAATTGAATTGACCTTACAATCAATTAAATGGGTTGAATGAAAATTTTTAATTATTCTATTCAATTTTCAGAACCGCTGTTTATATTCAATAACAAGATTTTTTCTTTAAAAAATATAATGGTAAAGTTTAGCGAAGAAGAGGACCGGAAATTAATTCAGATTGTTCAAACAATGGGCACTAATGATTGGAAAAAAATTGCTGCCCATCTTAAGACAAGAAATGCTCGGCAATGCCGGGAGCGTTGGAATAATTACATTAACCCGGATTTAAATGAATCCGAATGGACTGTTGACGAAGATGAGCTACTAATCAAATTGCAAAAGGAGTACGGCACTGCTTGGAACAAAATTGCCAAATATTTCGATAAAAGATCAGATAATGCTCTACGTAACAGATGGATGCGTCTGAAAAGGCTCCTCAAAAATGGATCCAAAGGCCATCCACCAAGCATTAATCCTAAAAAGCACCATTCTAGCGACACTGAGCAATCTCCTCCACAAACCAAAGAAGTGAAAGATAATATTGAAAAAATTGTCAATCTACTGCAGACTTCCAATCCAGCAGATCTTTTTGGCGAAGAAAATCTCTTTGCCTGGTAAAGAAAGATAAATTTGTCAATTTCAAAACAAAGAAAATTTATCTTTCACTGCAATTTAATCATACCATACTTTCTGTTCTATACGTTTTTTCTAAAATATATGTTTAATTTTCACTATAACAATAAATTAGACTATTTTTATTTTAAAGATAACGCATCCAGCTTAAATGTGGGTTAAGATAACTCAAAATTATGTTGTTATTGATCTAGTGATATGAGTTATCATATTTTGCACTGAAATATTCGATTGTTTGACATGGAGAAATTGCATTCAATCTAAAATGATCTGAATTTGAATTGTTTGAAATCGAACATATAAAGTGTTATCATATTTCTGGGGTTTATCGTATTAAATTTATGAAATAATTATGATTTGGAAATGAAAATCTAATCTTCCGGATTGCTAGCTTTTTATATTATACACTCTTTGGTTATATATTCAGGCAGTTTGTTTTTATTATTAATTTCTATCCTGATTATCCTTTATCAATTAATTGATTATATATTCTCGTCATATATTTGAAATCTCAAAATAAGTGATTTTGTTGCATAAACACTGATATTTGTTACAATTTTTGCTGAAAACTCTCAGTTTGGATGAAATTATGTGAGTATTGAATTAAATCATAAGAAATATTTCATTTAGTGCTAGATTAAATTGTGTTGCTCCCAATAAAATTTGGGTTTTATTTCGATATTATTTCAGAGTAATCTAAAATCTTTAGAAAGAGTACTTAAGCTCTATTATCCGATTCTAATGCATAAATATAAATTATAATTCACGAACCCATTATAGGCTAACCGAATGAGTCTCAAAAAAATGTTCGCAAAAGTGAAAAATGGATCCAAAATTCACGGTTCTCTCTTTGGAAAGTCTTGGGGTGTTATTTAATTAACCATTTATAAGATCAAAATGTTTATGAGCTTGAGAAGGAAATCTTCATTAAGGTTAATTTTGAATAGTACCTTTCGATCAAAACGGTAAAATTCTCAGAATTGCTAAAATCGTCAAAAGACAATTTTAATCTGCTACTTGAAGTGAGCATTTATAAACTTTTTTGAGTAGGGGTAATTTAAGCTAAAAGTGACACGCCTGTTAAAAGTGACACACCCGTGAAGGGTGTGATTACCGATCGGTAATTTCGACAGTTTAGAATTTAAAATTTTTTATGGAACTGTTGCGAGTTTCATAAAGAATTTAAGGAATATAAGCAAAGATTTGAATCAAAATCTTAGACCTAAGCCGCTCGATTCGCTCGCGGTTTCCGCGAATTACAGATCAGCAAAGATTTGAATCAAAATCTTCGAACTAAGCCGATCGCTTCGCTCGCGGCTTTCTTTATTATTTTAAATTTGCATATTTCCATCAAAAGTTCATAAGGTAAAAAATTTCGTTTATTTTTACTAAGAAAAAAAAGGTTTTTGATAATAAATTTGTTTTTACTTTTATTTCGAAAAAGTAGCAATAATCGTAAAAGGGTATTGATAGGCTTGCTAAAGTAACTAATTTTAGCTGTCAAATACTTTTGTATTTTGAAGTAAATTAGTATAAATTTGTTTTTACTTTTATTTCGAAAAAGTAGCAATAATCGTAAAAGGGTATTGATAGGCTTGCTAAAGTAACTAATTTTAGCTGTCAAATACTTTTGTATTTTGAAGTAAATTAGTATAAATTTGTTTTTACTTTTATTTCGAAAAAGTAACAATAATCGTAAAAGGGTATTGATAGGCTTGCTAAAGTAACTAATTTTAGCTGTCAAATACTTTTGTATTTTGAAGTAAATTAGTATAAATTTGTTTTTACTTTTATTTCGAAAAAGTAGCAATAATCGTAAAAGGGTATTGATAGGCTTGCTAAAGTAACTAATTTTAGCTGTCAAATACTTTTGTATTTTGAAGTAAATTAGTATAAATTTGTTTTTACTTTTATTTCGAAAAAGTAGCAATAATCGTAAAAGGGTATTGATAGGCTTGCTAAAGTAACTAATTTTAGCTGTCAAATACTTTTGTATTTTGAAGTAAATTAGTATAAATTTGTTTTTACTTTTATTTCGAAAAAGTAGCAATAATCGTAAAAGGGTATTGATAGGCTTGCTAAAGTAACTAATTTTAGCTGTCAAATACTTTTGTATTTTGAAGTAAATTAGTATAAATTTGTTTTTACTTTTATTTCGAAAAAGTAGCAATAATCGTAAAAGGGTATTGATAGGCTTGCTAAAGTAACTAATTTTAGCTGTCAAATACTTTTGTATTTTGAAGTAAATTAGTATAAATTTGTTTTTACTTTTATTTCGAAAAAGTAACAATAATCGTAAAAGGGTATTGATAGGCTTGCTAAAGTAACTAATTTTAGCTGTCAAATACTTTTGTATTTTGAAGTAAATTAGTATAAATTTGTTTTTACTTTTATTTCGAAAAAGTAACAATAATCGTAAAAGGGTATTGATAGGCTTGCTAAAGTAACTAATTTTAGCTGTCAAATACTTTTGTATTTTGAAGTAAATTAGTATAAATTTGTTTTTACTTTTATTTCGAAAAAGTAACAATAATCGTAAAAGGGTATTGATAGGCTTGCTAAAGTAACTAATTTTAGCTGTCAAATACTTTTGTATTTTGAAGTAAATTAGTATAAATTTGTTTTTACTTTTATTTCGAAAAAGTAACAATAATCGTAAAAGGGTATTGATAGGCTTGCTAAAGTAACTAAGTTTAGCTGTCAAATACTTTTGTATTTTGAAGTAAATTAGTATAAATTTGTTTTTACTTTTATTTCGAAAAAGTAGCAATAATCGTAAAAGGGTATTGATAGGCTTGCTAAAGTAACTAATTTTAGCTGTCAAATACTTTTGTATTTTGAAGTAAATTAGTATAAATTTGTTTTTACTTTTATTTCGAAAAAGTAACAATAATCGTAAAAGGGTATTGATAGGCTTGCTAAAGTAACTAATTTTAGCTGTCAAATACTTTTGTATTTTGAAGTAAATTAGTATAAATTTGTTTTTACTTTTATTTCGAAAAAGTAGCAATAATCGTAAAAGGGTATTGATAGGCTTGCTAAAGTAACTAATTTTAGCTGTCAAATACTTTTGTATTTTGAAGTAAATTAGTATAAATTTGTTTTTACTTTTATTTCGAAAAAGTAACAATAATCGTAAAAGGGTATTGATAGGCTTGCTAAAGTAACTAATTTTAGCTGTCAAATACTTTTGTATTTTGAAGTAAATTAGTATAAATTTGTTTTTACTTTTATTTCGAAAAAGTAACAATAATCGTAAAAGGGTATTGATAGGCTTGCTAAAGTAACTAATTTTAGCTGTCAAATACTTTTGTATTTTGAAGTAAATTAGTATAAATTTGTTTTTACTTTTATTTCGAAAAAGTAACAATAATCGTAAAAGGGTATTGATAGGCTTGCTAAAGTAACTAATTTTAGCTGTCAAATACTTTTGTATTTTGAAGTAAATTAGTATAAATTTGTTTTTACTTTTATTTCGAAAAAGTAACAATAATCGTAAAAGGGTATTGATAGGCTTGCTAAAGTAACTAATTTTAGCTGTCAAATACTTTTGTATTTTGAAGTAAATTAGTATAAATTTGTTTTTACTTTTATTTCGAAAAAGTAACAATAATCGTAAAAGGGTATTGATAGGCTTGCTAAAGTAACTAATTTTAGCTGTCAAATACTTTTGTATTTTGAAGTAAATTAGTATAAATTTGTTTTTACTTTTATTTCGAAAAAGTAGCAATAATCGTAAAAGGGTATTGATAGGCTTGCTAAAGTAACTAATTTTAGCTGTCAAATACTTTTGTATTTTGAAGTAAATTAGTATAAATTTGTTTTTACTTTTATTTCGAAAAAGTAGCAATAATCGTAAAAGGGTATTGATAGGCTTGCTAAAGTAACTAATTTTAGCTGTCAAATACTTTTGTATTTTGAAGTAAATTAGTATAAATTTGTTTTTACTTTTATTTCGAAAAAGTAACAATAATCGTAAAAGGGTATTGATAGGCTTGCTAAAGTAACTAATTTTAGCTGTCAAATACTTTTGTATTTTGAAGTAAATTAGTATAAATTTGTTTTTACTTTTATTTCGAAAAAGTAACAATAATCGTAAAAGGGTATTGATAGGCTTGCTAAAGTAACTAATTTTAGCTGTCAAATACTTTTGTATTTTGAAGTAAATTAGTATAAATTTGTTTTTACTTTTATTTCGAAAAAGTAGCAATAATCGTAAAAGGGTATTGATAGGCTTGCTAAAGTAACTAATTTTAGCTGTCAAACACTTTTGTATTTTGAAGTAAATTAGTATAAATTTGTTTTTACTTTTATTTCGAAAAAGTAGCAATAATCGTAAAAGGGTATTGATAGGCTTGCTAAAGTAACTAATTTTAGCTGTCAAATACTTTTGTATTTTGAAGTAAATTAGTATAAATTTGTTTTTACTTTTATTTCGAAAAAAGTAGCAATAATCGTAAAAGGGTATTGATAGGCTTGCTAAAGTAACTAATTTTAGCTGTCAAATACTTTTGTATTTTGAAGTAAATTAGTATAAATTTGTTTTTACTTTTATTTCGAAAAAGTAGCAATAATCGTAAAAGGGTATTGATAGGCTTGCTAAAGTAACTAATTTTAGCTGTCAAATACTTTTGTATTTTGAAGTAAATTAGTATAAATTTGTTTTTACTTTTATTTCGAAAAAGTAGCAATAATCGTAAAAGGGTATTGATAGGCTTGCTAAAGTAACTAATTTTAGCTGTCAAATACTTTTGTATTTTGAAGTAAATTAGTATAAATTTGTTTTTACTTTTATTTCGAAAAAGTAGCAATAATCGTAAAAGGGTATTGATAGGCTTGCTAAAGTAACTAAGTTTAGCTGTCAAATACTTTTGTATTTTGAAGTAAATTAGTATAAATTTGTTTTTACTTTTATTTCGAAAAAGTAACAATAATCGTAAAAGGGTATTGATAGGCTTGCTAAAGTAACTAATTTTAGCTGTCAAATACTTTTGTATTTTGAAGTAAATTAGTATAAATTTGTTTTTACTTTTATTTCGAAAAAGTAACAATAATCGTAAAAGGGTATTGATAGGCTTGCTAAAGTAACTAATTTTAGCTGTCAAATACTTTTGTATTTTGAAGTAAATTAGTATAAATTTGTTTTTACTTTTATTTCGAAAAAGTAACAATAATCGTAAAAGGGTATTGATAGGCTTGCTAAAGTAACTAATTTTAGCTGTCAAATACTTTTGTATTTTGAAGTAAATTAGTATAAATTTGATATTATTTTAACTCCCTTTGAAAACCTCAATTTTCCATACAGAGGGAACGGGAATAGCATCCAATATTCCCTGAGAATGGTTGCGCATTCTCAGTTCCCTCTATATTTCGAACGAAGCTCTCATCGGTCTTTTTTTTAATACTAAACGTTTTTTTTCCTGTCACTTTTAGCTAAAATTTGGGTTTGCCAACTTTTTTGACCATTTTTTTCAGAAAAAATTCTAAAATTCTATTGTCCTAAAATGAAGATTTTGGATTATATCATCTATTATCAGCATCTTTAATAAAATCACACGGGTTCTAAAACGTGACGCGTCCGACTTAATTTCAAAAATTGGGCAATCAAGAGTCTTCACAAGCTAAGGCAAAAGTTCAGCAACGCAACTATGCGACTGATTCTTTTGCCTACCCATATTTTTGGGAGCGTTCTGCTGGTGCACCTTTTATTAAAATTGCAGATTTTATTTCTCAGATTGTTAAATCTCCAATTTCACCAGCTGATCTCTCTTATCTACTTCTTGGATGTTGTGAGCAATTAAATAACATTCCACAGCTATTAGAAACAATAATCGCTGAACAAGATAATCAATCCTCAAATATAGACGAGGCGAATGAAAGAACGAACTTTTTGCAGGTTTTGAGAGCAAACTACAACTATTACATTAAAATTCAAGACACATCAACTTCGATTTTAGCTGCAACCTTCTTTTATTCTAATAAAATGTTCACGCCATGGAACTTCTGTCTTCCAAAAAGCGGAGGGAAAATCGCAACTCCGACTTTTTCGCAAATATTAGATTCTATCGAAGAATCTATCAGTTCTTTATCAAACAGCAAGGTTAATTTGAATAATATCAATACAGTGGTTAACTATTTTCAAGCAGTGACCGCTCCTTCTGCACTTCCTCCTCCATCAAAAGAATTTTTCCCGAAGAACTCGTCCGGCCATTCCGTAAATCTTTCGACGAAATTCACGGCCTATCATGGTATGGCATCGAATGGCAAGTTCATCTTCCTTTTAGTCGCAGAAGGACAACTCCAAATTTTCCCATTGTTCAACCATGGTGCTCTCACTAACCCATTGATCAGACAACTCAACTCAAAGTTTGGTACAGAGTGTTCTCTATTAGTTGTTAATGAAAATTTGCATGTTTATTTCGGAAAACAAGTTTATATTTATTCGATCGCACAAATACTCTCAAATACTGAGGAATTAGTACCTCGTATTGAAAATGTCGAAAAGAACTACATCGCAATTGTTTCAAATGGCATTACTCATGCATGTGTTGAATCAAACTTCTTAATTCACCTCTATCAAACAGCAACAAACAAATTGATACGATCTGTTCAACTAAAGGCAGGAAATAACACATTATCCAAAGAATTAAAAGATTTATTCCCAACTACAGATTACCATCAAATTCCGATGATAATTAACGGCCCATTCATCGGCTTTTTCTACAGAGTACAGCCAACCATGACACTTCTACGCGTTTTCTCTTTGATAACTGGTGAACATATTTTAGATGATAATTACTCATGTACAGAGCAGTTTTATACACTCATGAATGATATATACAGTCAGTCAATATGGGCTGTTGTAGGACCACGTCTTTGTCTTAAGAGATTTTACTTTGCAGGATCATATGATCCGCAGTTGTTCGCTGTAGACTATGTTCCAGCCAACCCATCGAAAGTAAAACTCAGTAATTGCTTCATACAGTTCGCAGGAGCCCTTCAAAAGAACTTAATTCATTTGATCGGTTCCCAGATCATTCCGAAGACACTTTTACCTGAGAAGGACCACTTCGCTCAGACCGAGCGTCTCATCGATATGCTCATGAGCTTCCTTGCGACAACGAATGGAATGAAAATGAAAGAAAAAATCGCGAAATACAAAGATGTAATGGTCCAAAACATGGTAATTATATTGGACTTGAACTTGAAAGGTATAGAACTCGCTGATTCAAAGCAGCCGACGATTGTCAACAAAGTATTTGATGTAATGACTTTCCTTCAGCCAGAATTGAGGACATTTTTGTTCTTCAACCACTTGAAGTTCTTCATGTTCGCTGAAAATGAAGAAGAAGTCTCAGATTTCGCTCTTTCCATGATGTGTAGCTTCCTCGAAAAACTGACATCCGATGAATTAATTCACTGGGCTCTCTCAAAAGTTGCATCCTCCAGAATTTTGCAACAAGTTACAATGATGAGGGATAATGCATTGAAATCGTTGATTCCAACATCAACAAAGATTCCTCCACCAAAACCAATCTTTTCCAGTCTTTTGGTCATTCATCAACACGCGATGATCAGAATTGCACATGAAAAACTCAAAAATGATCCATTCTTGCCTTTAACTGTACCAGATAACGAGCTCAACCCTACGAATCCACTCCATAACCTCGGTGTTTACCTCAATTTCATCATCCAAAGATTAGATTCCGCAATTTCTGAAGTGGAATCAGCAGAAGAACTCGCTAATTCCGTGATCTTTAGGTTGTTTAAGAACTTGGTTGATTGTATCTGCTGTCTAACAAGATTCCACACTGTTGCACAGTTAGTTACAAAATTATTCCATGTTCTTTTGGCAAAAATTGGTCAATTTTTCGCCAGAATTGAATTCAATGCCGAAAATGACAGTAACCCATTATCTGATTTGATCAGAGTTTTCCTTTTCTTGTTCTCACAATTCGCTGCTACATTAGTTAAAGGCGGTGTTTTGTCTGTTTTCGAGGAAAGATTCATTTGGTTAGTTCGAGCGAATATTTCGATTGTCGACAAATATAATTTGCAGACAATTACTCAAGAAGAATTCGAACCATTGGAGAATCCGAAGATCAATGAGTTTCTTGAAGGAAAGATTGATGTAATGACTTTATTGTATAAGAAATTTAAGCCATTACAAAACAAGAATCTCAAAGAAAACATCAAGAAACTTGATAGATTATCAGTCATTGCTTTTGCAATTCATACAAACGCAGTTGATGATTTATTGAGTTTAAGTGAAGACAAAACAATTTCTGGTTTATTGAGGAAATGCATTGAACAAATGTTTAGAATCAGAAACACCGTTAGAGAACTTATACAAAATGGAAAAGAAGAAGAAGTCAAAGTTATCGAAGAAAGAATCAGAATGTTGATAAGAATGAAATCCAATTTCGATGGAATAGAAAATCCCTCTTTGTTATTAGGAGATTTTGTTCTTTGTGATACGACGCCAAGTAGAATCATGAAGATTTTGGCTCAGCAAAGATCAAGAATACAAACAACATTAGTTGGATTTAATTTGATTGATGATACTTATAACATGGCAATACATCCTCAATACAATGATATTATATCATTTACTTTATCTAAGATAGAAAGATTTGATGGTTTAAGTACTATCATCAAAATGACTCCAATTGATGATGCCCAGAAACATCAAATCGAACAATTCTTCCATAGAATATTGAAACTAATCCAAGATGATTGCAATACAGATAAATGGATTTTAGTTGCTTATAGATTCTTCAGAGATATAGAAGGATTTGAAGATATAAAGAGATTCTTTTTGGATGGAATTCTTCAAGCATTCACATCAAATCCAACAAGATTTTCTTTATTCGCATTATGTTTCGCTTTGATTCCTTCAATCAATGAATTACCTTCTGCATTGGCAAATGTTAATCACATTCAACCAATCAGATACATTTTGTTGAGTGAAGCTTTGAAATACATTGATTGTCCATTGGATTTATTCCAACAATTTGATAAAGTCTTTTGGACAATCAAACCTGATTTCAGCAGATTAACATGCAGAACAATGTTCCACATGTTATCAAGCAAACTAATTCCTGATGAAGAAGTCGAAAGAATCATTGCAAAGATGATTCATTATATAGGTGAACATTCACTTTTGAACACAAATATTCCATTCTGCAATGAAATGACGTGGACTCTCAGAAGAATGATACAATCCCATCATCGAGCAGAAAAGATTATTAAGAGTATCATTCAAAAACTCAATCCTGAATCCGATGAAAATGATATTTGTGGTGCTTTGACAATAATTGGTTCTTATTCTGAGAAAATAAGACCATATTGCAATATTAAATATCATTACAATAGAAACTCTGTTTTCGAATGTATCGCAATTCAACCTGTTGTTGAAGAAAAAGGAATGTTTTACTATTGTTTCCATAGACCATTTAACATCCTTTCTCCATCAATACAAGTTAAAATCACTCCGGAAACAATGATTTACGCAGTTCCAATGATTATTTTGGATCCAAAGGAATTCGACCTTGATTTCATTTTGTCTTTCTTTGATTACGCATTTTCAAATGCTTCAAAAGTCACTCAATCTGTTTACATGCAAGTTTTAGCTTTGTATTGTAATGAAACTAATTTCGTCATGAAATTAAATGAAACACATATGTCGAAATTAGTTGAATGTCCATTACCTTTCTCCGATATTTCTTATACATTGACAGAGATCGAAAAGTTCTCTTCAATGAGAGTTTTGCCTCCTCCTGAATGTTGTTTCAGCGCCATGAAATATAAAGATAATGAATATACATCTTATATTTCTCCTCAAATTTTACCTGATGCGGAACCATTCACCATAAAACTGAAGACTCCACCAGGACAAATGAATTGCTTTGTTGGTATTATATCAAGTTGTGTTGATAAACATCACACAAGGTATTCTTTGGTTTCTATTCCTGATGGCCAAACATATCCTGTTCCTTTGGCACCACAATTACATTTGGAAGAGAATGTTTCTGAGTTAGAAATAACATTCGATATCAAGAATTCGAAGTTTATGATTGGAACAGCAACATATTTCTTCCCAGAAGGAAAAGCATTTAAGATCATTGTTGCCCAACATAAAACATTGCATTTCGATGCAGATGTTCCTGATGCAAACAAAGTATTCGATAGATTTGCAACTCCACCACAAATTCAACGCGGATGCATCGATTTCGATGAAGAAACTCCTTTGTTCACGATTCCTACATGGGCAACAGAAGATGTCAATTTACCACATGATATTTCGAAGATGACTAAGTCAACAATTTATATTGGAAGACTAACTCCTGAAGAGAAAATGATGTCGAACTTTGTTCCTCCTCCTAAATACATTTCAATACATATTGGTTTCACAACTGAAGCATCACAAGCCTTAATAAATGAACAAGTCAGAGGACTTTATAAACAACTGGCTTTGCAGTGGTCAACGATTGTTTTGATGAGAATTTTGTTGATCAAACAAGAAATGATAACAAGTGAGAGATTGATGATGAAATTGGTCTCTCTTTTGACAGTGATGCTTGAAGGTTTTGTTCCTTCAGAGTTCGAACTCCAGAAGTTCCCATTCTCTCTAAGTGTTCCTATTTGGTCTCCAAATGCTCAAGCAAACATCCTTTACATGGGATTCGAAATGGAATCTCTCAAAGCTCTTAAACTGTTTGTACAAAGACCGCAGTTCATTTCCGCTTTGTGCAAAGGTTTACAGGCAATGAACAAGAGTGAAAGGATGCATTTGGTTGCAAGACCATGTAGAAGTCATCATTACTTCGCTCCTCCGAAAGATGGCGAGAATCCAATTCTTTGGAAAGAAAAACCAATTGACTACAAATGTGGGTCGAACTGCATTGTTGCTCCAAATGATTTCAATGGTTTCCTTCCTGAATCAATTTGTTTCAAGTCTTCTGGAACAAAACAATTGTATCCTACTCCAGCAATCATTCCTTTGTCTCAGCCACCTCATATTATTGTTTTACAAGGCCAGAACAGAAGAGAATTCTCTGTTTTCGATATCAATCCTATGAACAATACATGGGTTTATGATACTCCTTTCGAGATGCTTCTTTTGTTGAAGAATTTCGTCTTTGTTGCACAGACAGATGAAGAAAGAGCTGCAGCGAAAAGAATCCTTTTGGAATGCTTCATCATGCAATCACCATTTATTTATAATTATCTTCCTCAATTTGCTGATTTGATGCAGTTACAGATTCCTATTACTCCATTCGATGAAAATGTACAATACAGGCAATTACTTGCTGTTACAGCTTCATTGTTACAAGATAGAAAAGACTATGTTTCCCAGAGATTCCTTATTTTGTATCTCCACGATCAACATGTTCTTACATCCACAGAAAACAGAAGATTGGCCATGTACTTCCCAGAGTTCTTTACAAAGAAGTTTGATCCTCCTGAAGATGACCAAATTGTTGTTCCTGAAGCAATTATTGACCCTGGAGCAATCAAAGGCAATTTCCCTGGCTACATTCTTAGATTAAGACAATTTGCAAGACAATACAAGTCATTGGAAGGATTCCCATTCTGGGAAATTCTCCCGATGTGGTTCAGATTGTCCGGAACATTCAAAGGAGATGGAGATTTCATTGCACCAACATTAACAGTGACATCTCCTACTTCTTGCCATGTTGCAAATCCATCGAAAGTCCAGATCGAAATAAAGTTTGTCAAATCAGGAAAAATCAGTCGAGGAATGTATTTGTTCAGAAGCACAAATGCAGAATTCGACAACCCAACAATCATTGCAGAAAACAATGTAAAAGACGTGATTGTTACATCAGAACCTGATTTGTTCTTCTCAATCATCGGCAACAAACATGATACATTCAATGTTTTGAAGCCACAGATGACATCATTGGTGAAGAAACCAGTGCAAGAGAAGAAGAAAGAGACAAACAAAATCTCCATTTCCAGTATCAGATCGAGATTCATTGATGACATGCATCAATTTGCAATCGATTGGTCTCCTGCTGATACAGAAGAACTCATCACTATTTTGCCAAGAATTTCATTGAGAGAACCAACATTTGCTGCTATAGAAAACATTTCTAAAGGATGCAGTATCTGTTCGAAATTCTCTCCAACAGTTGTAATGCTCCATGCTTTGTTGATCCATCATTTCAACTACATTAGATACAACTTCTTCAAGAGTGTTCCTCAGAACATCTGGAACTCAATGACGTCGTTCCTCAGCGCTGAAGATGCGGCCGACGCAATCACGTCCCAGATCATTGTTTCTCCTGAAACACTCTTCCCATCTATCACTATCGATAGACACGCAGCACACAGACTGATAACAAATGGAAACGGAGATCCTTACTACTCAATTATCTCACAGTTGACAAGAGTTATCAGAAACATCGAACACTTCAAATTGTGCTGCAAGAAGAAGCCGTGGAAAGTCACATTCGTTGGAGAAATGGCTGTAGATGCTGGTGGTCCTGGTCGTGAATTACTTACAGAAGCTGCTGCAAGTATTTTCGAGCCAACAACTCTTTTGGCAATTTCTACTCCTAATATGAGAAATCACACAGGACAATACAAAGACGTCTACATTCCATTCGACAAGACGATGTCAAGATTGCAGGATTACTACACAATTGGTGTTTTGCTTGGTATTATCATCAGAACTGGTTTGCAACAAGACTTACCATTCGCACCAATTGTTTGGAAATTCATTGCAAACGAACATGTCGGAATTGATGATGTCACAGCCATTGATTCGGGATTACTCGAGCATTTCAACCATATTAGATCTGTTTCTAATGATGCAGACTTCGCACAGCATTACGCCTTCCAGTGGAAAGTTGATGACTGGGATGGAACAAAAGTTTCTCTTCCTGGTCACGACAAAGGAGATATTTTGAACAAAGAAGATGTCGAACAATACATCAAAGAATGTGTTGATTACAGACTGAATTCGATCCTTCCTTTGCTCAGAGAAATGAAAGCAGCTTTCAGAAGAAACACTGGTTTCAAACACAATGCTTTGTTAACAGGAGCATTGCTGAGCAGAATGGCACAAGGATCAGGAGATATTTCTGTACAGCATCTCAAACAAATCACACATGTTTCAGATTTCGAAGACGGAATCAAGAACGAGTACGTGAAGAGATTCTTCAGAGCTGTTGATAGATTGAACAAAGAGCAAAAGAAGTTGCTTCTTAAGTTCATTACGACATTGACGAGACTTCCAAACTCAACATTGAATCCAGATTTCAAACTGAAGATCGACTTGAAAGACTGTCCGAAACCAGATGAGATGCTTCCAACTGCTTCAACATGCTTCAACAAATTACACCTTCCGAAATATTCGACAGACGAAATTTGTTACCAAAAGTTACTCATAGCAATTCAATATTGCCAGACAATGGAAATCAAATAATTTGATATATATAATTTGTATTTTATTATTATTATTATTATTTCTTTATAAATCTTTATTTTATTATTTTTAAATCTAGATCTCTTTTTCCTCGTAAACTGAACTCCTTGATTTCCTTACATGGTAATTGATCATTTATAAAGAAATTAATTCAATAAAGCAATTTAAAGAGCACCTAGAAAATTTAGTCTATCTTGATCATCAAGACAAATTGTAAAATGTGGATTAAAACCGGGCAAACTTTACATATGAAGAGTGATAATTTCATTTAAAGCCTTGACTTATATCTCTTAATTCAATATGTTTAAAAATAAAATACTTGAATAAACTTTTTTTTACGTTTTTAGTATGAAAAATGATAATTCCAGCGATTGCTCCACCACTTACTTTTCCTTTATTTGATTTTTGGTCATCGGATTTGTCCTTATCTGGGTCTTGATTTCCGGATTCAGATGACTCTTGAGTTGGAGGAATTACTTGTGTTGGTGATGGAGTGTTTAAAGAAGGACCAATTGATGATGTTGTTGTCACAGTTGGGATAGTTTCTGTTGGTCCAGGAGTGCTTTCTGTTGGAGATGGAGTCTTTGGTGTTGGTGTTGGAGGGATAGGAGTTGGTGTTGGTGGAATTGGTGTTGCAGTTGGAGGAAGAGGAGTTGGAGTTGGAGAAGGTATATAATGTGGAGTCAATGAAATGTTTTCATAACTTAAGTATCCTTCGTAGGAAATATTAGGTTCAGAAAATGTTATATTGCTTATTTTGAGTATGCCCGATCCTGGATAATTAAACTGAATAAAATTGACATCATTGAAAGTAGTCTGTCTATGATAATCGCTATAGTATATTCGTGTAAGCTTTGTTGGCTCATTAATTTTACCATAATATGCGACATCTACACTACCATTGACTACTTCTATTATTGCAGAGAAGTTATAAATTGAAAATATTGTGCAAATAACACTACTGTTGGGATCGAATTCATAATACAAAGGCATATCATCAATAACATTTATTGCTCCATTTAATTCATAACGGTTCCAATTTCCCCATGAATTTGTATAAAAGTCTTGAAGGTAAACAATAATTTCTTGTGGATAGTCTGATGTAACTATATACTGCCTTCCTTGGCCTTTAGTAATATTCAGTCCATCTGTTTTCATGAAAATAGGTCTTGTGTGATCAACATCTCGTGTCATTGTAAACCAGTAAATATAGAATGGAGTACTTGTGGCAACAAATGATCTTGCATCACCTCCCATCAAAAACATTGAATCAGTAAGTTTATCAATACTTGATTCAAAGCCAGGGACATAGTAACGCTTTCTTATATACCATTCAGGGACGTTTCCATTTATTTTATAAACAGTAGGTGGAGCCCTAAATATGAAATACTCTCCATCTTTAACTTGAGGATTTCCATAATAATAAGTAACCGTTTCACTGAATAAGAGAATTATCAGGGGACTTGCGTTTCCAAATTGTTCGGAGGTGAATTTAAGATCTATTGCATTGAAAAATATGTCAATACCTGTATATTGGGAAATGTTTTGTTCAATTATGCAAGTTCCTCTATCATAATATGTAGAAGTTGGATACAAAGGTTTAATATTAAGGACTAACTTCGAACGACTTGTTAGCATGTACACTGGTTCTAGATTTGTTCCATTACTAAGGGTAGCTGTCTGTGGATAATTAAACGTCAGCAATCCAAGTGCGCCATCATATAAGAAATTAAACACTACTAATTGAGTCGGGCTACTGGTATTTAAAATGTAATGAAAACTCTTTGGCTGACTGCAATAAGTGTAATTGAACTTTTGATAGTCTGGATCTTCGTTGATAACTGGCTTATTTCCAAAGTGGAATATTCCGCGATTCAAATCTTCTGAAACTTCACTTGTTATATTAAAATCATAGACACTGAAATCCATCTGATTTTGAGGGTTGAAGTCAAAAGTAATTGTTGTTACTCCTTGAAATGTTCCAAAAGGATCGATAGGATATTTTGTGTATAAATTACTTACAGGAAAATCATTTCCTGGTTCGCAATCATATGTCCAATATTGCTTAAATGAAATTGGATCCCATGATGCAAAAACTGTTAAAATACGAAGATGATCATCACCGTTAATCTTTCCGACAAGTTGCTTATTCTCTTCAATATTTAGAACAACATCAATGGTAGAATAGTTAGAATAATCTCCTTCAATGATAACTAATTTAAGACTTTGAACACTTCCTGAATTTGACTTAACCACCAATTGGCCATTCATCAATGAAATGTTTGGAAAGTCTGACCATTGGTTTGTCTGTTGATTTTGGATAAGAACGTTTTTGTTTTGATGAGAAACGACAAGGAATTTTTTGTTGCTGTCTTTACTTAGATAAATTGTTTGTGATTCATTGCCAATAACTAGTTCGTATTTACCAGAGTTTGGAAGTCTTAATCCTTCATGAAATTCATAACCTTCCACACCTATAATTGCATGATTATAATAATCTTTATAATCTACAACATATCCTTCAGTTTCTTGTGATTTGTTTATTTTCTCTGCTTTATAATGTATAATTGATGGTTTGCATTGTAAGAAAAACAGTTTTTGATTTCCGATATCAAAATCATCTGTCACTTCTGTTTTATCGGAATCTGGTCCGATCATGAAATTGCATTTAGTTGTATTTTTGAATTTATAATTAAATTCTGTTGAACTTACGAATACAATTGTAGAAATTTTATTAATTATTTCCATATCTATAGTATTGTATGATTCGTTAGCTCCATCAACGATGGCCATAATTTCTTTTTCGCCAGTATTTCTAAAAACAATGCATTTGAGAACAGTTGGTGGCCTCCATGGTTTAACAACAGAGAATATATTGTCAAAACCACCAGTTACTTTTCTTGGTACATTTTGAAAATCTTCGTTGTTCAGAAAAATTGCTGATAATTGATAATTTAAATACGATTTATTCATAAGCTGAACAATAGAAAGTTCCGAAATAAGATATTCGCCGTACCCTAGCTTTAACTCAATTCGTGGAATATCTCCATATGCTAAGAATAATAAGAAAGAAAGCATCTGTAATGAAAATGAACAAATTTTTACAATTTCAGTTTCTCTCAAAATTTCAATAATGATGTCACAATTTCTTCGGCCACTATTGGAATTAATGTGTTGTAAATATGGTCAATCATCATAGTAAACTGTAATTTATAAAAACAATTGATATCTCAAAAAAAATCAATCATCAAATTGTGCTTTTTCAGTATTTCAATAATTTGCAAATTTGAGGATTACTCTTTAAGAGAGTAGTAAGATTCCAACGGCGAAATCGCATTGAATTTAAAATGAATCAAAACATGTTCCTTTATCATCAGGTCTTATATTTGTAAAAAATATTCTATTCGTTTTTGCATTTTAACTAAGAAATCTTACAATCGGGCGTGAAAAATGTTTAAATCTCAATCTATTGACCAAAATATAAACTATAATCCTTTTGTCATTGATTTATTGAATTTTCCATCTTTTTTTAAAAAATAAGGCGGAGCTGAATAAAAGGAAATTTAATGAGTTTTGAATTTATAACTGGTTATAAGTTATATTTTTGATTTGTTGATCATTTTCTACAATGAAAGTGATAATCGTTTAATTTTGAAAAATCAGCGTCAAAAAAATGGATATCAGATATTGGAAATCAATTGTACGCAATGGATTAGGATATTTCATCATCATTCTACGAAGCTATTTGATAAAAATAAGGAACGAGCTAAGGAACAAATTTTTTTATCAATGAAGGAGCACTATTCAGTGTATTGGGATATATTGATGAAAAGTTTCAAATTGATGGTGTATTTAATTTCCTATTTCATTTCCCCAACGATTATCCAGAAGATTATTTTTACTTCAACCAAAGTTCCAACCCTTTTACATCAACTACTGTTTCACACTTTTCAAATAAAGTGATATTGGATCATTGCGAATATATAAATAAAGTTGAATGTAAATTCACAGGTTTAGCTATATCAACCTCTGAATATACATATCTAGATGCTAACTCACATTCAGCATATTACTGGTTTTCAATCGGACAAAACGCCAACTATCAAAATAAAATAGGATCTATTCCAGGACCCCCCTGCAATGATGAAAACCTAGGAGTTTCAACTACAAATTTATGGATGAGAATTCTAAATAATGATATGATCAGATTTTTACCATTTGTTGATAAATGCTCCATCGGAAGGTGCAATAACATCAACACAATGGTATTTATTCTCCCATTTGTATTTGTTTTTATCGTATTATAGGCAAATATTTATACCCAGATTTGCTTTACTTTTACCACTCCCCATGTAATTTCTGGGGAAAACGATAATTCATTTTTTTTATGGATGAATAGATCGTTTTCCTAGAAAGGACCTCATATCTCTGGCTAAAAAGAGTGTCAGATCCTAAATAGATTATTGATCTAGTGTACAAATCCAATAAAAAGCCTATTTTTTTGGCTTTTTTGGTGCTCATTTTTTCGAAGATCTACATGAATATGGGGAAACCATCGGATTTTTTTGGTTAACCCACATCTTCATGTAGTCTGGACTATCTTTCCTCGAAGGACCTCTTTACGGGTGTAAAAACTCATAAAGTTCTCAAAAGATTCATTCTCGATCTCCATGCTGAAAGAATTTACAATAAAAAAGAGATCTACGCATCAAACTACAGCCATAAATGAACTGAACCCCTAAAGCTCAGCTCTTAGTTTATCAAAAACGTCGAAATCCTTCTCATTGCAATCAAAATTTCTCAATAACTCATAAGAAAAATCGAATTTTGATTAAGCCGATGTTATAGGTATCACAAATACTACAAACTTGAGCAATATCGAAATTGCCAGCAAAAGTTTGAAATTGCATTGCTCATATTTGTTTTGTAAACTAAAAATCTGCTTATATTATTCATTAATTTTTTATATATTATTCATATACTTTAATAAAAACAATACTATTTCACCTTAAAAATGAATTTCATAAGTCAATATTATTTTTTTGAAAATGTATCAATTTTCGATTAAAAACAACATGAGAATAAAATTTACGCAAAATTATTTTAAAAAATGGTTTTAAAAATTTACAATTGATTAAGAATAAGATTGGAAGAAGTTTTGAAGTTTAATTTTAAGAAAAAAAATTCGGATATTATTCATGGATCTAAGTAATCTGATATTTGAGTATCGGCACTATGCATAAAACATATATTTATAGTTTTTATGGATTTTTATGATTTTAAATATATTCAAATTTGGCAATCCAATAGATTTTTAAAAAATAGGTAAATAAAAATAGATTACATATGCAGCAGATTTAGAACATGAAACAAATCTTATAGTGACCCAAAAAAAAATTCATGATCCAAAAAAGAACAAAATTGGCTAAATCGGAATCAAACCTTAGCATAACGCATCATTATGTCAGATGTTTCCACTACACTACACCAGCAGTTCGAAAAATACCCTTGGTGGTTCTATTTAATAGCTACTCCCAACGATAGGCGGTGTCCCCAGCTTTCGAGAGGTGGTAAAAGTAAAGCAAATCTGGGTAAATATTTATATTTTCGATTAAAATTTAAAATGTGTACTATGTGAATAAAATTTGTACATCTAAATAAGTATATGTTCCTGATGGAATTTGAAAGTTTTCTAAGAAAAGAAGTTTGATTATTTTATCGGCGTGATGCACCAATAAAAGATAGAAATCTCGGTCTAAACACCTAATTTTATGATAATTGTAATTGTATTATGAACAACCATCACATTTCATCAATCTTTTATAACAACAATTTTACTGGTGTTTTGAAATATAAATCGTAAATTATATTTAAAACACTATTACAGATGATTTCTAAAAAAGTTTTTAGGGTTCTGAATATTTTTTATAAAATAATTTTTTAGGGAAAAAAAATGAGTTTATATTTGTAACTGATATGATTTATAATGTATAATTTAATTTCAATATTGGACTAATTTGAGTTTGATTTTAGTGAAATATTGTTAAACTATGTGTACATTAGAAAAAATAGTACTATTGTAAATTATAAGCTTTTCAAAAAAACGCATTCAATTCATCTTACACTCACAAAATATTCAATCAAATTTAAAATGAAGCACCGATTATCTGTTGATAATGAAGATATGAATAAATTATCAACAGAGTACATTTTAAATTTTGTTGATAGTCTCCCTTCTGTTGGGCACGATGTTTCCAGTTGGAGAGATTGTGTTTTCATCTTATTTTTGTACTATCAAAAATTTACAAAATCATCTACTGCACTTCAGATCATATTTTCGATCTGGTCCAATATTCAACTATTTGCAGCTACCAATACTCTACCTTTGATTCTTTCAATTGTCGACAATAAACAAGATATCACATCAAATACATTATTTGCGATTCTGATGCTATTTATACCAAATTCACTAGATCAATCAAGTATCTACTATATTGGAACTTTGCAATTGTTCGTTTTCATTTGTATTTTCATTTTCAACATTTCAGTATATCGAATCAAGAAACTTAAGTCATTCAATTCATGGCAAATATGTTTTTCGTATGTGTTTTCTTTTGAAGTTTCTCGAATCTTATTATTACCGGATATGATTTTTGTTTCTAGAGCATTTATCGGCAGTATTTCAGGTATTTACTCATTTTCCATATTTAATGTTACTCAACTGATCATTTTAGCTTTTCATATCAGATTGTGCTATTTTGCATCTTTATTTCATTTTTCTTATTTCAAGACGCCAAAAATACCACGAGTTATGCTGATTCTACCAGAAAATATACAGATTTATGTTCTCCCTATTGTTGGATGGGGTTGTTATTCGCTTGGAAATCGAATTCAAGGTTGTGCAACAGTATTTATTTTCTCGTTCCTCCTTGGTATAATTTACCTATGCTTTGGTGCCTATCCGAAATCATTCAGAAACGTAATAGATCCGCTTTCAATGGCAATTGGATTTTTACTCTTCTTCGAAACATGTGCAGGGGTAGTTTTAGCACTGGAATTGAACAGGCTCAGCTATACATATTTCATTATGGCATCATTGGTCATTGCTTTAGGCATCTATTTGATAATATTAAAATTTGAAAAGAATATTTACAAACACTACAAGAGAAAACTTAATTCTGTCGAGAAATTTGAGGATTTACATATAAAAAACTCATCAGTTTTCCAAAAATACCTATGTGTTGCATATAATACTCATCATAAGTTTTTACTTGACGGCACAATGATCAAATACGCTTGTGATAAATTCCATGATATCCATACATATCACATGCTTCTCAGATTGGCTCTAACTCTTCCTTTGGATACACCAAATCTCGATTTAATTGAGATTAACGCGTCCGCTATCATTATGAGCTATACAACGCTTGCATACTCTATCTTTGAGTATAAGACAGTTCAAGCATGGCGACAAGACTTCATGGATGCGTTAAGTGCCGAAAATATCATTACAACAAATAAATTTGTCAAAAACTTTACAAAAATCGCATTTTCTTATGCGAGTTTTATACAAAGAGAAGGATCAAAGTCATCATTTGTTTTCGGCCAAGCTCTCAGTGAGATTGCAACTATACTTCAATCACATATTGACAGATGGTTGTTGTTTCATCCGACAAGGACACAAGTCCTCAAAACTGCTGCATATTTCTATGAGCATTGTTTCTTAGATAAAGGCAAAGCAAGGGAACTGACTCAACAAATCAATTTATACGATTATTTCACGATGTTATTACCTAATTGGCGTGAAATACAAACAATCAAAAAGTATCCAATTGATTTGTCAAAATACGAAAATATTGTTGAAACAGGACAAACGAATAATGTCCCTCCAAGTGAAGATGTAACAGATTCAACAGCACAAACAGATAAACTACTTGCAAATGATATTGTTTATTCTGAAACTCGTTCGTGTTTGAATATTAATTTTGTCATTATTTTGTTGTGTTTGGCTGGTTTGATTCCTTTCATTACAATGATTTATTTGACATGTAGAAGTTACCAAAAAGACTTCAGAGCTCTTGTTTTAATGACAGACTATTGGTCACAACATGTTTATTATGTTGTAGGAATGATTGTTTATGGATTAGAACCTGGTTATGATACAAATTTCACTTCAGAAGATAGATCTCATGTTTCTAAATTTATTAATGAATTTGCTGTTGCTTATTCTACTTATTACACGAAAATAATGTTGTTGTTAAACTACTACAGGAATTTGAACAGAACATGTTCTCATCTCTATACAACACAGTATTTTCCATCAAGAACTTTGGCAGGAAGTCCAAGATTTTACAATTTTGCCTCAATGATGAGAAAAATTTTGGCATCAGTGAAAGAAGCATATCCAGATCAATCATCAAACAGATCAACAATAGAAGAAACAAATTTTGTTGTTGAAATGTTTACGAATGCTTCTGATTATTTCGCAATTTTCTTGCAAGATTACTATAAATGTCTTGATGATTCATATGAAGTATCTAAGAGTGATATTTATTATTGGTCATATACATGGGGAAGTATTATTCTTGTTGTTTGTTTCTTAATTCTTTTGTTTTGTTGTTATATGAATTGGATATTGCGAAAAATGAATGAATCATTCAATAAAATTGATTCATCCAATGCATCAAGACTAATGGAAGTTAATCTAAGTCAAAGATATCATAGTGTTTCATATTATATTTCTATGATTTTGATTTTCTCTTTTATGGTTTTTATCGTTATCGTTGTTTCATTAATTGCAAATAGATTGATAATGCTTGAGTTGCAGAAGACAACACAAGAAGTAACAACTAATGATTTAACAGATATTGGCTTGATGGGTGTTATTGGAACAGCTTTAAGTTCATTGGAAATTTCAAATATGTCAGTGAATGTTTCGAGATATCAATTGATTAAAAACATTGTAGCGGTAACAAGTATCTGGTTCCCTAATGATGAAAAATGGGGATACAACAATGAATCATCTAATGCTTTGTATGATATTATGGTCTCTGTAATGAACCAAATGAATGGTTTGACAATTGAATATAACAGAACTAAAAACCAAATCGCAAGACATGAATATAATGAAAGATTGAGACCAATGTTTAAAGAAAGAGTTGATAATAGGACATTGAAATACTATGAGAAATCGAAATATGTAAGTATAATTAATGGCCAGCTTCAAGCTATATTGTTTTCTACTATAACTTTGTTGTTTTTCGTAATTGGAGTATTAATTGTCAGTTTCACGAAATCAGTTATTTTCACTGAATTCATTTTGAAATTAATTCCTTATGTTCATCAGCAAACAGATACTAATACACAAGATGCATTGCGTGTAGCAAGTTCTTATGATAGTCGTTTGTTGTTGGATATTTTGGGAGTTCCTGGAGCTTTGATTGATGAAAACAATTTGATTTTGTATGTCAACCACGAATGGATGACAATTTTCACTGGAACGCAATCAACATTTGTTGGTATCAATTACCAGATATATGCAGGACGTGATCCTGATATTGTTATATATGATACATTTGAAAATAATAGAATTGTTTCGATTGGAAGATCAAAGAGAATCATGAAATTGAGAAAGCAAATTAATTTGATGGAAGAAGAATATGAAAAACTCAATCAATCAACAAAACCTAATAATGTATTAACAGAAGAACAAAAAGACAAGAAAGTAGTATGTGCAAGTTTATCTGTCATTTCTTACAACTTACAAAATGAAGATATTGATTTAATCAGGAATTTCACTGATTTACTCTTCAATTTAATCTCCCAGGAAATGGAGAATTTAGAAGATGCGAAATTATTCATGTGGTCGTATTCCGATATAACAATTGCTTTCGGATTTGATTCTGATAACTTAATATTGTCTGCTTTGCAAGCCATACACTTGATATCAGTTTGTACGCAGTTCATTATTGAAACTGAAGATTTCTATGGTTTATATTGTTCATCTTCTTTGATGATTGGAAAGATTGATGAAAAATTTGATGGAACTAAATGTAGATCATGGAGAATTCCTAATTCTATAACATTGTCAGCTGATGTCGCTGGTTTGATATCGAATTACATCGCTGATATGACATATATATTAGATAATGATATAGCAATCATCATCTTAGAAGGAACTGATGATGAAGATGAAGATTCTGATTATTGAGTTATATTTTTATATTGTTATTATTTGTATTTATAAATTGTTTGATATTATTATAGAGTAAAATATTTTTCATATGTAAGATACAGTAGTTATGCTTAATCCAATAACAATGCTTTATCTGGGAAATTATTTGAACTCAATGAAGAAATCTAATCATTGAATTTATTATTACTTATATTGGATAGGCGATTTAGTTAAAATCTCGTTTATGATTTTAAATGAGGATTTTACTTTATCTAAAGCAGACATTTCACCCATTTTCAATGAATATACGATATTATGACAAATATTTCATAAATATGTTATATAAATATTATCATGTTAATGAAGCGTATAGCAGGCTTGATAAAATGATATATGTACATTTGATTAATTTAAGGGTCCACTGTAAGGCCAAATAAGGCCTATCGTCGTCCCAAAAATATTGCTCAAGATGGTGTTTTTACTAAGGCCCAAAACTTAAAAAAACACAAAAAAATTAACTTTACTCTTTTGAGATCCTTATCAGATGTGCAACAATTTGATGCAGTATCGCAATTCGAATCCGATTTTTTAATGTAGATGTACTCTAACATTCTTGAAAAAATGCAAAATGATATTAATCAAGCTTTTCATTTCTGTATCATACACGAAACAAAATCATTTATTATACTAAAATTTATCAAAGTTTGAATAATGAAAAAAATAATATCTAAATTTTACATTGAGTCGGCTATTGATATGGTCAATATTAAATCGTTTAAAAATGGGCATTGGCCAGAATAATACCCACTAAAATACACATTTTTTTAAATTTTATCAATTTGTTTTGGTATATCTTTATGATAATGAATAAAATGCTTCTCTTTCATAAGTCAATACATAATTTATGCTGAAACACAAAAAATAACACGAAAATTTTGGCCAACATTTCAAACGAAGGATAATGCTTTGAATATATAAACAATAATACTTTGTCTAGAGAATTAAATTTGTGCTATCCAATTGTCAATTCTTTGACTTTTTTATAAAATGCACGATATTCCGGCATTAGCCTCAATAAATATAAACTACATGCATCACAATATTAGGATGTAATGGCATTAAAGCGAATTTCCTAATTTCTTCTCAATTAAATTCCTAGAAAAACTTAGGAATTAATGATTGGAAATAGGTCAAAAAATTCCTAATATAAAATTTATACTTAAATTAAAATCAAAATTCGAAAATATCTATTTTTCAAAACACGCATCCAGAAGCGAAAAAATTCGAAAAACTCATGTTCTTATAAAACTCGCTGATTTTGCAATTTTTATGTGATTTGAAGTGATAGAATGTATTATCATCTTACTAAAACATATACTTTATTGTTACATTCACAAAATATTAATCAGAACACTAGGAAAAGTGGATTTTCGAAAAAAGACGATAACGATTATTTGCAAATCGCCTCTCAATTTTGAGAGACTTTCAATTTTTACAGTGGACCCTTAATTATCGATTTAAAAGCATGATTCTTATTGAAGCTTTTGTTGTGATACAACAAAACATCAATTGAAAATATAGAGTTCGGTTGCTTGTCAAATATAAATGGATTGTACCAACTTTTGTATTTATATTTGACAATTTATATTTGACAATTTGACATTGTCAAAAATTACAAATGTTTCAACTCTTGCTTTCTTTTTCTGCAGCTAAAACTGTAGCAGATGTAGCCCCTCCATATCAATTGGATAAAAACGGTAAAATTGGATTGTGGGAGTACTCTGGAGCCACTGTTCCAACTGATGAAGGAATTATCGTTGTCCCACCACTCCAACATAGAAAAGGTTGCCTTTGGACTGATGTTGAGATACCATCCGATACAATGTGGTTAATAAATTACACATTGCAGATTCCGCGTGTTGAAGGTGGCCAATTTGGCTTCTGGTTCATTTCTAAATACGGCGCGCAAGGTAATCTTGCAGGTGGTCCACAGAAGTTCGATGGTATTGCTATATTGGCTCAAGTTGCTCAGAAAGAAGACGGAAAATTCGGATTTTACTTGAACTATTTTGAAAACGACGGTACAAAAGCAATCAACCCAGAAGATATTTCAAAGAATGGAGTATTTGTCGATTTCTCACGCAGAGCTCCATTCCAAATCTCAATTCAATTCTTGAAAAATAAAATCGGAGTTTATTCGCCAATGCACACTATTAACAAAGGAATTATCCTTGAAGCATTCCTCAAACGCGATATATCACAGAATTACATCGGTATGACCGCTCAAACCGATTATTATACGATGAGATTAGATTTACTCGATATTAAGTTCGATGTCAATCTCAAAACCGCAGCAAGGCATTCAGCAACAATGAAAACATCTCCACATTCAGCTAAATACCAGCCATCAGTAAGTCGCCACCTCAGAAACAGTAATTATAACCTTACTCTCAAAGAAGCCGACGAATTCGAGAAAAACCAAGGTATCGTTAACGACGAAAAGAATATCTACCAATTACTTGACGTTATCGAAGAGATAAATAAGGCCAATTTCGATGTAGCGTCATTCAGTGAATTGAACGCTTTCATTCGTAATAATATCCTTAATTACACTCAGAAATGGCAGAAGCGTACAGTAAAATTGGTCGAAAGAGTACAAAATACACGCGATATTGCATCTTCCGCTTTTAATTACACCCATCAGATGATGGAGCTCTTCAGAGACACAATGTCAGTATCTGTGTCCAAGGCGAACTCTAAAATCCACGATATGAATGCTCTTCTCAACGAAATCGGCGCAAGAGGCGTAGATGAGAACAGAGAACTTCAGGAAATGGCCAATGAGGTCAACAAGCACTCCATTGGTTCGTATTTGATGTACGCAGCTATTGCTGAAGTAGTTGGAATTTTAATTTTATTAATTTCTGCAATGACATGTGGCAAGAACTATGTATATGGATCCCTTAGGAACTAATATAATATATATCTATACTATTTTTAAATTTTTGTATCAATAAAAAAAATATTTTTTTGAAATATGAAAGAATTTATAAAATTGTACACAAAATGAGTATGGCATTATCAATAAATAATAAATATGCATATAAATCAGAATACATTTCTTTTAAATTTTTTTATGTCTGATCAAGACATCTATCCAAATAAATTCAATGAATTGTAAATATTTGCACTGATGGTATGCCCAAGATGATTGTATCCGGATCACGCGATCAAGCAAAATAGCCTTGTTGAGAATGTTACAGTGGAGAACTATAGATTGGTATTTAATTGGAATTATGATGATAAGAACCCATTTATTACTGAAATATCAGAAGAATAGAATTTTCATTCATGCACATAAAAGTGACAATTTTAATTAAACGTCTTTTTAAAATTTGATCATCACTTTTTATACTCTGGGTGTCACTTTTTTACTACGTTATCATATGAAAGTGATCAGGATTGAGCCATCCTGCATTACTTTCCCAAATACTTATATATCAGCAGTATCGCAATACACCCTCACAATATATAATGATGGCGAAGATACAAATACTCTTACTTGGAGAAGATATTCAACCACATCTGAAGAAGAAAAAGTATCAGAAAAGTTTATCGAGGAAGATTCTACAGACAGAAACGAAAAAGTTGAAAGTCTGCAGTATTTATCCGAAATTTTCGTAGTTGATCAAAAACCATTTGAAGTTTGGCCACATAGCTCTAAACAAATACTAGTTAAATACCAGCCACAACTCGCTCAACCATATAACGAAACAGCTTACCTTCAATCTAATAAATTTGATGAGAGAATACCAGTGCAATTTACAGGTTTAGGACTTCCACCCGATGCAGTCTTTAACGTTAGTGCTGTTAACATCGGACATGTAGTCTTGGATAGTGTTCTCGATTATAAGATCGTTTTACAGAATGTAGGTCAAGTTGACGTCGATTTTAAATATAATAACGATCCAAGTCGATATTTTGTCTTCAATCCATCGTCAGGACATATTCCTATTGGTGCGTCTAAAGAAATTATCGCGACATTTACGGCAAATTTTGTTGGTTCGTTCAATGAAGATTTTGAATTCAAAATTAAAGGGGCAGTCAAGAACTTTCCAAGAGTTAACTTCTATGGAAGGGTTGTTGGTCCTTCTTATACAATAAATACCAAAGCAATTACTTTTGGCGACGTTTCTTTCGGATTTATTCATACAAAAACATTCGAAATCGAAAATAAATCAGATATTCCATTCGATTATACATTTGTACTTGAATACAATGGCGATTTTAGCGGAAGAGAGTTCGCAATTACGCCAATTTCAGAAACAATCGGAAAATACGGAAAACAAACTGTAAAAGTGGAATTTATTCCAACTAAAATACAAAAATACAATCTCAAAATGCATATGAACATCGCACGACTTGGACAAAACCTTGTTTCGATTCCAATTTCAGCAAATTGCATTTCACCAGAAATTTTACTTACAAACGCAACTGTCGATCTCGGAAACGTATTCATTGGCTATCAGTACACTGGCTCTGTTACTTTAGTCGATAATACTGAATTTCCAGCAAAATTCGAATTTGTTGACACGAACGACTCTTCAAAACTACAAGCTGACATCGAAATTGTCAAGCACAATGGACAAATTGATGCCCGCTCCAAGACGGACTTCCAATTCAAGTTCACTCCCCTTCAACTTGGACCATTAAACATTGTTCAGTACATAAACATCCTTGGCAGTGCCGACAAACCACTTTCCTATTGTATAAAAGCTGTTGGCATTGGTCCAGCCATTTCTCTCAGCCAGCAGCAGCTTTCTTGGGGATCAATCCCTGTTCTCAAGAAATACAACCAAAAACTTGTTCTTACAAACAACGGAAAAATCGTTGCCAATTTCAAGGCATCGGTTGAGAGTGAACAAAGTGTTTTCTCATTAAACACATTAAGAGGAACAATCAAACCAAACGAGTCGACAACAATAGAAGTCACCGCTTTCCTCGATGACAACACAGAATTCAAAGGAAAACTCATTTTTGAATTCGAAAACTTGACACCAATCATTGTTCCTTTGAAAGCAAAAGGTGTTGGAACAGCTGTTAGTGCAAGTATTCCTATGGATACAATTGATTTCGGATACATTTACGCCAACCAACAGATCACAAAAACAATAACATTCACGAATAAAGGAAGGAAACCACAAGAAATCAGATTCACTTTGACGAAACCTAGATTAGAAACAGAAGACAAAAACTGTTTCTCGTTCAAAGTCATTCCTGATTCAGAAGTGATTGAAAAGAATGAATCAGCGGAATTCACAATTGTCATGAGTTGCACGAAACCTGTTGGTTTTTCAATGAACATGCAAGTGAATTCATCTCAAGGAAGACAAAGAGAAGAATTGTTTTCTCCTATGGTTAAAGGAACATTTGTCAAACCAAATGTTACTTTCTCAACACAGAACCTGGAATTTAAACATCTCCATGATATTCTAAAAGAAAAAGAATATCTGGAAATGACAGGACAAAAAGTTCCTTCACAAGCTTTGTTGACTGATGAAGAGAAAGAATTAGCAATAACTAATAATTCCAAACTTCCTTTGACGATGACAATTGATTGTCCTGAACCTTTCTCGAGTTCTTTAAATACTTTCACGTTGCAACCAAAAGAATCTGTGAATTGCATTGTTACGTTTTCAACAGCGTTCAAAACAGATTTTGCATGTGAAACAATATTAAAGAAACTCAATATTTCTTTGAAGGATTTACCACAGAAATTAACTGTTAACTTGAAAGGACAAATTGTATTTCCAAACATCGATTTCAATCCAACTGGTTCTGTTGTTTTCGGTTCGATGTTGAAGAACACTGAACAAACTAAAAACATCGTGTTAAAGAATCCAACGGAACTCCCTGCAACTTTGGAATGGGAATTGATGCCTACAGGAGATTCAAAAGTAGATTTGTCGAAGATTTTCGATATTTATCCAATAAGATCAACAATTCCTCCTGGAGGAGAAGATACAATGCATTTCTCTTTCTTCGCAATGAATAACCAAGGAGCGAATGTTACTTACGAAGCAAACGCTGTCTGCAAAGTCGAAGGAGGTCCTGAATATTCAATACCTTTGTTTGGTGGCTCAGCAGACATTTCTTACACAATTGAACCTTTACAGTTGAATTTCGGAAAGAAATCATATTTGACACCAATTACTTCATCAATAAACTTCACGAATACATGTGAAGTTCCTTTGAAATTTGCTGTAAGAGTTCCTAAAGCATGCAAATTAAATCAACTATCATTTACTCCATGCGAAGGAACATTAGAACCACACCAAACAATACAATTAGGTATAAATATCATTACAGGAATGCCAATTGCATATAATGAACAATTCTTTATTCAAATTGGTCACTTTGAAGAAGTTCGAATTGATGTTGAAGTTGAATGTTTCATTCCTCAATTGGAATTCACAATTCCTCGTAGTTGTGATGATCCAACAACTTGTTCAATCAAAGCGAAGAAATCTATAAAGAAACAACCATCTCAGTTTGAAGTGCAAGAAACTAAATTATCTGTTGTCGAAAACGATTTAGTTTACCAGCAATTGCAAAATGTTCCTTTAGTTGGCTCAGTAAGAAGGAAGAGAAAACAAGAACTACAGAAAGAATACGATGGTTTCATTGTTTCTAAATATGATTTCGATCTTGGAAAAATTGTATTTGGTCAAACAAAGGAATTCCATTTGAAATGCAAGACAATTTCACCTTTCCCGCTCTCTTTCACATTAAATACACAATCATTAAGTGGAACAGGATTTTCAATAGAAACATCATCATTTAATAATGTTCCTCCGAATACAGAAATTGATATTCCTATTGTTTTTAATGTCCAAAAGAGAAAGAATAATTGTTTAGGAGAAGTTGAATTTCCAATACCTTTTGTGATGTCTACGGATTTCGCTTTGATTGTTTATCTCAAAGCAAATCTTATAATGCCTGTTATTAACTTATCACAACAACATTTCGATTTCGGAAACGTTGTTGTTGGACAGACATTGATTTTGGCATTGCAACTACAAAATATGAATGAAGTTCCTTGCGAATACAAGTTTGGAGAAGCAGAATACACAAATGTATTGCAAAGGAATGTGATGCAAGGAGTTCCTTCTCCTTACACAGCGAATCCATCCAGTGGAATTCTTCCTCCTTCTTCTTTCATCAACGTCGAAATTGCTTTTGCTCCTAAGTCAGAGAAAAACTTTTCGATGCAATTCCCAATCGAAATCAAACACAACACAAAACCATTGTATGTTACATTAAAAGGAAATGGCATACAATTGAAAGTTGTCTTTGATCCACCATCATTAAAGATGCCTCCAATGATTCCTTATTCAGATTTAACGACAACAACTGTTTTGTTGAAGAATCCAACGAATTATCCAATCGAAGTCATGGCAAATCAATTCGATTTGCAGTTATTAATTGATTCCCTTGAAGCCAAGCAAGCTCAAATGGATAAAGAAAAGAACCAAGAACTCGAAAAGAAGATTAAATCAATGACAAGTCAAGAAAGTCTTGGTCATCCTATGAAAGACGCTTCTGAAGAAATTATGTTCACCAACCAAACGATTTCAAGATTCTCCATTTGTGTAATTGTCAATGGTATAAGTGGAAGTGGAAGAACAACAGTTGCTAAAGCTATTTCTGAATATTTGGATGTTCCTTTGTTAAACCTCAAAGAAGTTTGGGCTGATCTAATTCAAAGTGAAAATAAAAATGGCCCAGATTATACAAATGCAATCAAAGATAAGATAAGTCAACAACGATATGCAAATGGATTCATTGTTGATGGTCTTGATGCATTGCCTGAAACATCAGATACAGATACATTAATCATGCATTGTTTGAAGGCAAAGAATGCAATGGATGATGTTTTCAACAATCCATTGCAAGTCTTCCAACATCAGGAACAAACAGCAGCAGAACTCGCTCTTTCTTATTTGTTGGGAGCTCTCGAAGGTCATTATGTCTTCCAAATTGCTCTTAAAGCAAATATTGATCTGATGAACGAAAGACACTCTCAACAAGAAGTTGTTGAAGCAAAGAAGAAAGAGGAAGAAGCAGCAAGAGAAAAAGAAATGTTATTCCAAATCACAGAGGAAGATTATGCAGCTTTATCTCCAGAAGAACAAGAAGAAGTTGATAAGAAACGTGGTGAACTTCGAAAGAGAATGTTAAGAGGAATTTTGGCAACAATTAAAGAACAAGACACAGAAACAGATAAAAAGAGCAGATCTAAGCATAAACATAGATCATCAAAAGCAGTTGACAAATCAGAGAAATCTGATGAAAAAGAATCAAGTCGATCCAAATCATCGAAACATCATAGATCAAGGAAAGACAAAGATAAAGAAGAGAAAGAAGAAAAGCCAGCCACACCACCAGAAAAAGATGCTCCTGTTGCAGCGAAACCAGAGCAGAAACCAAGAAAGAAAGGTGTTCCTTCAGATCCAACAGAATACGAAATTGCTAGTTACATGTTCTCTTTAGGTTCAATGACAGCAAAAATAAGAGAAGGAATTAATTTCACAGTTATTGATCCTTTGTCAATTATTGGAATGGAATCAAGAGAAGTTTTACCAAAAGTTGAAGAAATTCCACCAGAAAACACACAATCAAAAGAAACTCTTCAACAATCTGGATCTAATCGTGCTTCAAAGTCAAACTTGAGTCAGCCAAACTCCAACCAAATTTCCAAACAAAATCTTATGCAGCAACCAGCTTCAAATGTTGCTTCTAAAGAAGTTATACAAGAAGTCAAACCAGAAGAAGAGGAAAAGAAGGAAGAAATAAAGACAACTCCTCATATTACTCAATTGAACACAATTGTCATTGACATTAACAATGGAGATCCAGAATCAATCAATGAAGAAGCAAAGAGATTTATCCCTCAAATCAACGGATTAAAGAACAAGATTTTCGCAGCTCAAATTCCAGAACAAAGATTAATAATGCCTGAACAAACAACATACAAGAAAGCAACATTATCTCAGATGCCAGATCATTTCTACATCCAACTTGAAACAGAAGATAACGAGAAAATGATACAATGGTTAGATTCTCGTCCATCAACTGTTAGCTCAAATACAGGAGGTAGAAAGAGCCGCACAAAAACAAACAAGAGAGAACCAAGTGTCGTTGATGATTTGGACACTTCAAAGAATACTCCAAGATGGGTAATTGGACCAAACTCAGAGAAAGCATTGACAATTGTTTTCGAGCCAAAATTTGTTGGAACATTTTCCGATAACATCATTTTCACATTGACAAATGGTATGGCTGATACATTTAAACTTCATGTCAGTGGTGAATGTTATTGCCCTGAATTCGATCGCAATCCTAAAACAATGTTCACTAAAGTTGTTCCTCGTTTAGACAAAGGTTGTGAAGGCGCTTTCATTTTGGATACAAATGAATTCAATTTCGGACCTTTGTTAGTGAACAAAGATAAAGGAAATGCAAAGGGAACACCTCAAAATGGACCTTCTCCTTACAAAGGTGTTGCAACTATCACGAATACTTCACAATTCCCAATCGAATTTACTGCTCAAATAACAGATCTCACAGGACACAATGGTTTCTCAATAGAAAATAATAATTTCATTGTGGAGAAAGATCAGTCTTATCCATTCGTGTTCAAGTTCAATGCAACTAATGCTGAGATTTACAAATCTCAAATCAAACTCTTCGCGCAAGATAATCCTGAACCATTTTCTTTCAATGTTTCCGCAGAAGGTTGCATTCCTTGCATTGAACCTTCAACAACATCATTAGACTTCGAGAAACTGTTGTTGAATCAAACAAGAACTCTCAAAGTCGAGTTGAAGAACACTGGATTAATTCCTGCTGCTTGGGCATTCAAGAACATTGCAACATTAGATAAGAACTTTACTTTGAATGCAACAGAAGGAATTATTAATCCAAAGTCAACATTCGTCTTGACAGCGACATTCACTTCAGCGAAGGCTGTCGTTATCAAGAAAGGTTTGACTTTGGAAGTGTCAAATAGAGATAAGACGAAAGCATTTTCTTCATATAATTTCAACTTCCAAGCTGAAGCATTCGAAATCAATGTAGATTTCCAGTTCCCGAAGGGCATGGATTGCTTAGATTTCGGTCCATTGAAGGTTTCACAGCCAAAGACATTGAGTTGCACATTATTGAACAAAGGAAAATATCAAGGAAACTTCAAAGTTCAATTCACGAATCCGAAATTGAACCAGAATTTCCAGATTTCTCCAATGGAAGGAGTTATTCCTCCTGGAAAGACTCCTGCAACAATTTCCTTCACATTTATGTGCAACAAAGTCCAGAAGTTCGTCAATACTAAAGGAATCCAAATTCTTTTGAGTGATGCAACAACGGGAAGCAAAACAGATACTCTTCCAATTTCATTCAACGCTGCAACAATGTACAGCCAATTCACAATTCAGCCGCAGAAGAAGATTGACTTTGGACCTGTAACTGTTTTGAATAATGAAGCCAAACAGATAACATTAACTAACACTGGTGTATTCCCATTCGATTACGAAGTCACTCCTAAACCAGAGAAATTGAATCCTGAAGTAGAAAGCGAAAAAGGATCAACTAAAAATGGAAAGAACACGAAACAAGCGAAAGCTCCTCCTGCAAAGAAGAACCAGAAGAAACCAAACGAAAAAGGAGTTTCTTTCGGACAATTCCTTATCAATCCTTCTTCAGGATCTGTTGCTCCAGGAGCATCTGTTACAATTGATGCAGAATTCAATCCACAAATTCCAGGAAACTCCAATTCTGTCGCGATTTTCAACATCACAGACGCGCCTGCAAATGGTGGAAAGGTTAACTTCTCTCTCATGGGATCAAGCCACATTCCAGGCATAGAATGTACTCATTACGAAAAGATCTTTGCTGGACTGACATTGGCTTTATCTTACGACAGACCGAAGTTGACACAAAATGCTTTCATTGAAGACGAACAAACTTTAGTTTTCATGCCAATTGTTGTTGGAACGAAATCCAAGGTTACCGCCAAAATTATTAACAACCAACCAATTCCATGTTCTGTTGATTTATCTGTGAAACCGAAGGCCAAAGCTTCTGGACAATTCCCATTCGATGTCAGCGAGAAAACACTTAATTTGAATGGAAACTCAGAAGCAACATTTGATGTCACGTTTTCTCCAAGTGGAGTTGACAAATTCCTTGGACAATTTGAAGCCAATGTAAAGAATGGAACTGATGCAGCCACTAAATGCCTCAAGTTCTCTGTCGAAGGTGTTGGTTCTCTACCACAGATTTCTCCTGTTGGTCTTGATAAACCAGGCAAGAATTCCTCAGTTTATCAAATCAACATGGGTAAAACATTGGTTGGATTTTCACGCCAGAAATCAATTGTTGTCAAGAATGATGGGGTTATCTCAACGAAATTGCAGATTTCCGCGAAGCCATCTCCTGATTTCGAATTAGTTGGAATTGATGCAGGAACTACATACAACATTGATCCAAACAGAATGTTGGATTTGCCAATAATGTTCTCTCCTTCTAAAGTGAGGAAATGTCAATTCGAAGTCACTGTTACTTTGGTTGACAATCCAAAGGGTTCTTTGAACTTTGTTGTCAACGCTGAAGGCTTCAGCGAAGACATCGTTTTAGAAGGAGTCAAAGGCGAAGACGAATTAATGATGCCTGATACAGTTGTTGGTCGCCAGAATTCTGTTGTTTTCACAATGAAGAATGTTTCACCAGCAGATATCAGATTCCAGTGGCAAGCTCATCCTGATTTCACTTTCTCTCCTTCTGTAGGACACTTGAGACTCGGAAAATCTAAGGAAATCACAATTTCTTACTTCTCCGACAAGCCTGTCAAACATCAAGGAACCAAGATTGCCTGCACATGGACAAGAATCAACTTAGCAGCTGCTAATTCTCCTGATTGGGATGATTCGATGAAAGTTGTTAAATTTGTCCAGAAATCTGTTCTCGAAGCAATGCAGCAACCACAAGAGGAAGAAGTCAAAGAAACTAAACCAGGAAAGAATGGAAAGAGACAAACATCATCAAGAGGATCTGTTAGAGGTTCCCATGCTGATGTTAAAGCAGCTACGCAAGCAAAGGATTCTCCATTACAACAGCAGCAAGCTAAAGATCCAAAGAATGATGGTGACACATTTGTTAAAGTTATTGAAGTTAAACCAGAACCAGAGAACACAATACAGCCAAATAGCAAGCCTAATAGCATGGCTATCAAGGTCTTTGCTATTTCAGATTCAATCAAATATGTAATTGACACGAATGAAGTCAACTTCAGTCCAACAATGATGTTTGAAACTCGTTCGGCAGATGTTAAAATTACAAATCCGACGACAATTAGATTTGATTATTCCTGGAGAATCTCAGAATTCAAGTCCCTCAGAAGTGATTATCTTACTACACATGGATATCCTCTTAAAGTTTCCCCACACACAGGTTTCATCGAACCTGGTGGTTCAACAGTTTTCCATATTGTTTTCGCTCCAATGGAAGTTGATGATTTCACGGCATCATTGACATGTGATATTCCATTTATCCAGACCCCTCCACCTCAAGTCAAAGTCACTGGTCTATCAAGACGTCCTTTGTGCCACTTCAATGTTCAATTATCAGACTATCTCACAAGAAGACATCCGGATTATTCTTACAAGTTACCAACAGATGTCAAAGTCATCGAAATCTTTGCGAAGAAAGTCGGTGCAAAAGCTATGTACAGATTCGAAGTTATCAATCCTACATCCACTCCTTACGAAGTTACTTTCTCGAGAGTTGACAATGGAGAACCTCTCGCAAACAAAGTTAATTGCGAAACTCCAAATGCTTTACTTTCGAGTGGAAAAAGATTCACCGCTGCTTTCTCCTACATTCCGGATTCTCACAAGACAATAGAGAGCCTCTGGGAATTCAGAATTGGAGGACATGATGGTGTTGTAACAATTCTCGTAGTTGGCAGAATTATGCCGCAATAAATAAAATTTTTGTTTTTTATTATTTAAATTAAGCCATGATTTTTACTGTAATGTGCTTTCAAGAATAAATAATGATTGAAAAATGTGATTATGTTGTTGAACTCTCATTTTTGAAATTATTGTTTTTTTGAATCTGAATTTAATGGGGCGGCGACAAATTTGCCCAGCCAGTAAAGTATTCAATTTTTTTTTGCATTTTTTTTAAAGCTTCTTAACTTAAATCATGGAATGTCTCAAAGACAAAAGTAGCATACAGCATGTAAAGCTAAAGAAAGATAATCATAATTAATACCTTAATTTTTAATATTACGCATTTTTAGGTGCAAAATTTAAAAACATTCTAATACAATAGAGCAGTTTCCAAAAGTAGCATACAGCATGTAAAGCTAAAGAAAGATAATCATAATTAATACCTTTAAAGTTTAAAATCTTGATTTTTTTTAAAATCAAATATTTATAACTTTAATACATACAGCTTAAACCTTATACTTGTTTTCTCTTGTGAGAAAGCAATCTTACAAAGCTAACAATCCTAAAAAATAAAGAATTAAAATTTAATAATTTAATCTAACAAAATTTCTCTCTTTATCCTTTTGCACTCTTTATATGCAACTCAAATCCATCATATAATATTCCTATAATACTCTTGCCTCAAACAATGACGAACAAACTGCTATTCTCATTTAATTACAGACCAAATCTATTCAAATTTCTGAATTTTTAATTTTCATTTCAATTTCAAATGGAATTAGAAGAAGAAACTATCTTTACTGTTATGGATCTTTGTAAATTTGGAGTTAAACAAGAAATACAAGCACAGTATGAGTTAGTATACATATCTTCAGTACGGTGGCACTGCGCGTCATCTTACCGAAGTTATGTCAATCTGACACTTTACAAAACCACTAACGTATATTTTACATCGCATATGCAATATTTCTAATAACCTTAAACTATTTCTGCCACGTAAAGTATTTATCACATAAACCACTTCATCTCACCTCTCTGTACGTTATATATTGTGCGCAGGTCATTGCCCATGGCAACTCCCCGCGACACAATGCACGTGCATGAAAAAATAAACGTTCTCACTAACGTTCTCACTAACGTACACACTAACGTTCACACTAATGTTCTCATTTACAAGAGTATGCTACTCCTCCCATTGCTGTGCTTCACACAATAGTTCATATTCTTCAGTATCGCTGCTGTCGCTCCAATCGTCAGAGTCAAAGTCGCTGTCATAATTAATGTTTATAAGTTTTGACAAATGTAATGAAACACGCTTACCGTTTGTATCTACTGCTTGTATAAACTTTCCATTATGTTTGCTATCATAAATGCTTAAACTAACTTTACCCTTTCTCCCTCGTATCTGATAGAATGTATTCTCACGCGGAACGAAGAACAAATTCTTGAACTCATGACCGTTGTAGTTTGTTATCTCAATAGTTTTCGTCATTTATATAAAAATAAATGATATCACCACCCTCACACGTATGAAAACATAGCACAAAAATAAATTTAGGGTAGAAGGTTAGATCTAACCTGATTTCTAACCTCATTTCTACCCTGTTGAATTCATTGCTTTATAACTCTCTTCCTTTCTCCAACTCTTCTAGCTTCTTCCTAAGTTCAGCAATGTTGTCCTCATGAAGTTTAAGGATGGGCACTCATTAGGGTGATGAAAAAAATCAAGTCTAGCAAAGTCAATATATTAAAAACAGTGAAGACTATTATATAGCATTATAGTGCACAAGCTCAAATATTTAGTGATGCATTTCTCGAACTTATTTTATTTATAAGTTAACCTTGAAACATGAATTTTAGTATATTATGAGCATATTTTTTTCTAATTTTGCAATACTTATAATATCATACCAGGATTCATGTGGAAGTCTAATATTTGGTATATAATATTCTTACAATAAATGTATTAATTCAATTATATTCAAAATGATGGGTCGCAATTTTTACTGAAATTGCAAATTTAATTTCAACAATGAAATTATTGTTTAAAAAAAATAGCACAACAGCAAGATGGACAATCATATATAGAATTATAATGCTCCATATAATGCTTGGATTTGATGCGTATATAATGTTATTTTTCGAACATCTTTGTAAAAAATTGATTTTTGTAATTTTTGAAAAAATTCGATTTTATTTCGAGATTTCCTCTATAGGTGAAGTATATTGAACAATATTCCTATGGGAGAAAATAATTGTAAGTATGAGTACTTTCATTAATACTATGGGTGCCATGGTTATCGCTCAAACGATCAAGTTATATCTCGATTGCGTAAATTGAAATTTTGCTATTTTCTAAATTCACGGCAACAACATTCTTTTATCCTGATCGTACATCACAATATTTGAATGTGCGACCATTTGTTCAAGAAACCGTCAAGTTATTCTTCATTTTTCATGCCGCGGCGAACAAAAGCAGTTGCAAAGCGTATAAAGAACTTAGTTCAAAGCGCGAAAAATAGGGTAGAGCCATATGTCGTCAACACTGTTGAATTTGTGCTATCTGTATTATTGAGCGGCGCTACATTTTGCCAATCAGAATTTCAATTCATGCTGAATAACATCAAAGTTCCGTCAGAAGCTACATTTCATCGAGTCCAAGAAAAGGTTGGTCGTGTTATCATAGAAGTTGCCAGAGAATCTGTTAATTATTGGAAATCTCGAATGAGAAAATGTTCGGGACTTTTGTTTGACGGTTCTTGTGTTGTAAACAGAAATTCATCAAAAGTGACACCTCAGAAAAGCTAAAATATTGAATTTTTGGAACTTTTGATAGAGCACGTTTTTAAATATTAATTAAAGTAAATGTATATTTTGTAAAGATTCTTTTTAATAAAAAAATAAAATTTTGAAGAAGAACACAAAATCTTCTGAAAAATAATATCACATAAACTCATATTATTTTCTAATATATAACTATTTTATATAAAAATCAAATTCAATGATCTTAAAAGCGAAGGATAAACCTCAAAATTTACGAATATAATGAGTGGGAATATAATGCTTATCTATCATAAAACCATATGAAATATCAATTTTTGCTTTACGCCTAATTTTTGACGACAATTAGCAAAAAATGTTAAATGTTAACACTCAGTCCATTTGAATATGAAAAATAAAATTGACTTTGATTAAATGTTTTTATTTATCATGCAATTCTTCTTGCGACCAAAGATTTGAATAAAATTTCAAAAAATAAGATAGCTTAAAAAATAATATACGGTAGTGTTTACTAATAGATGAATAGTATATAAATTCTATTAAAATGGATTTGATCCAAAAAAATATATAAAATTTGATCATAAATAAAATCGTTTTAAATTACTTCTTCATTTAAATTATAACAATTATTTTTGGTTTTATATTTTTTTGGATCAAATCCATTTTAATAGAATTTATATACTATTCATCTATTAGTAAACACTACCGTATATTATTTTTAAGCTATCTTATTTTTTGAAATTTTATTCAAATCTTTGGTCGCAAGAACTATAGTTCTTTATGACAATATTGTTTGTCGTTCGTGAGTCAACATTTGATGTTGGTTCAATTGGAACATTAACGGCACCAGCTAAGATGGATTTGCTTCTCATTTCATATAGAATAAAAACCTTTTATATGTATGAAATGAACAATATACTCGACAAGGGTTTGAATGTAAAGCTAACGAATGAAAATATTGTTGAATTCACTGAGACAGGAGCTGTGTATAAAGATGTAGAACTACTGAACAAAAGAGCTAAGGGAAGAAGCAGGAACATGAACAAAGGGTGGAAGCCTATAAAAATTTATGTCAATGATGGCTCAGGAGGTTCAAACATAAAGTATGCAGAAAGTTATAGAGTTTATGCTCTCAAAGGTGAAAAGCCTTCATTTAAGAACAGCTATTCTAACGCATATCCTCAAAAGCTAACGGATGGGGAAGTGGATGATATGAATGACAGCAAAAATATTAACAGAAATGGCGACAGAGATGCATGGAATTTGTTTACCATCAGTCAATTGAAGGTTAAACTTTAAAACAATGTTGGTCGTTCCCATGGAATATTTTTGACTTTAATGGTATTAGTCATGATATGAATCTCAAGGTATGAACGAGGAGAGATGAGAGACTTATATGCTTCCCAAATTTCTTCAAAAGGTAATGTTATACCTGACTGTTTCCAAATGAGTTCAATATCATAGCGTGAGAAACCTTGAAAGATAACGAAGTCAGTTATGAGACGTTTTATGTTTAAAGCTAAAAACCTCCATGTTTGCATAAGTATTGCTACAGTTAAATGGTAATGTCTGACTTTAGTTATGATGTTAGCTAATGGTGAGTCTGGTTTTGAAACTAAACCTTTTCCGGCGAAGTCGTCGCAAACGAGCAGAGTGTTTGAAGGATATTTTTTGAAGGGGTATTTTGAAAGTTTTGATAGAATGTAGTTTGTCAGTCGTTTCATATCGTAAACTCCTGAGTACTGACGTAAGTGGTGTTTGTCAATAATTCTTTCCATCTCCTCAGAAGTCTTTTGCATTCCTGACTGTATAAATTCAACGATGGCATAATATCTCCTCTTACGTCGAATGTAACGTTGAAGAAATTCAATGAGTTCACTGTCTGGAACTTTAACGACAGAGGCTTGAACTTTTGACATAAATGTTTTCGCTGTTGAGTCCATAGAGTCTGAAGTTGCTGATATAATGATTTGGTCATAGTAAGAGTCGTTTCCTAAACGCTCTGTTATGAGTATATGACGAATGAGGTTAAATGTCTTACCTGAACCCATCTTTCCACAATAGAAATACACACCATTTGAACAGAACTCATAATCTTTGCTGAAAGGAAGAATAAGAGAACTGTTGAGCTTTTCACTGCTTTCATTCATGTCTTCATCTACGTCATGTATTAAATGCTTCATTTTATCTCCATTAAAAATGCAAGTCAGAAATATTCAGAACATAGCACCGAGTCTAACTGACAAGAGTATAAAGATATACTATGAACACGTTATGATGAAACCTACCAAAATTCAAGAAAGTCAGTATACTTATGAATATCCAAGACACTGGGTAGAGTATGTAGGAGGTGAGAAAGCTATTGAAATCAGACAGGTTCGAAGTATTCCAGCAGGAAGAACAATATTATTGAAGAACTTTAATGTTTTGAGGTATAATGATGAAACAAAGAAGCAAGATAGTTTCCCTGTTGCTGTGTATGTGAACTTAGATACAGGAGATGACATGAAAGTTTTTAATACAAAGCTTCAAACGGTAGTGAGAGAACAACTGGCTGCGGAAGGACATCCATTACCTTCAGAAGTTACCATAGCATATAATTTTGAAACAAACTCAATAGATTTTAAAGTCATCTCTGCAAAGAAGTCAGGTTTTACATTTAATGAAGCAGATGTATATTCTAATGAAAACTTCAAAGCTATTGCATGGTTAGATAGTTAGTATACCTAAGTCGTGTATGGTGGCACTACGTTCCACATTACCCAATACTTGTGAATTTGACACTTTACAAAACCGTTAACGTATATTTTACAACACAAACACAAAAACTAACTTAACCTTAAATATTTATAAAGCCGCCAACCACTTCACCTCACTAATGAAAAAATAAACGTTTTCACAAACGACTTCACTAATGTAAAAAATAAACGTTCTCACTTACAAAAGTATTGCAACTCCTCCCATTGCTGTGCTTCACATAACAGCTCATAATCTTCTGACTCACTTTCTTCTTCATATAGGTCAAAGTCACTGTCAAAATGAATGTTAGTAAGTTTTGACAAAGCTAATGAAACACGTTTACCGTTTGTATCGTATGCTTGTATAAACTTTCCATTCTTCATTCCTTCATAAACGCTCAAACTAACTTTACCCTTTCTCCCTCGTATCTGATAGAATGTATTTTCACGAGGAACGAAGAACAAATTCTTGAACTCATGACCGTTGTAGTTTGTTATCTCAATAGTTTTCGTCATTTACATCCAAATAAAATAAAAAATAAACTTAAAAATTAATGATCTCACCACCCTCACACGTATGAAAACATAGCACAAAAATAAATTTAGGTGAAGTGGTGAGATCTCACCTCTTTTTTCACCTCTTTTTTCACCCACTTGAATTCATTGCTTTATAACTCTCTTCCTTGGTTTCTTTTTAGTTGCTTTCTTCACGTCTGTCTCCAACTTGACTGTCTTTCTTCTTCGTCCGTAATGATACCAGTTACTTCCACCAGTCAATGGGTCAAATGGTCTTTCGTAAGGGTTTCCATACATTCCATAGGGACCATACGGAAGAACTACTGGTGGAGAAGAAACATTTTCTTTAGTTCCATCGAATCTATTTAAATGCATTGTTTCACCTTTCATCTGGTCATTAAAGTCTTTTGCGTGTTTTGCAAACTCATCGTCCTTTCCTAAAGCATTTTCTGACTCAGTCGCAACCAAATTAGATGCTTTATTTATGAGCCCTATTTTATTTAATCTTAACTTCTTTGCAACCCAGCCTCCAATCTTCCCTTTATTTGCATCTAATGTCTTCGAAACCCTTCCTCCACTCATTTTATTTACTGCGTCATAAGCTCCAAGTGCTTTTGCTCCAAATGCTAATGCTTTTGTTCCCATTGCGCCTAAAGCTGCCCAAGCTACCATTTACACCATATTAAAATCATCTCTCTTCAATATTATCTCATAAAAGTTCTCGTTACTGGAGAAAGTCAATGAAGCATAAACGTTCTCACGGGCTTCGCCCTCACCGCTTTGCGGTCTATCTAACTTCTTTCTTATCTCATCTATACGCTTCAAAATGTCTGAACAATTGCTAACATCTTCTACAACAGTTATTTCATCATGAATGACCTTCAAGAACAAGCTCATTTAATATGCTATTAAAATCATCTCAATAATGAGTCCATCCTTTCCATCTTTAGGTAGCACAACATCTTTCATTGAAGAAGGTTCGACAAGTCTTATGTTAAACTTACTGACAAAGTTTGTTATACTATAATGCTTCGGCGGCGAATACATGTAGTTTGAAAGACATAATATAGATTCTTCAGCAAATTCACTTATACTGGATTTTATAACAATGTTCTCACGAGACCAAATACCACCAATTGACAATCTTGTAAGCAATCCTGCTGAACCTTCTACTGTAAATGTCGATGGTAACATTCCACGAAGGTCATCTATTGACATCGTTGAGTCACTGTATTTAAATATTTTCTTAAAGCAATCGTCATTATCTAACCATGCAATAGCTTTGAAGTTTTCATTAGAATATACATCTGCTTCATTAAATGTAAAACCTGACTTCTTTGCAGAGATGACTTTAAAATCTATTGAGTTTGTTTCAAAATTATATGCTATGGTAACTTCTGAAGGTAATGGATGTCCTTCCGCAGTCAGTTGTTCTCTCACTACCGTTTGAAGCTTTGTATTAAAAACTTTCATGTCATCTCCTGTATCTAAGTTCACATACACAGCAACAGGGAAACTATCTTGCTTCTTTGTTTCATCATTATACCTCAAAACATTAAAGTTCTTCAATAATATTGTTCTTCCTGTTGAATACTTCGAACCTGTCTGATTTCAATAGCTTTCTCACCTCCTACATACTCTACCCAGTGTCTTGGATATTCATAAGTATACTGACTTTCTTGAATTTTGGTAGGTTTCATCATAACATGTTCATAGTATATCTTTATACTCTTGTCAGTTAGACTCGGTGTTATGTTCTGAATATTTCTGACTTGCATTTTTAATGGAGATAAAATGAAGCATTTAATACATGACGTAGATGAAGACATGAATGAAACTACAGACAAACTTAACTCTTCTCTCATTCTTCCTTTCAGTAAGGACTATGAGTTCTGTTCAAATGGTGTGTATTTCTATTGTGGAAAGATGGGTTTCAGGTAAGACATTTAACCTCATTCGTCATATACTCATAACAGAGCGTTTAGGAAACGACTCTTACTATGACCAAATCATTATATCAGCAACTTCAGACTCTATGGACTCAAACAGCGAAAACATTTATGTCAAAAGTTCAAGCCTCTGTCGTTAAAGTTCCAGACAGTGAACTCATTGAATTTCTTCAACGTTACATTCGACGTAAGAGAAAATATTATGCTATTGTAGAGTTCATACAGTCAGGAATGCAAAAGACTTCAGAAGAGATGGAAAGAATTATTGACAAACACCACTTACGTCAGTACTCAGGAGTTTACGATATGAAACGACTGACAAACTACATTCTGTCAAAACTTTCAAAATACCCCTTCAAAAAATATCCATCAAACACTCTGCTCGTTTGCGACGACTTCGCCGGAAAAGGTTTAGTTTCAAAGCCTGACTCACCATTAGCTAACATCATAACTAAAGTCAGACATTACCACTTAACTGTAGCAATACTTATGCAAACATGGAGTTTTTAGCTTTAAACATAAAACGTCTCATAACTGACTTCGTTATCTTTCAAGGTTTCTCACGCTATGACATTGAACTCATTTGGAAACAGTCAGGTATAACATTACCTTTTGAAGAATTTGGGAAGCATATAAGTCTCTCATCTCTCCTCGTTCATACCTTGAGATTCATATCATGACTAATACCATTAAAGTCAAAAATATTCCATGGGAACGACCAACATTGTTTTAAAGTTTAACCTTCAATTGACTGATGGTAAACAAATTCCATGCATCTCTGTCGCCATTTCTGTTAATATTTTTGCTGTCATTCATATCATCCACTTCTCCATCTGTTAACTTTTGAGGATATGCGTTAGAATAGCTGTTCTTAAATGAAGGCTTTTCACCTTTGAGAGCATAAACTCTATAACTTTCTGCATACTTTATGTTTGAACCTCCTGAGCCATCATTGACATAAATTTTTATAGGCTTCCACCCTTTGTTCATGTTCCTGCTTCTTCCCTTAGCTCTTTTGTTCAGTAGTTCTACATCTTTATACACAGCTCCTGTCTCAGTGAATTCAACAATATTTTCATTCGTTAGCTTTACATTCAAACCCTTGTCGAGTATATTGTTCATTTCATACATATAAAAGGTTTTTATTCTATATGAAATGAGAAGCAAATCCATCTTAGCTGGTGCCGTTAATGTTCCAATTGAAACCAACATCAAATGTTGACTCACGAACGACAAACAATATTGTCATAAAGAACTATAGTTCGGAGTGTTGAAAGAAAAAGAACCAGAACTTAAGTCGGGAGGGCTCAAAGAGCCCATCATGGCGCATGGCGCCGTGAATTTAAACACAGCTTCAAACGCTAACGCTACATCAGATGTTAAGTTAGAGTATCCACCACTGGACCAAATTCTTTCAAGAGAAGCCAACGACAACCCTTACATAAATGTTCAAACAAATCCTTCAGATAACGTAGACCATTACCTTCTTCAGTTATACCAAACAATTTTACTCAAAGACGATAAGAAGCTTTTGACAAATCTTATAAGTAAGAACCAAATAATTCTAACAAAGGAGGACCTTGAAAATGTTATCTCACGAATAACAGGGAAACAATGTGTCATTGACTATCTCGACCCTGAAATCGAATGCTGTGGTCAAACGCCACCATTCATGAAAATAGGTAACATCCGCATCATTGAAACACCAGGAACTACAGGAGTTGAGTTTAAGTATAAATATTCGAACGAATATACAAAACTTTCAACAGAATATAAACTTTGTTTGAAATATGTTTTAGTAAATTAAAGCAATTTGTAATATCTATCCAAAACTTCTTCAACAGTATCGAACTCATCTTCATAATGCAAACCTAATCTTATTGACTTGGTGCAGTTTTCACTAACACAATATTTTTCTGTTCTCTTGACTGACATAACTAACTCATTTGTTTCATCAAACAGCAACAACCAAAGTTCATGACCTAATACATAACATTCATACTTTATATTTTTAGCTCTGAGTTCTCTTGTAAGCTGTTGCATTTAATATTTTCTAAAAAGTCAACTTCAACAGTCATTCGCACTGGTGCCTTCAGTTCTACAGGCTCTCCTTGAAAGTCAACAAGTCTGAATTGCATGTCTTTCAAATTATGAGGACTAATGCGAACCCATTTACCTAAATGAGTTGCTATGACAGGAACGTTTGGAATGAACATTGAATTGACTGCATAACAGAAAGATTTATACTCTACTGAACCTTTACTATTAACTCCTGAAATGCCTGTGACATTAGCTATTTTAGACTCAATGTATAAACAATTACCATAACATACGTATGGAACAGATTTCATCTCAATCGTTTTGTCAACACTTTTCAAAGGAAATGTCATATGGTATGCACCCAAAAGAAGTTGTACTCTATGACTCATTCGTGTTATCTTGAACTCCTTCGCATAACTGAACTTCAAAACTCCTGCAATAAGTTTAACATTCATTAAGTTTTCTTCGTTATCCTTGTTTATTGTAGTACTTATGAGAGCATTTAACACTCCAGCTAATGTTTCCATCTTATATTCTACATTATTGTGAAATCTTATTTCATGCTTCTTTCCATCTATTTCAAACTCCATGAAATCTGTTTCATCAGTTATAACGAATGAAGCGATAGTATTGAAGTCAACCATTCTGAATGCAAGTGGCTCATTCTGTAGACCTAAGTTTGTTTGTAGCTTTACTGTCCCGTATTCGTTTGGGTCTGTACTTTGCAAATAGAACAACATTTTATTCTCATTAAAATATGAGTATAGCTGCATATGCGTATGAAGCTGACAGAGCTAAACGTTTATATTTTGGTCAATACTCTCTCACACTTACTGACAAATATATTGTTATCAGTGATGGAAATACCGAGAAATACATAACATGGAAGGACTATGAAAAGTTTGACCCTATTTTAACTCCATGCACTATGCCATTCATTGTAAATGGTGAAGTTGTCATGAAGAACGACACAACAGTATATAAGTCTGTTCATGAAGCATTAGAATATATGTTGAATCATAACCCAAAAAGATTCGATCCAAGCACTACACCATGTGCAATGCCTTTTATTAAGGACGGTGAAATCGTAAGAGTTCCGGATTCAACGGTTTACACAGCTGTTCAAAACAGTTTACAAAACATTTTAGCGAATATCTTTAATTCAGAAACTACAGAAATGAAATTACCATATATAACAGATGCTAAAGAAATTAAATCAAAAACGACAACATTATTTACGTCACTTAATGATTTAATGACTTATATCATTAATATTCCTGCACCAACTACAGGATTTGATCCAAACTCGACGGTTTGCAGTGTACCTTTCATAAAGTCGCAAAGCGACCAGGGCGAAGCCCATGACAGTTCATTAATTGCTTTAAGGGATTCGACAGTAAATGAATCATTAAAGGCGTCATTAATGAAAATCATTGATTTTAACTCATTCATGAATACATATAATTCATTCATTAATGTTTCATATGCTTCTAAAGAAGGTGAGCCAAAAACTATCAATAAAGCGGTGTATGAAATAAAAGCATCAACGACGAAATTGAATTCGTTAACTTTTGACGGTGATAGTTTCGTTAATGACATAACATCAGGGAAAACAATTTTAACGAAAGAATATTTAAAATCTCATGTTAGTGAGTTCGTTGAAATTGAAAAAGAAGGTGGAATTAAGTTCGATCCACTGAATTTCATTTTCAGCTTAGCGAATGCAGGAATTAATTTTGCTGAATGGACAACTATACAGAGTGAAATAAATGCAATATGGACGTTTTTGGGGTCAAAAGCGGGCATGGGTGAGCTTGTAAATGCTGCAAGAACATTAGGTGAAACAGGAAATTTTGTAGATGGTTTTAAAAGACTTGTTTCAAATGTTTTAACAAACACAAAGAAATTATTTAGATATACCATACATAACGGTCAGATTTTCGAACAGGTAGCAACAAACCCTCCGGTTATGGCTGCGTTGATGATGGTTAGAGATATAAAACCACGTAACGACGGGAACGAAGAACATGAACAACAGGATACTGGTCGGGTTATTCGAGACATTAAAAACGTGTATCCTGAAGTTATTGATTTATTTAGAGGAGTTAATGATTCAATTTCAAAACATTCTATAACCCTCGATGAAGAGAATAAATTAACAGATTATATATTCGTCATTATTGCAGAATTAATGAAGAGAATAAATGAAAAAGGAATTGGTGATATCATTAATGTCAGCGATGTAATGATGAAAAGAAATTTTGACTCATTATTTACAAACCGAAAACAGAATATAGTCTTTATGACGTAATTACCGAATTAATGAAAAAGATTAATGATAATAAGAGTTCTGGCGGAAGAGTTGAATTAGAAGTGAATGATATTAATGAGAAATTAGCCGAAAAAGCAAACAAAAATGAGCTTTTAGCTCTGAGTGATAAAGTCAAGAACCACGTTCATTATATAACTTCAGACGAATAGATTATAACGGACTACCATGGATATTTAACACGAAGTGATGAAGCGAAGACAAAAAATGTTAATGAAAGAAGATATAAATACATTCGTGCTAAAGGTTATGACATAAGCTGTACTGTACAGTATGATGTAGCTAAAGCACCAGAAGCATTTGGTTATACGGTGAAATTTATGCCTCTACTTTCAATGTTAACGGTGTATTAGTTGAACCAAGATTTACTTTGAGAGTTAAGTCAAAAATAACGTTTGAAGATGCTATTAAAAGTAAAGCTGACAAAGTTGAACTCGAAGCAATGAACAAAGTTTTGAAATCTCATAAACACAGCATCTCCGATATAAATGAACTTCAAGCTACATTAGACAGTAAAGCTGACAAGAACCATACACATAAATCCTTCACTACTGTTAGAGCAGACGACATAATATTGAACTATACCCTTGGTTCAAGTGCACCATTAGAAAATCCAAGTACAAGCGTAAAAGATACACTAAACTCCTTAAATAGTAAATGTATGAACATTGAAGGTCATGCCAGAAACTTTGAAACCCATGAACTACCAGCAATGTTAGACAGTAAAGCTGACAAGAACCATACACATAAATCCTTCACTACTGTTAGAGCAGACGACATAATATTGAACTTTGACCTTGGTTCAAGTGCACCATTAGAAAATCCAAGTACAAGCGTAAAAGATACTCTTAACAATTTAGATAAGAGTTGCAGGAATATTGAAGATCATGCCAGAAACTTTGAAGCATATGAACTACCAGCAATGTTAGATAAGAAAGCTGACAAAACAGAGCTTCAAACATTAAAGACAGAAATACTTCAAACATTATATCCTATAGGTTCTATTTATACGTCAATGAACTCAATAAATCCAGCAACAGTTCTGGGTTTCGGTACGTGGGAACAGATTGTAGATAAATTCTTATACTGTGCTAGATATTCAAAGCAAACAGGAGGTTCGAAGAAAATTACTGAAGCAAACCTTCCACCGCACACTCATACAGGAACTACAAACTTTTCTGGCGACCATAGCCACTCATTAAGAGACCACCCATTATACAACTCAGAGTATGAAGCTGGCAATGACGTTTTATCTCCATCTTATAACAATGCAGCAAAAAAGACTTTTCGACCAACTAACCAGGAGGAAATCATTCACATACTTTCACAACAAATCCAACAGGCTCGGGTGCAGATTACATGCCACCATTTGTGACTGTATTTGCATGGTACCGCGTTCAATGAACGCGCTTGAGCCTTGAATAAAATCTTTAACTTTACATAAATGAGCTTGAAAGAAGTATTCGAACAACATCCATGGAGGTCATTTAAGAAGTTCAATGAAGCTGCAAAGAGTTGGGGATTTACTAACAGAGCTGAAGTGAAAAGGTTCTTTGACAAAAATGTTGTACATCAAACAAAAATAAACCCTTACGACTACTTTTTACCAATTTACTCCAACGCTCCTGACGCATACCAATTTGACACTCTCATTCAAAGCAGAAAAGGAGGACATAAACCATTCCTCATCTTCATAAATGTTAACACTCGTAAAGCATATGCATATCCAATGAAAAATAAAGGAACTCGTGAAGTTTTAAGAGTTTTGCAGACGTTTCGTGCAGAACATAACCCAAGTACTTTAACATCAGACCAAGACAGTGCATACCTCAGCAATGAAATCACAGAATTTCTCATTAAGCATAACATAACTCACTACACTACTGAAGACCATAACCATAACATACTCGGCATCATAAACCGCTTCATAAGAACGCTCAGAGATTTAAACCAAGAGCGAGACTTTACCGAAGAAACAATGAAACATTTTCTCGAAGTATATAATTCCTCAACACATTCTACAACAGGACATACACCAAATTCAATGACACAACAACAAGAAGAAAAGTATATACAAAAGAAACGAAGTCAAACACAAAATATCAGAAATTCAACACAATTTACCCTCATTCCTGGTACAAAAGTTCGTGTAGTTCTTGACGACAAACCGTTGACAAAGAAACGTTTAAGGTTAAGTCGAAATTATTATATCGTAGACTCTACGCAAGGTAATGGATATCTTATAAAAGCTGCTGACGACTCTATTGCGTTTTATCCTCGTCATAAATTAGTTGAAAGTAGTAATGGCAAACTTGCTGAAACCATTGACGAAGCAAAGCGAGGAGTGGTTATTGAAATACTTGACTACAACATAAACGATGACACTTATAAAGTAAGATATGAAGGAGGCGTTGAAGATGTTATACCATCTAAGAACTTGAGAGAGTCGAAGCCAACACATCTGGGTCCATTAGAGCGGGAGTACTGGAAAGACAAAAATATACCAGAAAGAATAAGAAAATTCTTCTAAACTTTTTCATTAGATGTAAATCAGACAAAATATATTTTAGGTGAAGAGGTGAGATCTCACCTGTTTTTTCACCTGTTTTTTCACCCCCGTGAATTTTCATGAATTTTGTGTGTTTTCACAAAAGACCAAAAATAATGTTTAGGTGAAGAGGTGAGATCTCACCTGTTTTTTCACCTGTTTTTTCACCCCCGTGAATTTTCATGAATTTCCTTAAGACAGAAAAAATAAAGTTAGTTTTATTTTTATTTATTTTTTTATTTTGTATAAAAGATATGATTTCAACAATCGGCACAACAACAATTCAAACAACAGCACCAAACTCGTTAGTCATGAATCCAACATCTATGTTAGTAGAGATGAAAAACTTCATTCCTTCTTCATTTACTTTCGAAACAGAAATACAAAGAATAAAGCAAGAACTTTTAACAAGTAATTTAGACTGTACCGCACAGGATGAAGAAAATGAAGAATATCTTTATGACATGCAGGACATTATTGACCATTTACCCAAATTGCCTGAAATCCAACAGCAAAAACTAACTATTCCTGAATTCGACGAAATTGAAGTTAAAGTTACTGATTCAGTAGAAATAAAGAAGTTCATACGTAAAGTAAATTATGAATTCCTTGGTTTTCATTGCAACCATAAAGTTATGGACAAAGATTGCGACATGGTTTATAAAAACATTTCTGACATATATAAATCTGAGGAGTTTAAGACTTACGATAACTTTGTTTCATTAGTTGCAAAATGTGTTTGGGAAATAAGAGATAAAGATAGAAGAGGCAAAGTATGGAACGAACAAATAAGACCCGCTATGTTTGAGATGAAGAGAGCAATTGACGCTTTAGTTGTTTTAGCTGGTTTTATTTCAATGTATAACGCAAAAACGATGCCGCAATGTTCAAAATGTAAAGCAGGAATAAGAAAATATAACTACTCAGTCAAAGAGATAGAACGTATGCGAAACGACTATGCAGACTTAAAGAAAGAAGCAGAAAAGCCAGCAGAAGATAAAATGGACATGTTAGCATTTCTGAACAAAAACTATCCAACAGCAGAAGATTTCCTTCTGTCTGACGTCAAGAAGAAGTATAAAGAAACCTTCGGTATTGTTAAAACTTTTGACATACTGACAGAAGAAATAGAAGCTACGAAATTGTTTAGGATTTCAAATATACATCGTACAATTCATGTAAAACGCTTGTGAAAAAACAGGTGAAAAAACAGGTGAGATCTCACCAAACAGGTGAGATCTCACCTCTTCACCTCAATTATATTTTTGGTCAAAGCTTCCACGAGAGAAAAGATTCCTCATTCGCTAAGGATTCCAAAAATGAAAAAATCATTGATTTCGGCTGAGAAAAACAGCAAAACCCTTCTTCCACGGGAACAAAGAAATAAAGAAGAAATAAAGAAGAAATAAAGTAAATTTTTTATTTATTCCCGTGGAAGATAGAGCACTTTTATGACACTTTTTATTCACGACAAACAAGACAAACAAAGAAAATAAGAAAATACGGCGCTGTCGCGGTTCGAACCACAGACCCTAACCCCCATAACACCACCTTAGACCACTGTGCTACGTAGCCTGTCGACATAAGATTTTATAAATTGCATATTTGACGTAAATTTATTTCCATCTGGCTTCCCACCGCATAAGATATTCATACGTGTTTGTAAGACATTCATTAAACTTCTTTTCTATTGCATCTAATCTTGCGTTATTTTTTTCAATAACTTGTCTGTATTCTTCATCATCTCCAGCAGTGTTTGGGTCTTCACGTTTAAAATATTCATTGTTAACCAATTTTTTATCTACAAATTTTATTAGTGTTTGATTCACTTCGTTATGATAACGGTCATATTCTTTCAATACGTAAGTGAAGACAAAATGCGTCGTACCTTCAATCTTAAAGCTTAAAGAACTTTCAACACAGTTTTGAGGGTCTGTCAGTGCGTCAATGAGATAGTATTCGAAGTCAGTCAATAATCTTTTTAAAGTCATTTCATACAGGATAAAATTTAATGTTGTGAAGAAATAGTGTTTATCTCAGAAAAAATAACGCTAATTTTATTTTTATTTATTTTTTTATTTTGTATGTAAAGACAGTAATGTCAACATTAGAGAACACAACAACAGTTATAGTCCATGAAGCCATAAATGAAGAATACGAGTACATACAATATAACAAACAGTTACGTCTCATTCGTTCAGTCAAAGATGACATGTACCAAATGCAAAGTATTTTGACAGCATGTTATGCTCCAGATACTAAACTTCCTAAAGACTGGTTTAGGAACCAAAGCACTATTGAACTATTAAATGAAGCACAGCGAGACATACTTTTTTCTGAAAACAGTGAAGAACAGCGAGTAGGTAAAAAACCCCAGTCGCCAAAACTCTATGAAAATCGTGAAAAATTGCCAAACGGTTTGAGAGGATATTATGTACATAGACTTCTTGTAAATGCTGTTGCAATGTGGGCTTCGCCTCGTTATGCTTGGTATGTTTGTAAACTTCTTGACGAAATTCACAGACAAGAACGCGAACAGATGGAAAAGAAACTTCAAGCAAAAGATGAAGTCATTGAATCCAAAGACAAAAGCATACAGAAAAGAATACCACGTTCAGTACCAAAAGGAAAGGAAAAGAGTTATAAGTATATGATATATACTGAAGAGATGGAAAATGAAGAAGATAAAGATATGGTTATGTTGCATTTAGTCAGAAGAAACAACAAGAGCTTTTATGACTTAGCTAAGATATATAAATCTGACAGAAACTGGTTCTATCGTGAAAACTTACCGATTTCAATGACACCGAATGAGCAAATAAAGGAAATTGTCAAAAATACTCTTCCTCAAACACACTATGACATCAAAGGTTGCACAATACTTACATTCAAAGAAGACTTACCATTGTTAAAGGAAAAAATAACAGAGTATTTCGATAACTTCAAAGAGGAAGAATGAAGTCACGGCAACATTAACGAAGAAGTCACGACAACATTAACGAAAAGAGAATGAGGTGAAAAAAGAGGTGAAAAAACGGGTGAGATCTCACCTCTTCACCTAAAATATATTTTTGTGCTATATTTACACTCATTTACGAAGAAGTCATGAATCCTACGTCAATTATGTTCGACACTGATAACATTAACGATAACATAAACGATAACATTAACGTAAACATTAACGATAAAATTTATTTCCTGGACTGTTGTCAAAATGTCATGTTGTCATCATTTTTAAAAGAAGTTAATTAACCTGGTAGCACATGGTGACGTGGTGACACTTTCAGTTATTCAAAAATATATTTTTGCTTAAATAGCTTCAGGGTCAATTTCTTCAACCATTTCACTTCCTTCGTCAATGTCAATAGAAGCTTCTTCAACCTTTGGTAAGAATTTCTGTATAACATCTTTGTTCGTTATTGTCTTCAGAGATGAAGGATAATATTTCACATTTGTTTCACCCTTCTTATATTCTTTCTGTTCGGAAAGATTCATAGCAATACTGAAGAAGTCAATGTTAGAGTTCTTTATGACAGTATAATGAGTATCTTTGACATTCACGAAGAAACTCTTTTGTTTCAAAACTACTGCTAACTCTTGTGAAGTATAACGTTTGCGGTCAATGACAATAGCTAATGGTCTGACATACTGACCAAACTTAGATTCTTTCACAAACTTCTTGTTAAAGATAACATTAACGTTTGCAGCACCATTGAACTCATTCTTGATGGCATTAGCGAGAGCATTGTATGAAAAGAACTTGCAATCTTGCATGTGTTTCATTAAAATAAAAAGTTCGAAATATTTTAAAACTAGCCTTAAAAAATCTAATCTAATTTTTTCAAAAAATATTTTTTTATTTCCTACTAAAGATGTATCGGAAGTTGTCTAAGTTAGAACACTCGGAAATAAAACAACTTCTTACAGAAGCTAATATAGATGTTGCAAAACATTACGCAACAAACAAAAAAGCACTCGCTGACTTCATTAAAGACTATAATGGTGCAATAACTTATGATAGAATTCATGAGTTCATAAAGCCGCAACGCGGCGAGGACGAAGTCCATGCAAGAGCATTTCCTTTAAATGACATTGCTATTGACTTATATCATAGACGTTCAGTACCTCATGAAGTAAGGCGTGAGATGTTTGACATAACAAATGCAAACGTTGGTCATACTCGTAAAGCTCTTTCGCATGATGTTCGTCAAGAGATGTTTGACATAACAAATGCAAACGTTGGTCATACTCGTAAAGCTCTTTCGCATGATGTTCGTCAAGAGATGTTTGACATAACAAATGCAAACGTTGGTCATACTCGTAAAGCTCTTTCGCATGATGTTCGTCAAGAGATGTTTGACATAACAAATGCAAACGTTGGTCATACTCGTAAAGCTCTTTCGCATGATGTTCGTCAAGAGATGTTTGACATAACAAATGCAAACGTT